AAATTTCGAATTTTTCACTTTCAGTGAAAATTTCAGTGAAGAGCTCTTCGATTGTCATGTTCCCCTGATACTTTTTCAAAAATTTCGAATTTTTCCCTTGCAGTGAAAATTTCAGTGAATAGCTCCTCGATGTTCATGTTCCCCTGATACTTTTTCAAAAATTTCGAATTTTTCCCTTTCAGTGAAAATTTCAATGAATAACTCCTCGACGTTCATGTTCCCCTGATAATTTTTCAAAAATTTCGAATTTTTCAATTTCTATGCTTATACATTTTTACTCGATACTTTACTACTCGATCTTTTCACCACTTGTCGACATACCAGTGATCCATTTTACCCGCTGTTGGTATTCCAGGGATCTGAATTACCGACGGCCTGTATTTCACTAGACGTGAAAATTCTAAATTTAAAAATTTGAAATTTAAAATTGTTGAAAAATTATCAGGGGAACATGAACGTCGAGGAGGTGGTCAATTTTTAAATGATATTTCGAATGATTAGTCATTTACAAAAAGAAAAAAGGAATTATTTAATAAAAAAAAATGAATGTTGGCGGAAGCGAACCCCAGCCGTCGGCGTGCTAGTCAAGCACGTTACCGATAGGACAACGCGCTCTTTGCAACAATATAATTTCATTAGTAGTATATCTTCAATATATTGAATCTTTTTTTCCATTCGAAATTCCAAAAAATGTGGCTTCCCCCTTCCGCTCATCTACAGTCGGCTAAATTTCAGTTGAACAATTAAAAAACAAAAAGCATTCATACCACAGAAAATAAAATTCACCCCGTCGACTCGATGGACACCCCATCATTGCAATAAAAATTGGGTTAATAAAAAAAAAACTACTTTGATATATAAACAATTATAAGTCCGGTTTTCATGATAACTCCAACGATTTTTCACATGAAAATTTGACTGCACCCCGCCATTTTAACCCACGCCAAAGATTCAATATGGCGGACGGTAGATTTGGAAGTTTACTAATGGCATGAGTTTTTCGGATTAAATTCGTTTAATTCATTGAGACTAGTCGTTATTATGCATTAATTCCGAGAAATCATCGCCGAAAAGAGGTGAGTCTTAATTTTTTCCTGGTTTTTTTCGTTTTTCCGTTTATTAACGGATTTTTAGATTTCCGGTCGACGGCAGTCTCGTGTCGGCATTCGGAAATCTGGAAAAAACATTTTCTTGTTTTTTTATTGTTAGCTGTTTTCGGCGTTGTGGAGGTTTTATTATTTTCCATTCGTTCCATCTTTTTTATTTCATTAGTGAAACCATTTAATTTATTTCAATTTCACGATTTGCTCGGAATTGAAGGAGTGATACCACATGTGAGAGTTTCTTTGGTTTTTCATTATTTTCTTTCACATGTTTTATCTAGAGGTTAATATCTACTGGTGAATTAATTTCAATAATTTTTGATGGATTTCAAAGGAGAAATTTGATATATTGAAAATGATGAAGTGCGTAGGGGTCCTGAAACCAACTGTACATGTGGGTTGGCTGCTGCAGGATTTTGTGGCTCGTCCTTGGCGAGGCTGACAACGTCCTGTGGTTGGATCAAACGCTAAATCTGATTGAAAATAAAAAAAAAAACAAAACAATTAATCAATTCCCATGATTTCAAATAAAACACACCCCCAAACTATTGATAATTCATAATGACTAATTAAAAAATGACAAATTTTGATATTCCAGAATAAAAAGGAATCAAAATGTCGATTCCCCCGTACCATCTGCTGGGCCCCAACCCCTGGGCTACGATGATGGCCCAGCAGCAGGCACATGCCCAGTTGGCAGCTGCTCAGGCTCATGCTCAGGCAGCAGCTCATGCCCAAGCTGCACATCACGCTCACATGCAGGCAATGGCAACAGGTCCACCACTTCCTCAATTACCAAAGCAACCGGAGGTACTCTCCGAGGACAAGCTACAGGAGAAGGCCCAGAAATGGCAACAACTCCAGTCAAAACGCTTTGCCGAGAAGCGAAAATTTGGATTCGTTGATGCCCAGAAGGAGGACATGCCACCAGAGCACATCAGGAAGATAATCAGAGATCATGGGGACATGAGTAGCAGAAAGTATCGCCACGATAAACGAGTTTACCTCGGAGCCCTGAAATACATGCCCCATGCTGTTATGAAACTTTTGGAGAATATGCCCATGCCCTGGGAGCAAATCAGAGATGTCAAGGTTCTCTATCACATAACTGGCGCCATAACATTCGTCAACGAGATCCCCTGGGTGATTGAGCCAGTTTACATTGCCCAATGGGGCACCATGTGGATTATGATGAGACGAGAGAAAAGGGATAGAAGGCACTTTAAGCGAATGAGATTTCCACCGTTCGATGACGAGGAGCCTCCCCTAGATTATGCTGACAACGTTCTCGATGTTGAACCTCTGGAGGCCATTCAGATTGAACTGGACTCTGAGGAAGATGCTAGTGTTGCTAATTGGTTTTATGAACACAAACCACTGGTTGGGACGAAACATGTGAATGGCTCAACGTATCGTCGATGGAATCTCACTCTTCCCCAGATGGCCACCCTTTACCGTCTGGCCAATTCTCTGCTGACTGATCTCGTCGATCAGAATTTCTTCTATCTCTTCGATCCAAAGTCATTTTTCACAGCTAAAGCACTGAATATGGCTATACCTGGGGGTCCCAAGTTTGAGCCACTTGTTAAGGACTCCAATGCTGCTGATGAGGACTGGAATGAGTTCAATGATATCAATAAGATCATTATCAGACAGCCCATCAGGACTGAGTACAGAATTGCCTTTCCTTATTTGTACAACAACATGCCACATTTTGTGCATCTGTCGTGGTGAGTCCAGGAATTATATTTTATGTGGAATTGTAGATTTATTGATAGTTATTGATGATTTATTTATCTCCTAAAGTCCACACAATGTTTTGATGGTCTTTATGAAGATTTAGAGATTACCACTAGCAGTGTGGGAGATAAACGGTAGTTGTTATTCGTATTCCTCGAGGAATTAAGAGGAACACTGCTGATACTACCGACACAGGAAGCCCAAATAATAATAATAATAATAATAATAATAATAATAATAATAATAATAATAATAATAATAATAATAATAATTTCCGTAGATGTAGTTGAACTGCTAAATGAATTTTTAATTTTTAAAGAACATGTTTACGTTGAAATTAATATCAAATTTTCCATCAGAAAATATTCCATGTGATTTATGACTTGGTAATGAAAAAATCAGTTAAATCAGATTAATAAAAGTATTTGACCTGTTTTTTTTTTCAGGTACCACGCACCCAACGTTGTGTACATAAAAACAGAAGACCCAGATCTCCCAGCATTCTACTTCGACCCCTTGATAAATCCCATCTCTCACCGTAACTCCCTCAAAACAGTAGAGCCCCTCATTGATGACGACGAGGACTTCACTCTCGATGAAGAGGTTCAACCATTCCTCCAGGAGACACCCCTGTACACCGACAACACAGCAAATGGTATTGCCCTGCTGTGGGCACCACGTCCCTTCAACACTCGATCAGGCAGGACGCGTCGTGCCATTGACATTCCCCTCGTCAAGTCATGGTACAGAGAGCACTGTCCACCAGGTCAACCAGTTAAAGTCAGGGTGAGCTATCAAAAACTCCTCAAGTACTTCGTACTGAATGCCTTGAAACACCGTCATCCCAAGCCTCAGAAGAAGCGTTATCTCTTCCGCTCTTTCAAATCTACAAAATTTTTTCAAACAACGACAATTGATTGGGTTGAGGCGGGACTCCAGGTGTGTCGTCAAGGCTACAACATGCTGAATCTCCTCATTCACAGGAAGAATTTGAATTATCTTCATCTGGATTACAACTTCAATCTTAAACCAGTGAAGACACTGACCACAAAAGAGCGTAAAAAATCACGTTTTGGTAATGCATTTCATCTCTGTCGTGAGATACTTCGACTCACTAAACTCATCATTGATTCTCACGTGCAGTATCGTTTGAACAATGTCGATGCCTTTCAATTGGCCGATGGCCTCCAGTACATATTTGCTCACGTGGGACAATTGACTGGAATGTATAGATACAAGTACAAGCTCATGAGACAGATCAGAATGTGCAAAGACCTGAAGCACCTGATTTATTATCGATTCAATACTGGTCCTGTGGGAAAGGGTCCTGGTTGTGGATTTTGGGCGCCAGGGTGGCGAGTCTGGCTCTTCTTCATGAGGGGAATAACTCCACTATTGGAGCGGTGGCTGGGTAATCTTCTATCACGACAATTCGAGGGACGACACTCTAAGGGAGTCGCAAAGACTGTGACAAAACAGAGAGTTGAATCTCACTTTGATCTTGAACTGAGAGCATCAGTGATGCATGATATCGTTGATATGATGCCTGAGGGTATCAAGCAGAACAAAGCGAGAACCATTCTTCAGCATTTGTCAGAGGCATGGAGATGCTGGAAGGCTAATATACCTTGGAAAGTACCGGGACTACCAATTCCCATCGAGAACATGATTCTGAGGTACGTGAAGATGAAGGCTGACTGGTGGACAAACACAGCTCATTACAACAGGGAGAGAATAAGGAGAGGTGCCACTGTTGATAAAACTGTGTGCAAGAAGAATCTTGGTAGATTAACTCGTTTGTACTTGAAGGCTGAACAGGAGCGACAGCACAATTACCTCAAAGATGGCCCTTATATAAGCCCTGAAGAGGCTGTTGCCATCTACACGACAACTGTTCACTGGCTCGAGTCGCGGAGATTTGCACCTATTCCATTTCCACCACTCTCATACAAACACGATACAAAACTTTTGATTTTGGCGTTGGAAAGATTGAAAGAGGCTTACTCAGTCAAATCAAGACTCAATCAGAGTCAGAGGGAGGAGCTTGGACTCATTGAGCAGGCGTATGATAATCCTCATGAGGCATTGTCCAGGATAAAACGTCATCTGCTTACACAACGAGCATTCAAAGAAGTTGGAATTGAATTTATGGATCTCTATAGTCACCTCATACCTGTTTACGATGTCGAGCCACTCGAGAAAATAACTGATGCTTATCTGGATCAGTATCTGTGGTACGAGGCTGACAAGAGGAGATTGTTTCCACCGTGGGTTAAACCCTCGGACACCGAACCTCCACCACTTCTCGTTTACAAATGGTGTCAGGGTATTAATAATCTTCAGGATGTGTGGGATGTGTCGGAGGGTGAATGCAATGTTCTTCTTGAATCAAAATTTGAAAAGCTCTACGAGAAGATTGATTTGACACTTCTCAACAGACTTCTACGTTTAATTGTTGATCACAATATTGCTGATTACATGACAGCCAAGAACAATGTTGTTATCAATTACAAAGATATGAATCACACCAACTCTTATGGTATCATCAGAGGACTCCAGTTTGCCTCGTTTATTGCTCAGTATTATGGGCTTGTACTGGATCTTCTGGTTCTGGGGCTGCAGAGGGGCAGTGAAATGGCAGGACCTCCACAGATGCCCAATGATTTTCTCACTTTTCAAGACACTGACTCTGAGACAGCTCATCCCATCAGGCTCTACTGTCGGTACGTAGACAGAATTCATTTGTTCTTGAGATTCACTGCTGATGAGGCGAGGGACTTGATACAGAGATATCTAACTGAGCATCCAGATCCCAATAACGAGAATATCGTGGGTTACAACAACAAAAAGTGCTGGCCGAGGGACGCGAGGATGAGACTCATGAAGCATGACGTTAATTTGGGAAGAGCTGTATTTTGGGACATTAAGAATCGTCTCCCCAGATCGACAACTACTATTCAATGGGAGAACAGCTTTGTATCTGTTTACTCCAAGGACAATCCCAATTTGCTGTTCAATATGAGCGGATTTGAATGCAGAATTTTGCCAAAGTGCAGGACAACTCATGAGGAATTTAATCACAAGGATGGTGTGTGGAATCTTCAGAATGAAGTGACCAAGGAGAGAACTGCTCAGTGCTTCTTGAGAGTTGATGACGAGAGCCTTCAGAGATTTCATAATAGAGTCAGACAAATTCTCATGGCATCTGGTTCAACGACATTCACTAAAATCGTTAACAAATGGAATACAGCACTCATTGGATTGATGACGTACTTCAGAGAGGCTGTTGTCAATACCCAGGAGTTGCTGGATCTATTGGTAAAGTGTGAGAATAAAATTCAAACGAGAATAAAGATTGGTTTGAATTCAAAAATGCCATCGAGATTTCCTCCAGTTGTATTCTATACACCCAAGGAATTGGGAGGTCTGGGGATGCTGTCAATGGGGCACGTTTTGATTCCTCAGAGTGATCTCAGATGGTCCAAGCAGACAGACGTGGGTATCACTCATTTTCGTTCAGGAATGTCTCACGATGAGGATCAACTCATTCCAAATCTTTATCGCTACATTCAGCCATGGGAGTCTGAGTTCATTGATTCGCAGAGAGTTTGGGCTGAATATGCGCTTAAGCGTCAAGAAGCCAATGCTCAGAATCGTCGTTTGACACTTGAGGATTTAGAGGACTCGTGGGACAGAGGAATACCTAGGATCAATACGCTATTCCAGAAGGATCGTCACACCCTGGCTTATGATAAAGGCTGGAGAATTCGTACGGAATTCAAACAGTATCAGGTGCTCAAGCAGAATCCATTCTGGTGGACTCATCAGCGTCACGATGGAAAACTCTGGAATCTTAATAATTATCGAACTGATATGATTCAGGCACTTGGTGGAGTCGAGGGAATACTCGAGCACACCCTCTTCAAGGGGACTTACTTTCCAACGTGGGAGGGTCTCTTCTGGGAGAAGGCGTCAGGTTTCGAGGAGTCGATGAAGTACAAAAAACTCACCAATGCCCAGAGATCGGGTCTCAATCAAATTCCCAACAGGAGATTCACCCTCTGGTGGTCACCCACTATCAATCGCGCCAATGTATACGTTGGTTTTCAGGTTCAGCTCGATCTCACTGGTATCTTCATGCATGGCAAAATTCCAACCCTGAAAATATCATTGATTCAGATATTCAGGGCTCACTTGTGGCAAAAAGTACACGAGTCCATTGTCATGGATTTGTGTCAGGTGTTTGATCAAGAGCTCGATGCCCTTGAAATTGAAACTGTCCAGAAGGAGACGATTCATCCGAGAAAATCGTACAAGATGAACTCATCTTGTGCTGATATTCTACTTTTCTCGGCTTACAAGTGGAACGTCAGTCGTCCATCACTCTTGGCTGACTCGAAAGATGTAATGGATAATGTCACAACGCAAAAATACTGGATTGATGTCCAGCTGAGATGGGGTGATTATGATTCTCATGATGTTGAGCGTTATGCCAGGGCTAAATTCATGGATTACACGTCTGACAACATGTCCATCTATCCTTCACCCACTGGATTACTTATTGCTATTGATTTGGCTTACAATCTTCACTCGGCTTATGGTAATTGGTTTCCTGGATGCAAACCACTCATTCAGCAGGCAATGGCTAAAATAATGAAAGCCAATCCAGCGCTTTATGTGTTGAGAGAGAGAATCAGAAAGGCACTGCAGCTTTATTCGTCAGAGCCAACAGAGCCTTATTTGTCATCTCAGAATTATGGTGAGCTCTTCAGCAATCAGATAATCTGGTTTGTCGATGATACAAATGTGTATCGTGTCACTATTCACAAGACATTCGAGGGTAATTTAACGACAAAACCGATTAATGGCGCTATATTTATCTTCAATCCTCGAACGGGCCAGCTATTCTTGAAGATTATTCACACGTCTGTATGGGCTGGGCAGAAGCGTTTGGGACAGCTTGCCAAGTGGAAGACTGCTGAGGAAGTTGCTGCACTCATCAGATCACTTCCTGTTGAGGAACAACCCAAGCAGATTATCGTGACAAGAAAAGGTATGTTGGATCCACTTGAGGTGCATTTACTCGATTTTCCAAATATCGTGATCAAGGGATCGGAGCTGCAGTTGCCCTTCCAGGCTTGTCTCAAGGTTGAGAAATTTGGTGATCTCATTCTCAAGGCAACTGAACCCCAGATGGTGTTATTCAATCTTTACGACGACTGGTTGAAGACAATATCATCGTACACTGCATTCAGCAGATTAATACTCATTCTGAGGGCACTGCATGTTAATACTGAGAGGACTAAAGTTGTTCTCAAGCCTGATAAGACAACAATCACAGAGCCCCATCATATCTGGCCTTCGTTGACTGATGATGAGTGGATTAAGGTGGAGGTACAGCTGAAGGATCTCATTCTAGCTGATTATGGAAAGAAAAATAATGTGAATGTTGCGTCACTAACGCAGTCGGAGATCAGGGATATTATTCTGGGTATGGAGATATCAGCGCCTTCTGCACAGAGACAGCAAATCGCTGAGATTGAAAAGCAAACGAAGGAGCAGTCACAGCTTACTGCAACGACTACAAGAACAGTTAATAAACATGGCGATGAAATAATAACAGCTACAACGTCTAATTATGAGACCCAGGCATTCTCTAGCAAGACTGAGTGGAGGGTAAGGGCAATATCTGCTACTAATCTTCATCTGAGGACAAATCATATCTACGTGTCGAGTGATGATATCAAGGAGACTGGCTATACTTACATATTGCCGAAGAATGTTCTCAAGAAATTTGTCACCATCTCGGATCTCAGGGCCCAGATATCGGGGTATTTGTATGGAATTTCACCTCCAGATAATCCACAGGTGAAGGAAATACGTTGTATCGTCATGCCACCGCAGTGGGGCACTCACCAGGTCGTTCATCTTCCAAATTCCCTTCCTAATCATCAGTATCTCAAGGAGATGGAGCCTTTGGGCTGGATTCACACACAACCCAATGAACTTCCTCAGTTATCTCCACAGGATATCTCCACTCATGCCAAAGTTATGGCTGAGAATCCGGTGTGGGATGGGGAGAAGACAATTGTCATCACTTGCAGCTTTACTCCTGGCTCTTGTTCGCTGACTGCTTACAAATTAACACCTAGTGGATTTGAATGGGGAAAGCAGAATACGGATTGTGGAAATAATCCCAAGGGGTATCTACCCAGTCATTATGAGAAGGTCCAGATGCTGTTGAGTGATAGATTTCATGGATTCTTCATGGTACCCAGTCAGGGCAGTTGGAATTACAATTTCATGGGGGTTAGGCATGAGCCTAGCATGAAGTATGAATTACAATTGGCTAATCCTAAGGAATTTTATCATGAGGTACACAGACCTGCACATTTCTTACTGTTTGCTGATCTTGAGGATGGGGGCAGTGGCGTTGGAGCTGATCGGGAGGATACTTTTGCGTAAATGGGGAGGAGGTTCTCGAGACATGTAAATATGGTGAATTTTTTGGGCGTATTTCGTCGACATGCTTTGAATTTTGTACAGAATCTTCGGGTTTTAGTGAGCATTGGTGATTATCGTATGTATTTCATGTGTAATTGAGGTATCGAATAAATCAAGTATTCCGACGATTTTTGATAGTCGAGAGTGTGAATTTTATCTTCAATTTGGAAAAAAATTATTTCGAAAAAAGTTATCGTTTTCCCTCGAAAATCCTAAGTCGGTCCCTCAGCGGTGCAATTTTAAAAAAAGAGTATGAGTTTTTAAATATTTCTTTGAAGATTTTAATATTATCTTCAAAACAGAAATATTTTGCATGAAAAAAAAATAATTGATTTTGGAAAAACGAAATTTTTCGGCGACCGTGGAAAAAACCAACTTCTATTGTCGTACCGCTGTTTAATTAAAACATTTGATTCGAAGAGATAAATCAATGGCACCTGTCAATAAACGAATCAGTAATATCCACAATGATTTATCGATTTATCGGGATCGTTTTCTTTTCTCCAATTCATTTGAAAGTAAAAACGTAATCGAAAAAATTTTTCTTCTGAGAATTATAATAGGAAATTGGTAGAAAAAAGAAGATTCATTATTTCTGTAATATCCAGATTTAATATATTACAGAATAAAACAACAATAATGAAGATATTTAAAAGATTCAATCAATCGTGTATTCTCCATTGAGATTCTCAATTTCTATGAGTTCTCGGGATTCCCACAATTGTTTAAACAATCCTGAAAAATTTTCTTGCAGTCTTCGGATCCGTTGGAGGCTGTCAGTCTCGCCGCATATTCACAAGATTCAGCTTCTCCAAGACAACGAGTTGTACATATCTCGTTTTGCGCCGAAACATCAATTGCATTAATAGCAATTACAAGTAAAAAGCAAATGGTCATTATTTTCATGGACATCATTTTCTGGAATTAGAAATAGTTCAATTAAATATCTGGACTGAGAGAAAAAATTCTACAGCGCAATTCGAGGTATTTGAATATTCTGAAAGAGTAGTCTTCATAGAAGTTATATTTTTAGTAGATACCTTTATCTCCGTAAATTATCATGTTTACAAATGTGTCGATATTATTTGTTCTGGCGTTAGCCTTGAAGAGGTGAATTCTACCCCATTACCCACGTCACTAATGAACACACACCATAAAATCAAAAGTATGAAGAGGTAAAGATCTATTGAGATTTGAATAGAACATTTGCTTATAAAATAATATTGAAATTGAGTCCAAAAAGAGTTTTATTCACTCAGCATGAGGAGGTGTCCTCAGATGGATGGAGAAAAAAAATTTAAGAAACCAAGAGTCGATCACCTCGGGCCCAAAATTTCCCTTCCCCTTCCCCCGGTCCAGTCTTAATGTTTCTTGCAGCTGACCCTCGGGGCCTTATCAACAAAAAATTCCGACGTGAAAGAAAAATACTATTTCTTTTTTTCCCCGTTTGAATGTTAAAGATTATTAAAAAATTTCCGACGGATGTCACATTACTATAACTATTAGTTTATTTATAAACTAGTCTTAATTTTATTTTAGTGGGGCGTGGAAAAAATTAATGATGTGATTACCGAGATATTTCACTTTCCACATGTGAACATTTTATAATATCGTTGATGAATTTTTAATTGATGTGATTTAATTTAATTAGTTTAATCTTGAATAATGAGTGTTGACTTGAATGAATAAATTTGACAGTTCATACCTGCTATTATTTCTCCTGGTGGATCGAGAAGAATTTTTTTTCAAAGTCTTGTTAATGGGTACTATAATGACGGAGCTCGTCGAAGAATTTCGAATGGGCTATCGAAGAACAGCTAACACTTGGAAGGCTACAAGTTATATCCTCAGCACGTTGGGATGTCAACCAACCAGAGGCGCTAGTTCATAGTAAATCCCTTTCCATATGTACTAAATCTGTTTGTTTAATGTTATTTGGCGGATCTCGGATTTTTATCTTATCAAACATGTTTAACTATTTGCCCATCAGGTTTTTTCTCGTTCTAAGAAAGTTATATAATTTTGTCAACTGCACGTGGAGAAATGTTCCAAAAAAATGCCGGAACATCTCACGTAATCTCTAAGTGGAGCAATCATCACATAAATTTTACGATCTGTTCCATAAAAATTACTCACCGGCCGGACGTTCAAAAAATAAAAAATATAAAATCGTCTCATCCCCAATTATCGAGCAGATCCTCAGGATAAAATCGAACAGCAATAATTGAGTACTGAACGAGAATCGATTGATTGATGTCGAAAACAAATAAAAAAACCTTTTGCTGTCTTAATATAAGAGCCTATCAATTTAGAGGCGCGCCATACGCGCCTGGCAAAGTGTTTACAAATTATTATTTGCTATCTTTAATTTAATGACAGAACAAAAATCACCAGATAATTATCTGGTGAAATTACATTGTCATTGTATATCGATATTTTCAGAATGTAATTTAGAAAATTTTCCTATGACAAATTGTAATTGAATTATTCTATTACTTCTGGGGATAAGAAAGTGACAATATTCTCCATATTAAATTTTATACTTTATTTCCATGAATTTTTCGCTACATTTTTTGAGGCATCGAGGGATATATAAGAAACATTGTTGCTTTACGATCTGAGTCATGAACCGCAAATCGGATAGACAGTCTCCAGTATTTTTCCAGCATTTGTCTGCACATTCAGCATAATTTGCCGATACATCAATTATATTGGCACTTATGAGGAGAATTAAAATAGTGACGATTTTCATGAGCATCATTTTCTGGAATGATAAAGAAAGTGCGATTAAATATCTGGACTGAGAGAAAAAATCGTTGAACGTATTTCAAAATATTTGAATATCCTGTAAATATTTTTTATATTTATTTCTGTCCTCCACATAGCTCTTACGGTATGAATTCGGCGATAGTATTTGGTCAGCGTTTAGATTCTAAAGTTTAGAGATAGAGATAGAGATATTCAAGAGATAAAGATCTATTGGAATTTTGAATAGAACATTTACAACTACTGGAACTGAGTCACAAAACAATGGGAGAATGATTTGTCATATTTATCTATGACGGAGGAGCAAAATAACGATTAACGATTACGAATTGTTGAAAGAAAAGGGAAATTTTGTATTTCTCTTCCATTTTTTCCATTTCTTGCGATCTATTTTGAAATAAAGAATTCCTAAAGAGTTCCTAAAATTCCTAAGAATTCCTAAAGAGCCCTATTTTTTTATTTAATGACTGCTATTAGTTTATCCATTAAAAAAATCTCAACTTGATTTTATTGCAGCGATAGATGAAGGCGCATTGGAAAAAAAATAAAAATAAAATTTGGACATGCAATCATATCGATGCAATATAATTTCTAATAAATGTAATTTAATTGAATTTAACTTGATGAGTTTGTTTAAATAATGAAGATTGGGTTGAATAAATTAAGTCAAGAGTCTCACCTGGTATTATTTCTCCTGGCGAATGGGAAAGAATTTGTTGGTCAGACTTATTAATGGGTGATATAATTTATAATAGTGTTAGCTTGTCAAAAAATTGGTTTTATGTGTAAAATGTTAACGTACCCAGAATTTATACCATGAGTCCTAAAATGCTGACCAATCCGGAGCTTTAGTTCACAATACCTGAAGACTCCTCCCATGTGTCTATTCTTTTAAGTTCATATAGGAGATCTCGATGTTTAATTTGTCACAGATGTTAAATTCATTGACATGTTGACTTAGTTTAATTTTATTTCGTAATTGAATTCCCTGATCAATCAATTGGGAGGAATGAAAAATGATTTTTCATTCCAGTAATGAAATGGGTGACCTCTCAATTACGTGCGATAAAATTTTCTTCGCGTTTTGGCTGTATTTTTGAAAAAAATCAATCTCTCAGAATTGAATTCTTCATTCGACTTAAAATATCACAATTTTCATTGAAATCGAATAATAAATTATTCTTCACTCAATGAATACTTTATTAATCTTTTACTATTTATGTAATTGGATATTGTTTCACATAATTTCAACTGAATAAATGTCTTCAAAAAAGTGTCACAGGAGTTTTTTACATTTTTATTAAAATTGTGACAAGAATTTTTCATAAGGTATTAAATTACGACATAATATTATAAATAGACAAACTTCTGTTTATCCACTCGTTGATCTAGGAACTTTTCTGAAACGACGAGTCAACTTTATTAATTCCATTTCACAGTGATTATGATAATATATTCGCAAAACGCATTATTTGTAACATATAGATAAGAAGGTGAATGGAACTTGTGAAGAGAAAATTGTGATAAGAATGCTGTTCAAGGGGTTGGTGCAAAACCAGCAGCAACACATGCAGTCATGCACACCCCAAGTGCTGCATTGCATGCCAGAATAGCTGGTGCAACACCTGCACCAGCAGTGACGACGCCAAAGGTAGCCCCAGCTCCTGCATAGCAAGCAACAGCTACTGCATTGCAGCCAGTCTGGCAGATTCCATAGGCCAAAGGTCCAGCCATTGTATCACCAGCAATGATAAGTAAAATCATTCCAATAATCACTTTCGTCGACGCCATGTTCTGGAATAATAAAAGCCCAAGATGAAAAACATCTCATCTTAAAGCAATACAAATTCAAAACGCTTTCTAGAGAATTCCAGTTTTCAGGGGAACAGTTTTTTGCCGATATATCGAAATCAAAGCGAGATAACGATTTTTTCATAGATAACTTTTTGGCAGGTCTCGTTTTTTTATATAAAAAATATTCATGCAAAAAAATGGCTAGGTCCTTCAGCGCCGAGATATTGAAAAAAAAACTTACTTATCTTGTTTTATTATCGGACAAAACGTACCATTATGACGTCAGAAAAATCCACGGAGAAAAAAAAATAATGAATTATTAGATTATTCTGTCAATAGAATTTTTTCATATAAAAATATAAAAAAGGGCTAACTAATTCTCGATTCACAAAATATATCGATTAACTGGAATTCGTTCCAGGAAATAATAACAATCGTCGACATAAGGCGGAGAAAATTTTGCGTTGAGTCGGAGACAAGAGAAAATAAAAAATCTGTGCATTGTAATATTTTTTATGCAATACATCTAGGCAGTAATGAATAATAGTTATTTATTTAAAATAATTTCAGGGACTGATTACTATATTCCGAATAATAATCGATTAATCGGATAATGATTGCCACAAGAATTATTTTATCAGTTGAAATTTCCAGAAATCCGAATGTAGGAATTTTCTAGAAGGAAAGCTCGTCTATATTCCGAATTCTTTCGGAGGAAATTCGAGAGTAAAATTATTAATCGTAGATTATATTGAATAAAGAAACGTACATACTTGACTGCGTATTAGCTTGAGTTATTCTTGAAGACCAGTATTTTGGAAATCCGATTCCACCGGGGGAGTTTTATGGCTGATTGTTCTTGACCGTTCAATGTTTTACGACGAAATGCACGATGGCCACATCAAGTCCTGCCTTCTGCGAATTCCGGGGATTCCCACAATAACCGAATTGCTATTTCTGGAATTTTTTCTCCTCAACGACAGCCTGAGAGTGCAGCACTGTCGATTTTTTAAAATTCGTTGGCAATATTACGACTTAAGAATTCCGGGGATAAAATATTTAACGCAGTATTTTATTTTTCCATTTTTTAATCTTTCATTAATGAAGAATTCGAGGCGATTTTGTTTTGTAATGATGATTAAATTCGAAGACATTCAGACGTGGGGATCAGCGGATATGGACCGCCGGAGTTGCACGAAGATAATTCGTTTTTCCCCTTCCCATCGTTCTCTCCGGTTCTCTCCGGTTCTCTCCGGTCCTCTCCGGTGGACTTCGTCGTTTAGTTCGTGTGTGCAATTCCCTCGTTTAAATATTCGTCAATTTTATGTACCGACTGTACACATACCTTATCTACTTACTCTCTTTCGGTATATCCATCTTGCACTAGCAGTCGGCAGTTGCGATATTTTTTCTGAATAATACCATCTGTTCAGTATTCCTAGAAAGTACCAGGATCGAAAATCGAATTGAAGCGCTACACCACTTTCCGCTATTTTACTTATTAGAAAGGCGGCCGACAAAATGGCGAAAACACCGGATAACTCCCGACATTTTCTGAAATCCTATTACAAAACTTCCATTTTATTAAAATTTAAACTTTTAACAGGATCACAGAAGAATGAAAGAGATGTACAATTTTTTCCGCTTCATTTCAAAATTCTGGATTGTCAGCAACATAAAAAGTAGATATAATGAAAGAAATGGAAGAAAATTTCTACTCCACCAATTTTAATAAAAACTTGTCCACATTATTCCGCACTCCCTATAAATAGCTATAATGGAAATCAACTAGTGGTGTTTGATTGTTGACAATTGAATCGTTTCATCAGATGCCGTCGTATTTTGTCCTTGCATACGAAAATAATAAAGATGAGAACACCCTCAACGGAAGCGATCCCGTCTGTGATATATCGCAGCCAGATGCTTTGGCTTCCCAACAGCCACCCGACGACGTCCATTGACCAAGTTATACCCATTATGACGAAGAGCTTCAGGTACAGGTTGAACCTGAAATAAAAAGATGATTTATCTCTCCATTTAATTCAAAATATTGATAAAACGAATACTCGGTAAAGATCGAATTAGCCAGACGACTATGGACCAATGAGGAATAAGCGTGACAGACTTTCGAGATATCGATATTTAAAAAATTTTTTTAATCGATTTTTTCGAAATATTTCATTGGTCCACTTGAACCGCCAAATTCAAATTCGGCGCAAGGAGTGCGCAGTAGATCTGTTCATAAAATAGAATGAACCAATGAGGTATAAGCATGACAGACTTTCGAGATATCGATAGTTATCGATGTATGAATCATGAATACGAACCACTGCTTGTCCTCGTGTCGATGGCTGTCATTTCTCTCGAGTTGATTAGCAGTTTCTCGTTTGTGTCGAAGAATTTTTATCGTCGTCGAGATAAATAAAGAGACATTACAGATAACGGTGAGTGCCATGGGACAGTATAAATAAAGAGACTCCGAGACATCACCTGAATTTTTTTTTAAACATTCCATATAATCACGTGCAATTAATTTGGATATCACCAGGTGAATGCAGAAAAAACACTTGACTTGAAACAAGTGGAACCAATAGAAAATTATGTCAATATAAATACAAAAAAATATAAATTATCAATCAGCTACCTTGGAACCAACAGCTATATTCCCCAAATCTCGGACTGAAAATACTATCCATCATGCTGGGGCTAAAATCGAGGATCAGACAGATTATCGTCAAGATTGATGGACATCCCCATGCGTAAATCGTGTAGAAGATAAATTTTCTTCGCTCTGTTCTCCGCTTGATACTACCCTCCATGGAACGAGCGGACCTGAAACCCATCATTCAAATCAGAATTCCTTATCTACACACAAAATATTCATCACTTGCCTGAAGGTCAACCAGATATCAAAGCACAAGGCATTGAGCCAGAAGAAAGAAGACATGAACCACAAATAATTGAAAAATCCTGAAACCCAAAAATGACAAAGATTAAAAAGTTGATGATGATCATATGTCAGCCTCTAAAAATTTTAATTAACTGAATTTATTATACAGCTGTGAAATAATCGTTTTTTCTTGAAGAATGAATTATAATTTCGAATTTTTTCTCGATGGGAAGTGAAAAAATCACCTAGAAAAGTGCAGAATCTCGAATATTTATCGATGCTGATGATTTTCAATCTCATAACGGTGATACCTCCATAAGCCCAGAACAAAGAGAAGACATAAGACATGAGAATCATGCCGTGGATGTTCCTGAGGACGGGTAAACAGGCGTAAACGAGAAAAGTGACGATGAGAAAAGGCATGGGAAAAGCGAGACACATTGCGTACAAGAGTGGAAAATCCTGCATCTCATAAGGTGCATGACAAGTTATGAGAATTGTCCTAGTTCCATTATCCCCCATCCAACTAGCAAAGCAATAATCATCAATCCCCATGTATTCATCCGGCATCTCTTCCTCGGAGAGGTCCACAAAGACTCGTCCATCCTCCAGCAAATAAAATGCCTCCAGTGTATCTGAATCACTTGACAATTCATAAAAATGATTTTCACAGGGCATACGGTATATCCGTTCAAATATATCTGGCTTTTTCTCCGATGGCTTCAGATCCTTCCTGTAGATCTGGGGAATTTCCACGTCGTAAATAGGTTTTGATGTTTTTGATGAACAATTCATTGATGTCGAGTCACTCATGAAATAACCTGGGGAACAGCAAATCGCGATATTCGGCTTTCTTCTGGGGCTCAATGATCTTCTCATTCTTGATATCCACTGAAATTATTTTATCTTATTTAATATTTCAATACTGAGAAATTATATAAATATTTTAGGGTTCAACAAAGATAGACGTGGAATTTGTTTAATGGATTTTTCAAAAATAATGAATATTCATATTTAATTATTCATTAGTCGTCTCAAGGTATTTCAATATAATTATTTATAATTCTAAAAATCTCATAAATTTTAAAATGACAGGGAATATTCCATTGTTTATGTACATTATCCCCTGGAATAATACATTATTATTATTATTATTGTTTGGTTAATTTCAGGTGATTTTATTTGAATGATTAAATGATTTTTGACTCTATATAACTGGTGACTCGAGAAAAAAAAAGAATTTGCAAAAGTAATAGAATAATGGACTCAACCGTGATGGGATGCTGATGCACGTCATCATGATTGCTGATTGTCCTGGTATCACCACCATCCACACCCTCTCCCCAGGAAATGGAGAGAATCATTAAAAAAAATCCTGGAATCCACATCTCAATAGAATACCACTGACAGGTGAAAAAATGATGATGGCAAATTGTCCGGTAGAGTTTTTACACAAATTCCACACAATTCCGGGCACAAATGGTGTTGATTTACAAAACTGCATTTGCCCTTCGACATTTTTCTATCCACATGGGCACCGACGGGTGATTTAGAGAGATAAGATAGGTATTTATATTTATATATATATAAATACTAGAGCAGCGCCAGAATAGTTTCACTGTACTTCTGTTCTTCGTATGGAATATTAATTTGTTATGGACTCGCGCGTTTCATTCAAACTCAACCGATTTTCATAGTCTAGTTTTGACATTGAGATACGCAACGAATTTTCCCTCGAGCTATTGGTAACTGGGGAGGGATGGATGAGACCAGCGAGGTGTTGCGGAATAGTAAAATCTCGATACCTGACTAAAATAACTCTGCTATCTATTTTTCACTCTTGAACGGAAGTTTTGGATGCGTGACAATTTCCCATCCTCATATTCCCATTGGAAATATCTTAACTGGTCTTAAATTTCCTCCACCAAACAATAAATAATGAATAAACAGTTAATTGAAAAAGTCCAGAGTAAAATTGACAGTCCAGAGAATTTTGCATTCATGATTTTTATTGTTTTTTATGTTTAAACAGAGATAAATAAATTAATTGAGTATTTAGGAATTAGTTGGTTGATAGACTGTCGAGGGCTTCTCTAAAAAACTAAAAAAAATTGGAACTCAATCATGAAATAATTGAATTCAAGAGTTACGCTATTTTTCCGCCATTTCGAGGGTTATAAAGGCGGCCGACAAAATGGCGGAAAAAATCAATAAAATAAAAAACTAGTCAAAACAGTCTATTAACAATAATTTCCGTAGCTTGATTACCAATCCTCATTATTGCCTAATGAGCAACAGTAGATTTAATAAAATCAGACAGCCCTATTTTCATTTCTTCTTCGACATTGAAATCGCCACATCAGCCGCTTTATTATTTTCCCTTTGCACACAAAAATCACGAAGATCATGACACCCTGAATGGAGTCGAGGAACTCTTCCAGGTACCACCCATGGTGGTTCTGGTGTCCAATTGTCCAGGTGACAACGTCGAAAAACCAATTTATTCCCATTACCACGAAGAGTTTGATGTAGAGATTAAACCTGAAAATAAACGAGTCAAAGTTAGTAAGAGTTATTTGGGTCGCGTCAGCCGTTGGATCATTGACGATGACGGCCAACACTTTGTTGTCGTGAGAAAAATCATCTGTGTATTACGATGACTGAATTTCCGGTAAATTAATCGAGCCCATTGTGAGAATATGTGTGTTGATAATTTTGATCATTTCGGTGGCACGTGCAGAGCAGTTGGATGTGCGTTCAAGAGCTAGGGAGATGAATATTATCGGAATGGACCGAGGGACCAGGTCGATTGGTCCGAGCTGATGCCAGCTGGGGAACATCAAGACGATGTGCCAAATCTATTGGACAAAATTATCGGAGATGCTGTCCTTGCCGTTGATACCGAGCATGACGTAAGGACGATTTATAAACACATCAGATTGTTTCTGTAATTCTACTGGGACAATATGGCAAATGTGGACTCAATAATTATTGATAATTGAGAAATGTTCGATGGGACGTAGAGTCCCATTTAGAGAGACCCATTTAACAATTGGTACTTGCTCGGTAATTAATGAAATCGTTTAAATTTAATTTTTTTATTCAATTTTTCGATACCTCTGTTGGCGATCGGCGTGTCGACGACTACCGCTTGCATTCAGTTGTTTGGCTATTTGTCTTCGGTGTCTGATAATTTTAACAGTTGTTGAAACAAATAGAGAGAAGTTGCAGATGACGGTGATTGACACTGGGAAGTAAAAATATAGGGACTCCGCGCGATCGTCTGCAAGGCGAAGAAAAATCGTTGCAAATCGAACAATTTGTTTCTAATTCCACTAGGGGTATTGTTATTATTATTATTGTTATTATTATAATTATTATTATGCTCGTTATCATCTTGAATAAATTGGAACAATAATTATCAATAGTTAAAACTTCTGTGAATTATTTCTGCTTCGAACATTCAGTATTAAAAAAAAAATTAATAACAATCGGTGGAGTTTATCCCAGGGCACATTCCACAGTATAATTTTTAGAGAAATATCATGATTATTATTAACAATTGGAGCAATTTAAAAAAATAAATAAATAAATTTAAAAAAATAAAATTAAAAAAATTTAAAAAAAATAAAATTGAGAAAAAATTTAATTATATAATTGTTTTTTTTTCTGAATATGGAATTTCACCTTGGAACCAGCACATGTATTCGCCAATATTCGGTTTGATATAGTTTTCGGGTATGTTGGGGGCGTAATCCATGATGATACAACTTCCTGTCATAATCGATGGAAATCCCCACGCGTAAATTGAGTAGAGGATAAATTTTCTCTGAGTCTTCTTCTTACTCTGGATCACACGAGAGCCTCTGAAAAAGATCTGCATTGACAATCTCGTAATTCAGCTGTAAAATATCGTTGGGCGACTGGATTTTGCTTACATGTCATTATCACTGAAGTCTGTATGAAAAATTGAATTTAATTGACTCGTAATTGTAAACCAGAAGTAATTATAAATTTAGGATATTCCAAGAATTTCGTTGCATTTATTTACCTGAATGTTGACCAGATATCGATGCACATTACGTTGAGCCAAAAGAAGGACGAGAGAAACCAGAAGAAAACGACGAATCCTGAAAATATGAAACGTCCATACAATTTTTCATAAACTGAAAATTCGGAGAATCACAGACTCACATTAATTAAAAATTTCTCAATTAATAACTAATCGGTCAAATAATTGATTAATTAATTACATCAATTAACACATTTAAAAAATTGAGTGAACATTTCAACCGAAATTGAACGAAAATAATATTATAAATAATTATAAATTCCGATGATTTGGTGATTAAAATTTCAAGAATGAAATATTAAAAAGTGCGTACACCTGTAATAATCACCTGTAAAAGTGCACAACGTCTGGGAATTGTCAGCAGTGATGACCTGAAATCTGAGCAACGATATTCCCAATTTGGTCCAAAACAATGATGCGATGTACATCATCAAGATTATTCCATGAATATTTCTCAACTCAGGCAGCAGTACATAAACAAGAAATGTAGCAGCGAGAAATGGCATGGGTAATACACTACAAGTATTTAACATCCAAAAATATTTGTCGAGCCACAACGAATAGCATCCAAAGACCTTCGTGGATGTTCCGTTATCATCCATCCAATTTCCAATGCAGTAATCATCGATCTCCAGATACTCACTCTCGGGATTGTATCTCGATTGATTGATGAAAATTCTACCATCCTCCATGAGATAGAATTCATCGCGCCATGGCTCTTCCCAGTCTAACTCGTACATCACAAATGTACAGGGAATTCCATAAATTTTCTCGAAATCATCTGGTCCTTTTTCCGATGGTAACAATTTTGATGTGAAAATCTGGGGTAATTCCAGATCATATATCGGTGATGAACTGTTTGATGAGCACGTTGAATAGTCAGTGGTGAGATATGTACCTGGTGGACAGCAAATTGAGACCTGAGACTTTCGTGATGGCACCAGTGATCTACGAGCTCTTGACACCTGGGGACACGCCATTAAATATAAAAATATTAAAAAATCGTATCCAGACTCCAAGATTCAGATAATTAACATCCGACTCTCTCCACGAACAATCGAATAATTTCATCCCATGAATAGTTCAGTCAAATATTCTACCAGGATAATTATATTTATTTATAACAATCGGAATTCTGAATTTAAACTACTGCATTCCACTCAACCCCAGTATTTCCTGAATATCTTGGAATTGAAGGGAGATAGAAAAATATTTGATAAGACCTTTTTCGTAGGGATGAGTGAGCCCTACAAAAAAGGTAAAAACGAAAATTTCCCTGTTTTCCTTCGATTCCGAGATATTTCTGAAAAACTTGGGAGAAAATTTGAAGGAATAGTGATGGAGATAATTTAATTTAATCACCGACCCCGTGGTTCCTGCTGACTTCACTGCCCTCGACATCATCTCCCTGGAAGATGCTGATGAAGATGATCATGAGAATAGCTCTAGTAATCCACATGTTGCTGGAGTGATGGAGAGTAAAGACTCTGACCATTAGTCGCAATTTCTCTTCAAAAAATGATGCTGTCGGTGCATAATACTGCATTTGTCCTTCGACAGTTCCGTATCATCAGTGAGTGTTCCAAGGCGATAAGGAGATACACAAAGCCTATAAAAACCATTGGAGTCATCAACAATTACAGCTAAAATTGTCTTCTTCAAATTCATTCGATAATTCCACTAACAATCATTCATTACAAATGTATACATTCAATTAAAACCACATGCTCTCTCTTCTTCATAAATTAACAAAAAAAATTATAGATCCGCGTGGATTCCATCCATAAGTTAATGATCTCGCGATAATAATTAATAATTGAGTATCACCAGGAAGAGTGCATGTCATTACTCACAATTTCATAATTAAATTTTTCCTAATTGAATTCGACGTCAAGGGAATTGACGAACAGATGTTTTTGACAGGAATGAGAACGGAATAAGAGTAGAATAAGAATAGAATAAGAATAGAATGAAGGTAGTGATAAAACTGTTTTGATTCAAGGAATGCTGTTGAAGTAATGACGAAAATTGTGTACAATAATCAGATATTTCGTCGATTTAGCCGTCAACTTTTGCCTCGGGCCCTAAATCCCCTCTACAAGTATTTAAATCAATATTCTCACGCGTGCGTAATTTCCTGAATTAATTAGATAATTATAATACATCCTTATTAAAAAAAAAATCGAGTAACTCCGAGTGAAAATTCTACGGCATGACGTCTGTGTAATTTACAGCAATCTCCGAATGACAGGATAATTAATTTAAAAAATTAATTGATCAAGTTTTATTAGTCGTGGTAGTTGATGAATTAAATAAGAATATATAAATTAATTGTCGGAGTATTTTCAATTGTTGAGAGTGTATGGAGATAGGCATTCAAAGCGTTTGATCAAGCGTCGCTTTATTCTATCCTTCCAAACAAAAATCACGAAAATCATGATTCCTTGAAAGGAATTCAGAAGGTCCGCTGCATGCCATATCCATTGGGCCTGATTTTTCAACAACCAGGCGATGATGTCCATCGACCAATTAATTCCCATCACGACGAACAGTTTCAGGTAGATATTCAATCTGAAATTTCAAGAGGAATTAATGCTGTTTAAAATTAAGAAAGAGAGGGTAACCACTCGAAAGTGTAACGAACCTCTGCTCATGATGATTATGACGACGACTATCACTCGATTTTAATAATGCAGCAATTGACTTCTTGTCTTTGTAAATCTTTCGTATTGTTAATGCAAAAAGAAGAATATTGCAGATGACGGTTATCACCACGGGGTAGTAAAAACATATTGACTCCGCAGTGCGATCTGGAAAGAAATATATAAATTATTATATTATTATAGATTCCAAAAATTTATCGCTGCACTTGTAGTATGAGAAATTATTATTTAAGATTTCATTGCGTTTCAGAGTATTGATGAATTTTTATGTGCCATACTTTTGAACCAACACGCGACGTCCGCGAATCTTGGCCTGATGTCATCTTCATTTTTCGGTACATATCCAACTGTACTGATCAAAATCAATATGATCGATGGATATCCCCATGCATAAATTCCGTAGATAATGAATATTTTCCACTTGTTCTGCTTTACGTTGCGTCGCGGTGGACGCAATTGTCTGAAACAATTATATAAAAATAGCAATAAAAATTCCATCAAAGACGCCATAAAAATAACGGAGGGTTTATTTAAAAAATATTCAATACTCAGTGAATACTGAATAATAGAATGACAATTGAATTGAATTTTTATTTATAAATTACGTAAAACTCATTTTTCATCTCGCATTCGTCTCACGATTACGAAAATTTAATTTTTTATTAATTATTGCCCAATTGCACTTACCTGAAGGTCCACCAGATATCGAAGCACATGACGTTGAGCCAGAAGAAAGAGGACAGCAATGAAATATACATTGTGATCCCTAAAATAATTTAAAAATCATTATGGCCACGCACCCAATGAAAAAAATCCAAAAAAATAATGTTTTAATTATTAACACTCTTCCTTCACTTCCGGAGGATGGAACAAATTGAATGGCTGTCTAAAAGTCTGAATAATGAAATTAATTGAAAAATTGAATAATAATTTTACTTGAATTTTCCACTCAATTTTCATCCTGTGGAATTGCAAGAGGATAAAAGGATTTGAGTACCTGAAGCGTACCTAAGAATTTACATAGCTCTAAATTATCTGGTAGAGTGATAGATTTCCATCTCTCAAAAGTGACAGCTCCATATGCCCAGAGTACAGAAGCAACATAAGCCATGAGTATCATGCCATGGACGTTCCTCAATTCAGGTAAACAGGCGTAGACCAGGAACGTTACAATGAGAAAAGGTACAGGTAATGCAACAATAATTGCATAACTCTGATGTTCCTTTATGGATTTTTGTTGAATGCAAGCAATAATTCTCGTGTATGTACCATTTTTCCCCAGGAAACTACTCATACAATAATGATCAACCCTGACGAATCCACTCGGCACTGGTGAATACGGATCAACAACAAAAAGTCGTCCATCATCTAGCATCAGAAATCTATCAACTCTAGGAACTTCGTCCGATAATTCGTAGAATGGTCCAATCTCGCATGAACTTCCAACCACTTGATGGTAATTATTTGATACCTCTTCTGCTGGTGGTATGTCCTCCCTCAATCTCACAGGCCCATCGAAATCATAAAAAGAACTTGATTCGCAAATCACGTATCTGGATGCAACTGTGAATTTTTCTGGTGGACAGCAGATCGGGAGGTGCAGGTCATCAGATTTTTTTGCCACTGATGATTGATTCGCTCGTGGATATCTGAAAGTCTTGACCTAAATTTTTATATTTCAGTAATTGCCAATTATTAAATAACAATAAATGATAATAATGATGATGCTGTTTACATTTTCAGTATTTGGGTCATCTCTGGGAATCCTTTGGATGCTGTTGCACTCCACATAATTTCCACCGAACCTCGTGATCCAGACAATTACCAAAAAAATTCTCTCAACCGACATGAGTCCTTAAAAATAACAAGTAAAATTATGAGATCATTAATATCACGAGAATTCTCTTCAAACTCTTGTAAACTCTTGTAACAAATCCTCCCCTTCTTCATCCTTAATTGTCCTTCCACAAGTACCGGATGTACTTCGTGTTTAATCGAAGCATTAATTGATTTTACTCACTATTTCCGTATTACCATATAATTAATAGCAACATTAATAGCAACAATTGTTTTTAACACTCATAAAATTTAAGACTCCGACAAACAGAATTTATTCACTCCCAGTATTTTTTGTGATAACGATGGAAATACAGACGGTAATTATTTACACTTACTGAATCGATAGTTGGGCTAGAAAAAAAATTGAGCACAGGAATGGAATATATTTCTTAATGAAGCAGAGACTGAAGTGATGATTCACGTAATGAGCCAGTCGCTCCGCGATTCAAAGAATGAAAATGATAAGAATAATGAATTGTAGTAAAAGAATAATGTTCTGAGTATTGAGTTAAAATTATTACTGAGTTGTTTTAACATGTCTGTAGCATTGGTTGATGAGGAATTTCCTCAAAGGAAGGAGATTCGATGATAGTGGGGACTGATGCCATCAGGAGAATCCGCTATTTAGATATTATTGTTCTCAGTGTGCAGATGCATCTCATCAACCTCACGAGAAGGATTTCTAGAGATAATTACCAACGTCACGAGGAAAATTCAACGGCATAAACACGTTTGTGTAATATATAGCAATTAAACTGATTCATTAATCTTTTTTAGATTACTCGATGCAAAGCTGCACCTCAACCCCAACACCTCCGGTCTATTTTCTAAAAAATGATTACCACCGACTGATCAGGGGATGACTCCAAAAATTTATTGACGACATGCCTTGGGATGTGGCGTGTAATTCCACAGGGTTTGACAATTTTTTGTAATAAATCATATAATATTAAAAAGTAATTTAGGATTACTTTAGGAATACTTAGGATTACTCATTACTTCAAAGGGGTTTTTTATTATACCAAAGACCCACTTGATACCGGTCTACTCTTTTCAGATATATATCTAATTGAGTGTGACTCAATTTTTATCCTTTCCTTTTTTTTTATAATTATTAATACGAATGATAACTCAGAAAAATTGAAAATTAGAGGGAGTGCTCTATTATAGTACTGCCGAAATAATTATTACTGTACAATAATTTTTTGAGTACACGTGCCAATTAATTTTCGATCGGAAATCTATTTTTTTCATTTTTTTTCTTCTTCATTCATTCTTTTTGGTTTTTTGATGTTTACTCAATTTTTTTTTTCTTCTTCATTCTTTCATTTTGGCTTTTTGATGTTTACTCAAAAATTAGATTACACTTGTTCAATGTGAGCTTTTACTATCTCACACGTAGTCTACCGTTTGATAATGGATTCATTGATTCCATCCGGTTTAATTATGATTCGTTCATGAAGACGTGCGATCTGAATTCAATGAGGCTTTGATAATTGATTTTAATATCGAATTCTCTGGCCAGATCATGTGGTTCGCAGGTGCTAAGGTAATTGGGTATATAAAGATAATGGGAATCGGGCGTTAAATAGTTGGACTTGGTTATCGGATCTATCATTCAATAATCACACTTATTTCAAAATTCTGTCATGAATTTATCGACTATTTTATTTCTGATTGCCGCTGTTCTGCCGATGTTGGCATCAGGAAAAGTCGCCAAGGATAGGTCAGAGTGGAATAATCTTTACAATCGTAATGGTAATTACTCATAATTTTTTTTAATCAATCCACTTCCTTTCAGTACTAATCCTCCGATTTACAGCAATAAAAAATAATAATTTTTGATTGTTTCAATTCCGGAAACGATACCCTTAGAAATAATTGTTAAGAAGTTTTTCAATTTCAACGAAATCTTTATAGAATAGAAAAAATTATTTCTATAAATGGAGATTGTCTATTTTTTTTTTGTAAAATGGATTATCTTCTCTTCATTCCGCCGAGGGGAATAACAAAATCTCTGATAATCGCATCAATTATCGTTTTAAATGAATTTCAGGAAAGCGGGAGTGTAAAAAACCAGCGGAGTGTGCGATTTTATATGGAAGAAGTGCTGATGCTTGGGTTTGCGCAGGATTAGGCATATGTGCACCTGCAGAATCCGACGAAGATGACGACGGCCCCGGTATGTACTTATAACAATTGAAGAATCAATTAATTCGAAAAAATAATTAATTAATTCAATAAATAATAATACACCACAAAATATTATAACGTAAATATAACGACAACTGATTTTTCCATGTTATGATAATTATATCATATAATTATATCATATAATGATATAATTAGTATTAATTACATGATAATTACAACAGCTTTATTTATTGATATAATTATCCACATGATTTTCAGATTTATAATTTATTAATAAGCGTGTGTGAAAGAGGAATTCTTCATTTGTTAATAATTAATAAAAATCAATGTTTAATATTTTATAAATATCTATTTGCAGAGCGTTGGGTGTGCACAGAGGAAAAGTGCAATATTGACGCACCACCAGGTGTCAGGTACACTTGTAATAAAAATCAGCACTGCGTAGAGATTCTTGATTAACAAATTGTTTATAATTACACAATTATTTCAAGAAATATTTCCCAAACATTCAACAGAACATTCTATTTTCGAAACGAAGTACAAGTACTTAATTATCACGACATGAAAATTAATTAAATTGATACGTAATTGTTACTGTAATTATTTTTGGAAATAAAATCAATGGAAAATTCATAAATGTTGTTTTATTGCAACAATCAATTGACAATAATTTTATTTCTGATTATCATGTACTTATTAATACGTGTCACATCAATCTTAATAATAAGAGGGAAAAAATAGTGAAAGGGTTTACAGAATTTTGTATTTTACGGATCAAATCAAGAACGAGATAATGTGGATTAATTACCAATGATAAATTATTATTTTTTTTTAAGCATTCAAATGGTTCTGTTGCTCCATAAATGGTCAAGAGTGACTAGAAGATTCGTTGACTGAATGCATTCACCTGACATCAATTAAGACACATTCAATCATCCACGAGGTAAAAAATTCATTTGACTGTCGAGTGGTGGAACGCGAAATTCATTTTATTCTCAAACGAATTGGTTTGGAAGATTGGAATTTTAAGAAAACAATTTAATTTTCTTTGGGAACCCCACGGAAGACGTCTCTCTGCTCTCCGAAATTTAAATTTAATTTTAAAAATTAAAAAAACCGCCGAATTCCTCTCGCCGGACGCGTCAAACGTCAAATAATCGGATTAAAAGATCGACTCGACATTCCACCATTCGACGACTGAATCAAAGTCTTAAATTAAATTCTTAAAGTCTTAACGATAAAGTTCTCGAATCATCAAGTATGAAAATAAAGGCACAGCAATGAATGAAAGCAATTAAAATAAATCTCCCACGAGGGGATCGTTCACTCCATAGAAAAATTGCCATTTCCTTCTTCTTTATTAAAAATTCTCATCAAATCGTTTCTCCATCTCGTAAAAAAATTATTGCCTTTAAAAAAACTTGAAGTCGAGTATTTCGTACATTAAATGTATATCTTAAATAATGAAAAGCTCATAAAAAAAAATACTCATGAATTTATGGTGCGTTCACTGCGAAAATTAGAAAATAAATACACAGGCATCGGTATCCAGACTAAACATCCAGTGATTTGCCAAATAAAATCAATTATATCTGGATATCTGGATCAATTAATCAATCGTAACATCGAACTGAAACATTTTCCATTCAACAATTGTCAACGGAAAATAATTTAACGATAGAAAAAAATATTTTCCCAATAAATCGTGAGAATGGATTGAATCTTTTTTTTCAATTTTTATTCGTCAATATCGAGCTATCGAGATGAAGGCAAGTCTGATTTCATTGTATCGAATATAAATGATGATTCGATAAAAAAATTCAGACGCAATCGCTCTCATCTGTTGTCGTATTGACTCGATTCCTCTCGACTGGTACTTTATCGTGAAGTGCTATCGAGGTGCAAGTTCTGTTGGAGGCGGAGGAGTGGTAACCACTCCTTGTCGAATTTCCAGATTGAAATTTTCCCTTTTGACAGCCAAAACGTTTAACCAGCAATCGCCTTATTTTGTCCTTCCACACAAAAATTATGAAAATTATAACACCCTGGAGGGTGTTCGCGAGATCTGTGAAGTACCACACGTACTGGGGTGTGTCCTTGTTCAACAACCAGGAGATTATCTCCATCGACCAATTTATTCCCATTACTATGAAGAGCTTTAGGTAGAGATTAAACCTGAAATATACCATAAAATACTGTTATTGGGTCTTACAAGTTTAACAATTGTTTCACTACTTTTTATATTCCACTACACGGAGAGAAATATTTAGTAAAAATTACGGAACTTTCAGTTCATTTACCGATTACGGAGTTGATTCGAAAAATTTAAATGACGGTATCGTTATTTTTTACCGATAATTCAGATAAAAATTACGGAACACCGCGGAAAAATTACGTGACTTTAGATAAAAATTACGTGACAGTTCCGTAAAATTTCCGACAACCACATTTCGCTCCAGAATTACGGAAAATACACGTAATTTTTATTGAATATTTCTCTCAGTGTATTTTTCATTTTTATAGTTTATTCAAATAGTTTCAAGCTTTACGACTTTTGTTGGTAAAAAAATTTGGGAAATCGATTTAATTTCTACTACATTAATTTCACATGTACATATTTTTCGCATGCGCATTCTTTCTTGGATTTTAATTTTTTTATTTTCTTTCTTGTGGGTAATAAAAAATTTGTTTGCGTATTGAACCGAAAATCTAGGGAAATGGTGGATCGTAAACTCCAGAAAATACACATTGGGCTCAATGTGTTTATGACGCGAGAGAAGAAATGGGAGGGAAACATGTTAAACATAATACAAAAGCAAACTAGCCGTATGGGAAGTGTTTCGAGAGCCCTCGACGAAACAACGAGGTTCTCGAAATAATTCTTCGTGATAATAATTGGGGGAATGCAAACCTCGTGGTACTCCAGGAATTATTTTGTTGACGAGAAATTTATCAAGAGATAATTTCGAAATTTATAAACTTTTGAAATTTATAAATTTTCGAAATTTATAAATTTCGAAATTTATAAATTTTCGAAATTTATAAAATTTATAAAATTTATCAAGAGATAATTTTGAAATTTATAAACTTTCGAAATTTATAAATTTTCGAAATTTATAAATTTTCGAAATTTATAAATTTTCGAAATTTATAAACTTTCGAAATTTATAAATTTTTGAAATTTATAAATTTTCGAAATTGGAATGGATAAAATGAGTGAAGAATCTAGTTAACGAACCATTGCTTGTTGTCGTCATGACGACGACTGTCAATCCCCTTGAGCTGCGTCGCAGTATCTCTTTTATGCTGGAGAATTTTCATGGCTGTTGAGATGAACAGGATGATATTGCAGACGACCGTGACACCCATTGGACCGTAAAAATACACTGCCTTTGATATTTCATCTGCGAATAAGAATAAAAAACCAATAAGCCGATAACCGATGGATACCAAGGAATACTGAGGGATAAAAATTGTCGTCAAAGGTAAATGAACTCAAGTTCACCACTTGGTTCTCAATTTCATTGATTCTCGATAATTAAAATAAATAAACAATTAACACTGGGAATATTATATTTTATTCACCTGGAAACCAGCATCTCTTCTCTCCGAATCTCGGTTTGATGTAGGAATCAGGAATACCCGGGACAAAATCCATGATTAAACAGACTCCAGTGATGATCGATGCACATCCCCAGGCGTAAATCGAGTAAATGATAAATTTTTTTCGCTCTCGTTGCTTGACACTTCCCTGGAGTGCACGAAAGCCTCTGCAACATAATTCTCCAACTATTAATTACCCGGAGCAATTGATTTTTCCCATTAAAAAAAAATAGCCGACAGTAATTGAACAATAATGGAGATCAAATGTTTACACTAGGGGTTGGGGTGGGGATGCAGGCGACTAACTTTAGATGCAATAATTTCAATACCTAGTTACCCACCCACTCACCCGTTTTGCTCAACCACCTGTCCAGCTTTTCGGCTTGCAAACAAAATTTTTTTCATCATTTTTTTTTAGTAAATATCTTCATTATACTGATCTATTTATCATGCTCATTATAAGATTTTATCATTTGTTATTAACTAATTGAAAGATTTCATAATGAATTGTATTTTTTTGCAGAATTTTTATATATTTTAAATATTTATTTATATAAATAATTCATGGAGCTGATAGTCAGAAACAAAAATAAAATAATTCAATAAGTATTATTGTTATTATTTTTATTATATTACATAATTAATTGTATTATAAAGACAATATTATAATGATTAATTATTTTTGGTAATAACAAAATATTGAGTATTCACAAGCATAATAATAATTATCGTTATTTTTGAAAAATATGATTTTGATTATTATTATCATTTCACATTGTTATCACGGGTTCGTGATAAAACGACAACTCTAGATCCAATAATACCTGGAAAATGATTTTCCAGTCACGTACTCTCGTTTCCCTCATCCACACCGTTTTCCCAAAACAAACCGCCTAATGACTCATAAATTCATTATTTATTCATCAAACACCCGTTCGTCAAAGAGTCAAGAGCATTCCATCGAGTTTTTTAATTCTTTGAGAATTTATTTTCAATGCTGAGCGTTGCACTCATTGAATTTTCATGATTGCAATGTGGAAAAAATAACTAGAAATAAAGACTGATTTATTTCGAGGAAAAAGAAAAGAAGTCGTTTTATTTTAAGAATATGGAAATTTGGTCGGGGAATGGAAATTGTTTTTTTGCATTTAAAAAAGTTTCTCTTCTGTTCAAAAACGATAAGAGAATTTTTTTATTTCAATGATAAACAACGACGATTAATGATAATAAATAAAATAATATATAATAATAATATTCAATGGTGAAAGGGGACTATTGGTTTCGCGGATTGATTTTCAGAAATTCAATTTATTTCAGTTAATATTTTTAGATGGAATTGAGATCTTCAGTTAAACAATTAATTAATTATTCAATTAATTAATTATTCAATTAATTCAATATTTTTTATTGTTGACGCCTCGCGGTGATTTGTTGCGAATTATTTTGAAAGGTAATTGTCTGATTAAATACGGGAAATTCTCCGGGAAAATTCTCGCGATGATTTAATGGTCAAAATGGCGATATTAATTTTGCTGATTCCATGTCCAGCGACGTGGAATGGTGAGGGGTCAGAAATAAATTAAATTATCCGTTTCCGTTGGGAGAATTGGACACGAATTCTGGGAGCGCAAGGATTGAGTTTTCCCGGGGATTCCCCGGGACATGCTCCCCGCAAGTGTGATCTATAATTGAAGGGGGAGAGTAAAAACATGACGATCTTGAGGTGTTCAATTATATTTATCGCAATTAATCTTTATTGCATGCATATGCTGCAATTTTCCTTCAAATTCACAATTAATAAAAATTTCGAATTTTCAAATTTCAGTGAATACCTCCTCGATTTTCATGTTCCCCTGATACTTTTTCGAAAATTTCGAATTTTCAAATTTCAGTGGATACCTCCTCCATTTTCATGCTGCTCTGATACTTTTCCAAAAATTTAGAATTTTCAAATTCAGTGAATTCCTCCTCGATTTTCATGCTGCTCTGATACTTTTCCAAAAATTTCGAATTTTCAAATTTCATGCAATTGTTATCCTGACGGTTATTTATCTTCTGGAGACTTACTACGAACGTGAAAATGTTTGACACGAGAGGACTAAAGATAAATGAGGACTCGAAAAAAATATTCAAGTCGTGTCAACTTGGGTGGGACGAGAATGTTTGGTCGAAGTACACATGGAGATAGAATTCCAAGGGACAATAACAAGGACGCGACTCGCGATATTCCATGTATATAATATTACAGTTATTATTATAGCCCACAAGCTGATGGCCGTAATTAATCTCCCTCATAAAAATGGCTAGGTCTGTATCCTACGTTCATTAAACTAATTGCTTTCGGATATCATACAAGACTTTCAGAACTCAAATTGATATTTACATATATCAAGATGTGTCATATATTCATATATTATGTATGTAGACTTGGAAATTCGTGGAATAAAAATTTCGAAAGATTCATTGTTCTACAATCGTAATTAAAAATTTTTGGAGTAATATGCAAGACAGTTGTAATTTTTAAAAAATTCCTCCGTGAAGTTTTACAACAAACAAAATTTATTTTCGACTTTCAGAATGATAAATACAAATTTCAAGTCTATCAAGTCTTAATTTGAGACTTTCGGGGGTCAAATGGACTTTGTAAAAGTCTCAAATCGAGATTTTAAAAAAGTTCACATAAAATCTTTCAATTTTCTTAATTCGAGCCTTGAAAAATGTTCAACAATTGCGTTGAGACCTAATTTGTTCATCAAGTTAATTACCAGTGGTCAAGATAACTTAATTTATGATTTACTGCCCTGAAACTACATTTATTCCATCGATTTATTGCTAAGTGATTGTTTGAGCTCGATTTTTGATGGGATTTCAGTGAAATCGTTTGAAAATTATTTATCGCTGATAAATTAATAACTCCGTGGAATTACCGACGGCCTCTGATAGTGTTCGCCGGGGATTTCCGCAAATCGTTTCATAACTCAATTAATTGAGAAGTAAGAGGGAATTAGCTGCTTCCGGGAGGGAGGAGAGTGGGAGGACTGCAGAGGCAGTAATAATCGCAAAGCGGTTGTGTATTGATTTCTGAGCTGAGGTCAACTCAGACTCAGTGTCAGATGAAGTTCAGTAAATACCACTTCTATCTCATGACCACCCCCTTTTTTTATAAAAAATACTAACTAATATCGGCGGAAATAATAAACTGCAAAAGGCTTTTGAAAATTTAGCAACAAAATGGGAAACAAAATTAATTGCATTGACATATAAGAATTTGCAGTTCAGAAAATACCGTTTATGTATTTTAGAAAATTATTACCCCCCTTTTTTTTAATATAAAATTCTAACTGATTTTGTTGAGTAGTTGAAACAATGAATTGTTGAATGTTATCAACAAATTTGGCAGATGTCAAACAGAAAATATGACATCAAATAAATTCCATTGAAAAATAATAATTTGTTATTATTTTATGACCACTCACGATTCAGTTTTAAAACAAATTTTAATGGATTGAAATTAATTCCGAAATACAGTGACAAAAATAGTAAAAGTTAAAGTAAAAAATATGAAATAAAATAATAAGTAATAAAAAAACAGTAAACAAATTTCGAAAACTGTCGGTACCATTTGCAATTAACAATCGTCAAAATACCACATTGAAAAAAAAAAATTCATACTTCCCGAAATAAATGGATTGCTGGGGAAAATAATTTTCTCTCTCGCCGGAATAAAACAGCGCAAAATAAATTGATGATTGAGATGTCAAAGACGGAAATTTCGCAGTCAATTTAATGCGGTCACTTCCTACCCCAAATCCGTCGGCTGAATAAGAATGAGAGAACGGATGGCATTCGTAGGAATTATCTCAACTACTGATGTAATAGTCATTTGAATTGATAGCGAGGGAAAACCAGACGAGAGAAATTAATCATCCGGTATGTGTCACATTACCTCCACCATTATCACCTTCAGCCGTATGTTGTGGACATGATTATCTTATCCCGAGGATTAACTCTGAATTAATTAAATGAAAATTATTCAAGCAGAAGCTCTCATGGAAGGTCACCAGCATCTGTACCTGATTTTTTTCATTGAGAAGCTTCAAACAGAAAATTTGCCCTCGGAACCATGTATTATTAATCCAAAATTATTCAACAATATCGAAAAAAAAGTCCCAACAATTTTTCTGAATTTTATAACATTAAAATCATTTTTTCCAATAATATGAATTATTTAGAAAATTGTCTTTTCGCTGGGAGAATTGATAAATACAAATCAATTGATAATCAATAATTAATTAATGAACCATTAAATAATTCACAACCTCTCAATAAATATCTCACCTTATCTTTTCAGTAAATGAATATTTTTATTTTTCCTTTCGGTTTTCTCCAAATTTTTTTCGTTCAACTAAAAAATCTGTAATCGACATTTTATCGGTATTTTTTAGACGCGAATTTTATCGGACTTATCAGGACTAAAAGAAAATATTTATCAAAGCCCTCGAGACAGAGAAAGAGAGAGAAAGAGAGAGAGAAAGAGAGAGAGAGAGAGAGATAAAAATTAATCCCCAATTTTCGCAGATGGCGAGAATATCGACCATTCTCCATTTTATTTATTCAAAAAAAAAAAAAAACAATGTGGGTCACTCGATATAACTTCCAGGAATAACTCACGGGTTTATCGTAGTACAGGCAATTTCCATTGTTCTGTGCTAAGGAAATAACTTGCGGTCGAAGAATGAACGAACTAAATCGCCACTCCAACACTTTTTTTTTCCCACTGATAAAAATTCCTCCCTCAATTCCCAGATATAACAATCCAATTAGCAAAGCAATTAGCGCAGATTTAATTGTCTTGATTTTTGTAAATTGGCGAAAGTAATTGAAGGGCCGACGGAATGAATGAGCAATGAGAAAATTCATCGAAACAATTCAAGATTTCTGCGTCGGATTAATTTAATTCCCGTGGATTTTCTCGTTTACGCTAATGACTCGTTAAGTTATGAGTGTTTGAACGCAATCCTGAAGTTGAGGAGTAAAATTCGAGGATTTATCGTGACAAATATTTGATGGTGATTAAGCGATTGGTGTAGGCGATTAAAAAAATAATTACGATTTTAACTTACCCGAAGGTCCACCATATATCGAAGCACATAACATTGAGCCAGAAGAATGACGAGAGGAACGAGAAGTGGATAATGAAGGCTGAAACAAAGATTAATTGTGTTTAATCTTAATTAATTAATCCATCGACTTGACGTGACAGAATTTAAAGTAGCTCTACATCGCCCCAGTTTTCCCATTTTCCAAAGGAATTCGTTCTGAATTTTGGAAATTGAAAAAAATATCTTAACTCCTTCAAAGTAAATTCTAATGTTGTCAATTTATTTATTTATTTTTAGCAGAGTTACTTGAAAATTGTGTCGTCAGAGGAACATGGAAATTGTAAACGAAATTGAAAGGAATTTTGAAATCAAGTTTTTATTGTTTTTAGTGATATTTATTTTTTTAACATTTAGCTTCTCAAAATCTCAGCGCAACGTATTGTGTCCATAAGTCCCATTTTCAACACAAATCATCGAATCATTCGTTTATCCCTGTGAATCATTCAAAGACCAATCCGTTTGCAACTCATAATCTCGCCATTTCCATCTCCCGAAAATCGATATGCCCCGAATCATAAAACCACAGATTTCTCCCTCAACTCCCCATATTAATTCCTAATGCCCAAAAATTCACATCCCTCTAAATCATAAAAATACGGATTTCTTTGACAACTCATAATTCCCCATGCCCAAAACCATATTCCTCTAAATCAGAAAAAAAAAAGATTTCTTCGTCAACTCATAATCTTTCACCCCCACCCGCAAAACCTGAAAAGGCCCAAAATCATAAAGCCACCAATATTGATTCCCCATCTGACACACCATATCCCCAAGTCCCCAAAATCATGGAATTACCAAAAGCAATACAGGTGCCCTCATTGTGTGACACCGCCGGGACGACCTTCAACAGCGTCAAGGGTGTGTAGGCCAGTCCCAATTGCCCCACATAAGCCCTCAATATCATGCCATGCATATTGTCAAGCTCCGGTAATATCGAGTACACAACAAAAGTGGCAATCAAACACGGCACCGACAGGATAAGCCCAATAGGCATAAAATTCGCCATCTTCAGTCCCGAGCTGGTGTCATCCGGCGGGGCCTCATAATCCATGTCAAAGCACTGAACAACACTGAACACATCCCCATCAACATGCCCCAAACAATAGTCCTCAAACCGAACAATTCCCTGATTATGCACCGTATAAACAGACCCATTATCCAACAACTTGAACGCATCCGCTTTGACCTTGGGATCAAGCCGCCACTTGAGGCCACCATGACACGGGTCCCACTCGAAGACATGAAAGGACCCATTTAGGCCCTCCGCCTCATTCAAGTCCAACACCGAGGGCTCCAAGGTCGAAGAGTCGAAAATCCGTGGAAATTTCACCTCTTCGACCCCCGATTTGACGCAATTATTCTTCCTCAATGAATAACCTTGAGGGCAACACATGGCAATACATGACCTTGACAGACAAGGGCATGAGCCGTTGACCCTCGGTGACTCGAGAATGCTCTCTGTGTCAATCTCCCAATCATGTGTTCCATCGTGGGTTGAATTTTCTGGGGCAAAATATTGAATCCTTTTTGACCCTTCGAGGCTTATGATCTCGGTCAGGTTGACCCCATACTCCGGGTAAATCAAGGCCGCTGCGGGGCAATTCTCTTCACCCGGTAGTAGTGCGTTTAGTGACAGGTGAGGTAAGACCAGAATTATTGCGAAAGGCCAAAATAATGTAGCAGTCATGGCTTGCGGTGTTTATACTCTCGTTGTTTGCGTAAGACTAAAAGTTGTTCAAGTTGTTCAATGGCGGGTCGGTCCCCAGAAGGTCCCCCTGTGGCGACGGCGGAGCGCCGGATGAGGTGAAAATTATTATCACAACCTGCAGCTCTTGATTATTGATTCATTTTTTTTTTTAATTTTCATCCTTGTTATTACTTTTTTATCATTATTCTTTGGGGAGTTTTACCATTTTCTGGTAATTGTGAGGTATTTTTTTTTTATCGTGACTAATGGGCGTTGATGGGGGGCGGTTAATTAAGTTGAGAGGAGGTGGATATCAGATGACTGGGGCAACTTGTCCCGTGGGAAATTCACTTATCGTGGGGTGATATTTATTTCAGTGATAAGAGGCGTTTTAGTGATAAGGCGGGTTTTGTGGGAGGAGTGATCGTCGAGTGGTAGATCATTGGGTTACGATGGCGAATCCATTTTTTGTTTCCCTTATTTCTTGAGAATATTTTTTACAAATCCATGATTAATTACCGAATTTAACCCGCGGTGTAATTGGGTCAATATTACCAGCAATTATCCATTATCTATTATTTTTTTATCGATTTTTAATGCCGATGGAGAGAAAAATTTTTTTTTTAACATTTTGTTGAAAATTTTGTTGAACATTTAATATCGATCCATTCAATATTCATTGATAATCAATAATCAATTCTGTTAATTAATTTTTTAATGAGTAATGGATTATAATAATTCAGTCGATGAAAATTTTTTTTAACGAGAGATTTATCGGGTACTGGAGGTTTTCAGGTCTGAATGCAAAGGGGTGGAGTCTTATCTTCCACTTCCGGTACATAAATCCCCAGAAACAATGCGCACTCGAGTCGAGGGCAAATTGGATTTTCAATTTTTTTTTATTCAACTCGGAACGAAAACACAAACAGTGAGGTGAAGTGGAATTAAATGGGGTAGTACGAGCGGTGATTGATTGATGCGTCAACCAGATGCAATCATTTATTCGGACATATTTTCATTGAAAATACCGCGGAGATTTATTTTTCCTTTCATGATTAAGAGTCCAGCCCAAATCGATAATGATTATATACGTCATTTATCCGAGGATTTTTCCTGGAAAATTAAAATATTACGACTCAAAAAATTTCGGATCGAATTGAGCATTTGAAAAAATTCTCCTGTTATTCATTAAGTTATAATAATTTTTAAATGACTGGCCAAATATTACGTATTAATTATCTTTATGATTATTTATTTTACATTTGATTTATTACTTCCCCGAATTTTCAATTGACGAAAAACCAGTGATGATTTGATATTCCCAATTTCGATTGCGCGATGCGCAAAAAAAAAAAATCATCCAAACTCCACTACAATTTTTTGGTGAGAATTCTTGAAATTCCATTGTCATGGTATCAGCAGTGACCTTTTCACAACTGGCAGACGAAAATTTGCATTGCTAAATTTTCGTGGGTCGAGAGTACGTAACAGACGAGTTTGACAGCGATTCTAAAATGGAAAATAGCTACTCCATGGAATAATGGCGCTGAAGCGTTAATTGATGCGATGAAAGGTGCAGTCATGCTGAAGCAACATTACACAGAGAGAAGTTTTTCCCAGAAGCTCCGCCACGTAACCGAGAATTTAATGGAGACCCTGAAGGACGTGATCCTCCCTGATCCACCCTCAGAAAAAATGATGAATTAAATTTATTTACCACAAAAAAATTCCCATTCATTCAATTACCATCAGCTTTCGAAAAAAAATCAGCTAATCCTTTATATATATAAATAATTAACATATATAAATGATGAAATAATAATTTCTCATTAATTAATAACGATGTCATCGATTTCCCTCATTTAAAAATTCCCCAATAAAATCTGTAATTAATATCTTAGAAAGCCCGACATTCCACAGCCTAACGTTCATCATTAAATTTTGAATGAGGATAACTGAAGAGAAGCCCATAAAATTTACCTGCAAAAATGCAAAATCCTTTATGATGCCAGGGTGAAGCTGCTCCAAACTGGACGACAGCTAGTCCAACGTAGCCCCAGAAGAGTGATGCGACGTAAGGCATCAGGGTCATTCCATGAATGTTCCTCAGCTCTGGCAGGGAAGCGTAAATGAGAAATGTTGCGGCGAGAAATGGCATTGACAGGACAAGACTTATGGTGTAGGGTAGAGGAATTTCTCGTTTGAGGGGTGGATAGCAGGCGATGATTCTGGTGAATGTGCCGTTAGGTCCCATCCAACTGCTCAAGCAGTAGTCGTCGATGCTCATGTAGGTATGTGCCACTTGATTAGTCGAACTGTTTAGGAATATTTGTCCAGTCTCCAGGAGGTAGAAGACATCGAAGGTCGGGGGTTCTCTTGTCATCTCGTAGATTCCGTGTTTGCAGGGAATTCGGTGGATCATCTCGAAGGAGGTTTGGTCTTTTGATGAAGGTTGCAGGTCCTCTCTGTAGATCTGGGGCACTTCTGGATCGTTTATCGGTTTTGAGCTGTTGGTGAAGCACTTCATCACTTTTGCTGTCAGCATGAATGCATCTGGTGGACAGCAGATTGATAGCTTTGGCTTCTTTGAATCCGGTAGCGATCTTTTGGGTCTGGAGATCTGTTGGAATTATACGATTTTCCAGGGTCTCACTTATACTTCCGTTTTTTGGGGCATCTCCAGTTGTCGAATTTTTATTTCAATCGGAAGATCTTTTTTGGGAATTTTGGGGGATGGGGTGGTAGGCTGGAGTTTTGCGGTGGAAAATTTGTTCAATCTATTTTTTTTTTCAGTTGGTTTAGGCTAGATACTATCGACACATTTTTTTTTTTAATCAACTCAATTTCACGAAATGTCAATATTAAAATATTGAAGAATATTTTCATTGTAAAATTATTAAATCCCGGTTTAATCTGTTCCTGAATTATTAGAATTGAGAATTTGATTATTCCCCGTTTGTTATTAATTAATTTATTTCTCAATTAATTCATAAATTCTCTCTACAAATTTTTGTTTAAAAACCGATAAATTTTCCATCACTCAAGTCCTGATTAAAAACTCTGAAATCTCACGGAGACTATAATCCTGAGTATTTCCAAATAGAATACAAAGAAAAAATCATCAAAGAAAAAATACGAAAAATAAATAGAAAAAAAAAACAAATTGATTAATTATCGAAAATTTTTCCTCAATAGTCTCAAAAATTTCCATGAGTTTCAAAAAACATTTGGAGAGTGAAAAAAAATGGCGAAACCTCTAGAAAGAATTCAAAAAATTTCCACTGTTCGATAATTCTTACATTTCCATGACTAGAGTCTCTCCTGGAGATCATGCTGGTACCAGCGCACTGTACATTCGCACAAAACCACAAGACAATCACCACAATGATTCTTCGAGTCCCCATGTCGCGTTTCCTTCGACAATCAGCAGACAACTGACGAATTTTTCCTATTTCCACTTGATAACAATAAGGAAAAAATTGTCCTGACGAATTAAATGGTGGGGCAATTGACTTTGCAATGTCCTCCGATCTCCCAAAAAATTATCAACTAAAATTCCTCGTGTCTCTTCAGGTAATGGTATTCCTCCATAAAAATGCATTTGTTCACCTCAACATCGCATGTTGATGGGTGTGTTTGATGCTTCCAACGTGATAAAATTTTTCATGAACACCAGAAATCATTAGATGAACGTCACGCGGAGAAAAACATTTGGAATTCCCTGCGGAAAGCCACAATATTCACTGAAGCGGAATGCTGATGACATCGGGAAAAAGAAAATAGTTCACGTCTCCAGTAAGAGAGAATCAAAAGGAAAATTGAGGATTTTCTGATCTGTGTGAAAAAAATTGTGGAGAATTTTTGTAAAGCTATTCCAATCGCTCAACGCGAAATAATTGAGTTTTCAAGTCAGTAGTCAAACCAGAATACGCGCAGACCGTTTTCAAGGGATGAAATTCAAATCTCCTTTAATTTTTAGTCTCTCCTTTTCAATTTTTTTGTCTCTCCTTCTTAATTTTTTAAACTCCTCAAATTTCAGCTGATCCCGTAATTTTTTGGGAATTGTTACACCCGACGAGAAAAAATTGATGGAATTAACAGAAAAAATTACTGTAAATATAATTGTTGTAATGATATACCCATTTTTAAATTGTTGTTAAGGAGGCCTCTCTTGGATTAGAAGTATTTTTTTTTATTATTTGTTATTTTGGACTTGAGGATTTGAACTGGCATGCGGTACAATTTTCGAGGGTAAGTATAAACTTGAAACCTCTCGGTGTTCCGAAATAACTATTTTTATGTATTTATTATATTTTGGTGTACTCAAGGTTTTGAGGGGGTGTCTAAGTTCTCATTGAATGAATTTCAGAGAGAGTAGAGACGGAAGTAATCGATAAACTAATTAAACAACAAATTAATTATGTCGTGTCTCAGTGTAAAAATTCTGAAAAAAAAATCTCAAGCCATTTTTTCCCCTTGAAAAATTATGAATTATCCAAAAAAATGTATATAATGGTATATTATAGATTATGTAATAGTATATATAATTGAATTTCGCAGAGAATTGTTATTAAATAATTCTTGGATTTTTAAAAAACATAATAACACTTGAATTTCCTATTTTCAATAGTTATTTTTTATTATTCCTTCTAGCACTTGACGTTATGCTGGAGGAGATAAGAAAAATCGTTAAGAAAAACCATTGCAACTGTTTCCACTTGTAATTATTCAGTTTGCGTCAAGAAATGAGGAGAAATAATTTATAGAACGAATGGGAATGGTTATTTTCTCGGTTTGATTGAGAGGTGGGGAAGAAAAAATAATTACAAACGCTTCATTGATTCGGTCTCGATGGGGAACACCGGAAAAAAATCCTCATGGGTTATTCAAACGTTCATTCAACTCGTGATCAATGGATTATTGCTATTTTCCATTTTTTTCCTGAGGAAAAAAATCTTTTGATTTTCACTTCATTTTTTTTTTCTTTTCATTATTGCGGTAATCCCGGATAATGAACAATTCTTCCTGGGTATTGCGTTACGACACCAGGAAATAAACTCATCATGCATAAACATAAATCGTTAATGAGAATTATTGATCAGTCATTTTTAGTGGAAAATTTCCATGATAAGAATTTTTTTCACGATTTTACATTTTTTTTTATTGAAAAAACTATTAAATTGTGTTTTAATTATTATTTCAAATTTTTATTCCGCAAATAAAATATTGAATTTCGAAGTACTCATATTATCCAATATTTTCTTTATCATATTATCTTTAAAAATTTTCAATTTTCAATTTTTCCGTTAAAAAAATCACGAGTTTTCCAATTTTCACTCACAATATTATTTAGACACTTCGATGATTGATAATAAATAAATAAAATACGTCATCACTTCAGGAATCAACAAATCCCGAGTTATCCGGAAATTTTTTAATAATCTTTCGACGAAATAAATTGTTACAACAAATTACAGATGCAGAAATGTATGAATGGGTTTGGAGAATACTTGGAGATGAAATTAGGAAAGAATTTGAGTTGTAGAAATTGAACGAGTGTTAGCCACAAAGGAAGAACATTAACTGGCACTGAGTTATTAGAAAATAGTTTAGATGTTTTTGCTGTGATGAACGTCGCGCCACTGATCCACAGAGATGCTGACCACAACTGAACATTATTTATCCGGTTATGACAATCCCAAACACATGTACTCACTTTATTAACGTTTAGGCTATTATTTTATTACTCAACCCAACGAATCATTCAACAAATTGCGCACTCGGTAAATTGGAGGGAATGAAAATTGCTCGTATCATTTTTCGGTGACAATTCAAAAAAAAAAAAAATAATAAATCCTCACAATACCCACTAATATATAATATACACAATAAAATATAATGCTCACAAAATGAATCTCAAACTTCACCTAAATTAAATTTTTCAGAATAAACAATATATAAAATAAAATATATATAACTCTAGGATAATACAAAGCCACTTCCATGTTTTTTTATTTATTTATAAAGAGTATATAAAAATTATACACCCCATATATTTCTAGAATTTTTTAGGATATGAAACCAAAAATTTTTATTTGAAAAAATGATTATTTCCCTTTTTTCAGTGAAAAAATTCCACACAAATGCTCAACAATTATCTCGACAAAAGAAATCAACATTATTTATTCGTGTACTCCACAATAAATAATTGCAACTATATTGTCCCAAAAATAAAATAACAATGAAAAAAAAAAAATGACGAGAATGTGTGCCATATGTCGTGGTGCCACATGCATAAATTGAAATAATCGCTTACAGTATCGTTGTTAAATCTAAACAATCTCGATAAATAATAATTCAAAGAGAATAATGATGCATTCAATGATGCCTTGAGATTATCACTGAGCGGTTTAAGTATCAGCAGTAAGTTCTTGAGAAGGAATTGCCTCGATAAAACTAGAGTGGGGACTGGCGCAATCGAGAAGATCCACATTCTAACTATTTGTTTTCAGTGTGTAGATGCAATTTTATCGATCCTGCCGAGGACAGATATGCTGGACAACTTCCAACCTCTGGTGGAAGAACATCTCGTAGTTATCAAGGACATCAACAGGAAAATCCCACACTGCAACGAACGCTACTCACATTCTTAATTATTCAACTCTCAGTCAATCTTCCTCATTAAGACAGTGTATATCCATTATAAATATTGAATTAATATTTCAATCATTATATATCATATAGTGATATATATAGTGATATCCCCTGGTGTTTATTTTATTGATATAAAAACGAAGGGAGTATTTAAAAATAAATTATGCTAACATAAATTATCGTGAATATAATAATTGGAATTGTAACAAGACCCTCAGGTCTTGCTGGTAAATTATAGTTTATTCCTGGGATAAAAATTACAGAGAGAGAAATCGAATCCATATAATTCTATATAATTGTGGTAATTATATTTAAAATTATATTGTATGAGTTTATACTTTAAGAGAGAAGACATTATATCTCCTAGGAATATTATTGATACGAAAAGGAAAGGGGATTTGAAGAGTAGATGATATATTTAAGTGGAAAATATCATATCGTAAAAATAAAAATAATCGTCGTATTATAATATACGAATAATATAGTATATTATTTTATTATTGTTAATTAAAATGACGAAAAATTAGTCTGGATAATCAGATAACGTGGAATCATGATGGCAATGAATTTAAAGTCATTATCAATGACTTGAAGTGTTTATCCACGATTTTCCTTGAATTCAATTGTGATAATAGACTGATGCATGGGATCGACAATGACCCCATAATTAATTCCGCGAAATTCAAGAGCAAATAGCGAAAATTTGCATAAATAAAAATAAATTTGAATGAAAAAAAATGGAAAAAAAATGAAAAAAACATTTCCGAATCTGAAGTTTAATTTTACTGTTGACAATATTCTTTAGAATTGAATATATTCATTATTCTTTAGATTATTTATAATTTTAATATTGCGGAAAATGTCAACTGGAGTAATTGCAGTGCTGAATCGCATGTTAACACGCCGTAAGGAGAAAAAAATAAATTAGCCGCACGAAATTGTGAGTGAAGTGGGTCTCCGGCATCGACACTCCTTCGGGTTATCATCAGTAATTTATCAAATCGACTCCTAATTAATTGAATCACTTAGAGGCACGTGTTACCGAGAATTTCGATAAGAATTTCATTGCGATCTTTCTGATGTTTTACGGGAACACTCAAGATTTACGGAATCGCATTGGCAATTTCAGATGAATCGATCGGCTTATCGTTATTTATTTATCACAGGCGATTTCTTATCATTTCTATAGTGATAACGTCCCGAACCATTGGCGAAGGAAATGAGTAATACTATAAATATCAGCGTAAATACGCATGGGAGTGACGGAAATGAATGAATGGAGGAAAAGTTCTTGGAAGTATATTTGTGAAAGAGAAAGTCATTTCTTGTTAATATCACTAGAAAAAATTATTTAGTCCTTCAATTTCGTTTCAATTATGACAATTCTATTGCTTTGATAATCATAACATTAATTATAATTCGGAGTAAAATATTGTACATAATCATAATATATGATAATATGTTATATATGTTAATAATTTTATATAATAATTATTAACATTATAAAATATATTTTTTGTTTAAAGCGTGGAATTTTTCAGAGTGCAGTTGAGTACAGAAAAAATGGAAAAATTCGGATTTTCCGAATTTCGTAGAGAAATGTTTGATTTCAATACGAGTGCGGAAAATAGACATTTTTGAACAGGAAATAAAAAAGGTATGGGCTTTGCGTATGCGAAAATGGATACGATGTAAAATTATTACCGAGTAATTCTGAAAATTTGGAGAGCGTGCGGAAAACGGACCCTGAATTTTGCGCACGCTCTGGGTAAAATCCCCGAGGTCCGACAATTGAAGAATTTACGTATGAAAATTGACGCTTGATCCCGCGTATCAATGCACTTTATAAAAAAAGTGAAACTTTACGAACTAGTGTCATAATCGACCGCAATTACCGCACACCGTGCGCAAATTTCAAAATGATTGACCCAACACCCTGGGTATTTCCAAATTATCGACATGAAATATTAATGAACATAGCGCTCCCACTGGGTCCTAAGTGACTTTGCGCACACGTGCGAAAAATGTCTATTACTTCACCGAATTCACTGTTACTGAATGAAAAACTTACCAATGACGGTGCAGGACGCCTGTCCATGATAGACGAACGTCTGAGTTATCATTAGAAACACATAAGCAGCGATAAGACATCCGACATAACACATGAGTGTCATTCCATAGAGACTCCGTAACTCCGGAATAATGGCGTAAACAATGAAGGTAGCCACGAGAAATGGAATGGACACGACAAATCCAAGTCTGTAAACAGATTCCTCAACAGTGACAGCCTCAGTATCAGCAGTGATACATACAAGGGCCCTCAGGACCTTCTCCTCGTCCAAATCGAAGCAAAATTCTCCCACGGCCATTAACCTATCCATCGCGTAAAGACTGCCATTACCGTACAGTGTGAAGTTATCTTCAGGAAACATTTCCGGTTGTAACCGGGATCTAACACCAGGGCAGATCTCCCTGGTGAACACCCGAAAGTGCTCCTCAGCATTCTCCAGATGTCTTACATCCTCATGGAGATGCTGGGGCCTCAATTGGAGGCCGATGGGCCCACCGGGAGTGGAAACACAATTTGACACGTCGGAATCACTCAGGACTTGATTTATTCCACAGCATTTCACTAGGCATGGATTTTCCTCGTTAATTTGACAGAAACAACCGAAGGTCACGTTTCCATCTTTCCAGTGCAACTCTGGGGGGTACAACTGACCCCTGTGGAAGACTGACCCATTTTCGAAGTGAATTGACTCCTCTGGTGGGAGGGGAAGGGCCTGGGAAGGATCACAGGGGGTATTTTGGTGGGAGTTTTTGACGGTCAGGAGGAAAATAAGTATTTTGAAAATTGGATTTTTCAATGTTTTTTTCATACTTTTTTTTTCTGGGATCTCCCGGGTGAATGGGGGTTGTCAGTGGGTGGGTGGTCGGAGGGTGATTGGGGGGTGGCGCACAGGGACTGCAGGTGCGATACGAACTCGGATGAGTGCTACGCGACGACTGATTTCGAATTTACCGAGGACTGAGGCTTTGTTCCCGCCAAATGCAGTATGACCTGGTGTTTACCCCGTTGACGGGGGTGTGGGGAGGGGGGTGGATCGAGGGTGATGGGAGTGAATCGGTGGTCGGTAAGGGAGAGGGTTAGGGAATCGACCAATGACATCTTTCGAGAAATTTAAAAATTATTTTGGGGAGTCGGAATTAGAATTTTATCCCTGGAGATGTCTAAATTGGTGGATGACTTTTCGTTTCAATTTTTCTGATTGCCTTATTCTCAATAAAATTGATTTTTTGAATAAAAACATTTATTTTGATAATGAAATAATATTGGTAATGGAAAAAATAATGAAATAATTTATAATAAAGGAAATGGAATAATAAAAAATTTCGAATTGCCACGTCTTTTTCCCGCGCAAATAATTTGTTGAAATAAATTGCGACATCTGTTATCGGTTTTGTCAATTGATTTTTTTCGTCGCAGTGTTGTGTTTCAGGAGGTTAGGAGCCCCTGGAGGAGCATTAGAAGATCGTTCTGGAGTCTCGACCAGTGCCACAAAGGTACGAGTGTCCTTAGAATAATTATTGTTGTTTTGAGTGAAAATTTACGAACTTTCGATTGAAAATTACCTGGGAGGGATGGAAGTCGTTGAGGTACCCGAAGACTCAGCACCCAGGGCTCAATTCACTGTCAATGATTTGGATATTGAAATTTTACCTCTGATTTACGAAATCATTCGGAGGTTCGTCACTCAACTTTTGAAATTGCGAGTGTATGAATATTTTTATGGTTTTTTAATATTTCCATGATTATATTTTTATTAATCTAGTGTTGAGAAGGACCCGTATGACAATACTCAGAAGGCCAAAGAGTCACAGGACACTAGTCATAAAATCCTTGAACTACAGAAGAAATTGGATTCAGCAAGAGCTCAGGTGAAATATTTAAAAAACTATTACCAATCGTTTAATACATTGCGATTGCAAATGGCTGAAGCTTATCATTTATTGCAGATAAAACGTTTACCGGGAATAGAGTACAGTAAAGAGGAGCAATTGCAAAAACTGGAGACTCTGAGAAAGCAGTTGAGACTGAAACGAGAGCTTTTACTGAAGTATCGCAATATGTGCACCTTCGAAGTGCCAAAAGTTTCTTAATTAAACGAGAATTCATTAGAATATAATTTATCTCACAAGAAAAATCGGCGAGAGGCAGAGAAGACAGTTAAAACACTGGACTATCATCAGGGGAATCAGCAGAAGAAGAGAAACAATATAAGAAAAGATAATTGACTGATTAATTAGTATAGATTGATTAGTAATCGTAATCTGAGCAACAATGCTGCGATTTTTAATGAGATATCTGGCCAATAACGAACGTTTGGTTTCGAAATTGGCTGAGAGCAAGCCAATGAGACGAGCAGCTCAATTTGTCGTCTACGTCTGGCTCAAGACGAAGTCGATTCATGGAGTTCAGAATCTTTCTGCTGATCCTAGAGAATTTGCTGCGCAGCTTAAAAATATAGTGAGGAAATACGCGAGTAATATCAGGGAGGGGATCGAAGATGCTAAAAAAGAGCTGAAAAAAAAGTGATTAGTGGAGATAATTGTAAATGACGGATTTTCGAATTTTTTTTTCTGTGATTGCACTGAGAAAACAATTATTTCTCTCAATTAAAATTCTCGTTTCAATTCTTGTCTTACGTAAATTCGTATAGCACAAGTGAATTTGATTGGTAGAAATGTTTTTCTCAGTGCGGAGGCAACATAAAATAATTTTGAAGTAATTAAAGACACATTATCATTTGAATTTGAAGTCTATTCAACATTCGTGGCTCCTTTTTTAATCCCATGGGAAATTTGATCGTTCATTTTAATTTATCATCTCTTTTTTTTGAACGACGCTATGAAAAACCCTACACAATCGCTTCCAGGACCAAATCGGAGTACTTTCAGAGCATTATCAGGGGTGAGACCGTCGACACTGTATCCTGGGGACACAGTAAAGTTGTCCAACTCAAACGTCTCGTATTTTTCCCTGGCAGACGTTAATTCCAGATTGGGAAATGTCTTCAAAGCCCAGGCGACGATTCCCTCGTTCTCAGAAATAGTAACCGTACACGTGGAGTACACTAGGATACCTCCAACCTTGAGCAGCTCCACAGCCTGATGAAAACGTCAATAAAAAAAAATTTCAACGATTTTTATTCCTAAGTTTCAATCCCTCCTTAATTTTTGACCCACAAAATCTTGGAGAATCGATTTTACTCACAGCAGAGAATAATTTCCTTTGGAGGGGAACGAAGGATTTCAATTCTTTATGATTTATCTTGTTGAATATCTGGGGCCTTTTTCCAAGGACACTGCAGGGACCATCCAAAAGGATCCGATCGAAAACTCCTCTGGAAAATGGTGGTCCAGACTCAATTTTTTTAAGTTCCACTTGTGATTCGTCGACTGATTTTGTCGAGTCAAAGCAAAAAATTCGAACGTTCCTGCAGTTGAAGTCATGGCACTGGTTTGTCAATTTTTCGATTTTGGATTTGACCTTTTCTAGAGCGATCAAGATCCCTCGGTTATTCATGAGGAAGGATATGTGGGTGGTTTTGTTTCCTGGAGCGGCGCAGAGATCCAGAACTGATTCCCCAGGACTGGGATCCAATATTCTGGTGCAAATGATAGAGGGAAAATTCTGGAATAGACCGAACCCTCTGGGGATCTCCTCTTCGGAAATTTGGGGAACTCCAGATATTGTCTCAATCATATTTACTGCAACTCCAGTACCACTTTCTCCATCGAGAAAAATGGAGCTTCGATTTTGGAGAAGAATTCCATTTCCTAGGTATTTTTTCGGATGGAGGAATTCCCTCGTGAAACCTTTTTTGCAAGCACCTGAGACGTCGGCGAAGACGCTCACCACATCTCCTATTTTCGAACCTAATGAATAAAAATTCAGAGAAAAATAGATAATAAAAAATGTAAATAATTTCCGGAAAATTGATGAGTACCTGAGGTAAGACCCATTACACCTGGAGCGAACACAGGTGCCCCCCTGAGGACAGCAGACCCACATAAAGCGTCCACAATCACTTCTTTCGATTGCAAAATTATTCCTGAATTGTTATCCACTTCAGAATTATTTTTTCGACTAACAACGATCAATTCTGGAATCCTGAGAAATATGGAAAAATCGTAATCATCGATTTCCTGTAAAAAAAAATAAATAATAAAATAATCGACTGCGTGGTCTTGCAATTTTACCTTTGCCCTGGAATTTCTTAAAATTCGGATTAATTCATCAGAATTGTTTATTGGAGGAGTTATTCGCAAAACAGTATTTTTTGGAGTAGTCTCGAGCCAATGAATCAATTCTCTGTATTTCTCCTGCAAAATAATCGCAATAGAAATTAATAATTTCCAACTAGTTCAAGTTTTAATAATTACTTCACTGATTTCGTCGGAAATATGTTCTCCGCTAATTTGAATTTTTTTCAGATCATTCTTCAATTCTCGTTCGATTTCCTGCGAAAACTTGAAAAATGACTTTTCGTTTTCCACCGGCATGTCGAACAATTAATTATGTTCACGTCTGTCAGCTGTTAGGTTAAGGCCGGGCCTTCTCGAGTTTTAGTGAGTTTTTTCCCCTGGAAATACTGGGATTCCCTAGATTTTATATTAAAAATTCCGTTTTAGGATAAATCATTGGTTCACACGCTGGAATTTTTCCAGGGATTTTTTTCTAATAGGATTTAATTAAATAAAATAATCGATGAAAAATTAATGATTGTCACTCTGAAATTGAAAGTCCCCTCCCCATAAAAAAAACAGAAAGTATTTTTGACCTTTTTATTTACACGTAGCTCACTGACGATTCATCATGATTACAAAAAAAATATCGTCAAACATCGATAAAATTGCACTTTAAAATCATTTTAAAAAAATCTGTAGCAAATGATGAGAAACACCTGGAGACAATAGCACGTCAAGATCACGTCTAAAAAAAAATTCTATTTAAAAATCATTAAAATCCACCAAATAAATGCGTCTAAACCCACGCCCAAGATGGCGTGACCGGCCCAAAATGGAATCGGTCAGGCTGTCCAACATGCGTCACCCCGGGGAAGTCCCTTTTCCACTCGAAATCATTTCCAAGGTATCCAGGACCGGAAGTTGCCTCGAAAGTCCTAATTCCCCCCGACCCAATCAGCACCAATTTAGTATCAATATTACCAAAAGGAACAGCTACTACCTCAAGATCACCCCTGTAACCCATTACCTCTTCTGCTCCAGGTGTTTCCCTGAGTAATTTAGAGTTCAAGGTCGAATTAACTTCGTAAGAGACTGAAGTGCTGTCTCCAACTTTGTTTGTCTCCTGAATAATCTCTCCCCTTTGGTCTTGTATCTCAATTCTCTCGACTCCTTGAAGATGTTCCCCATTTTCTGGAGGCACTTGAATCTCTCGAAGATCCGGTGACGCGATTGTCGGTGAGGGGATAGACTTTTTGTGCTCAAAGACTGATTTACCGTTGCAGAATAATAACTTGGTAGTGGTGAATATTTTAGTGTAATCGATTGCATGAGTTTCGGACGGGTGTTGCTCGATTATCCAGAGGGAGATGTTCTTGGGAGTTGTGAGGATCCACTGGACAGGTCTGGAGATGTCCTCAGGGGCACGACGACGTGCCAGATAACGGCCCCAGGACAGAGCGGAAGTGGCAAGCCAGTTGGAAGACATTATCCTAGCTGATGACATCACAGTGTGCTGAGACAAAAAAAAAAGGAAATGCTTCATGAGAAAATGATCTGTGGAATTGGTGGGAGTTGTGTCTCAGGAACTCATGAGGTAATTATAAATAATATTTACAGATTCCGATTTTTCTGAGACAATAATTTCCCCTTCTGTCTCCTCGCTGTCAGGTTTGAATGGCGCCAGTGGGGTACCAGCTATGATCATAATCTCTTCCATTTTCTGGCCATAAAGAAGGTAATACTCGTCTTGTGATGATAATGCCCCTGGGTACGATGATGCCACGACTGAACGAGTTGCCACTCGAGCTGAATTTTTAGCCGAATTAAGGTGATAACCGAATGTGTATTTTTTCAATAGTCTCAACATTTTTTGATATCTGCAATTAATAATTCGTCATCAGTCAACATCTATCGATGATCCATCACCATTCGTCATGTTCCACACATAAATTTACCCTTTGATCATCCACTGGGAGTTTGCAAAAGCACACAAATATTGACTCATTAAAATTTATTGATTTTATTTAAAAAATTGGAATGCATGTGAGAAGGCGAGATGAATTGATGCTACTGTTGAAATCAGGACATAAAAATCGCAAGATAAAAATACAGAGAGACGAGAGAATGAAGATGACGTGAAATCACAAATGTGTAATGAAAGAGCAATTTCCCGCATTGTTTACTCAACGTGAAACACTTTATCGGGAATTACCAAAACAATCTTTTGAGATTCAATGAAAACAATAACAAGTCATGAACGTACGGTGCAGCTGTGCTGTGGATTATTCCAATCAATGCCTCGTGATTGTTGTCATCCTTTGGCACGGATTTCACGAGAATTCCTCCAGCTTCGACGTTGAAATTCCTCTCGGAAGTTGGATGATTCTCAGAGCCAAAGTTGGGTATGTCAGAGGCCATGGCAAGCCAAAGGAAATCCTCATGTGGAATCTCTGCCGAATTTTTGCTGCGTTTGACCGCTTGTCTCCAGCCTTGCTCCAGCCCAGCCAATTGAGTGTAAAATAATCGTACCTAAGAGTCAAATGGAATTACTCGTTAATCTTCGATGGGTCAACATCGGATTCGTCATTCTATTCCTTTTCCTAACACGAATGATTGATCTGAAATTATTGTACTCAGTGTTTACCATGTGCCAGAAAGGATCGTCAGCGGCGAGAGCATTCGCCCTGTCTTCCGTGGCTTGAGCGTTTTCTTTTAGACCTTTTCTGATTTTGTTGCAGACCTCCTCCCTTCCAATACATGGTGCCTCAATGGTATTGTGCCAATGGTGATGGATGAGCTGCCAGGTAAGACTTCCCTCGAGGAGTCCAGCTGCGTAAGCTTGAACAGCATCTGGATAATTCGGTGATGTTTCAATCTCCACAAATGACCAACCGGTCTCTTGGATTCTTGTTCTGTAGTACCCCCTTGCTGCTCGTCTCGGTAAAGTATCGAGGTCATTACCTTGACCCCAGAAGTCAATTTTGTATCCCACCTTCGGATTCCAGGTAACTACCGCTGCGTATGTTCCGTCGTTGTCAATTCTGGAAATTTGGGACAGTCCATGAAGAATTATCGTGTGAATTCTGATTGCAGTATTATGTCGTGACCTTGGGGCGCGATGTCGCGACATTGGAAGGCTATGATCCAAACTCAAAACAATGTAACACGACATTAAGGTGTAATTCATAAAAAAATTCTCAAAATTCTATCAGAGCCATATATTATAATATCGAAACAGCATCTTCTGATACTAAAGATCAATGTTTTAAAACCGAAAATTAATGTCGTGATTTTCAGATTTAATGATGTTGTGGAATTGAGAAGGAGTAAGTGACAAGATTGTTCTTTGATGTCAAGTGTCTTTTCCATTTCATGTCGGATTGTCATGACTTTACAGGGCATGATATCCGTGTGTCTAGCCGTGACCTTGAAGACTTATGTCGTGACACTGGCGCGTAATGTCGTGACATTGACGCGTAATGTCGTGACTTTCAAGAGACGGCCGGGGGGCGAGTGTTTATATTGAGAGAGGTGGAGATTTACCTTCCGAATTCACCGAGTATAATGGCGCCGATTCCCATAAGGGCAACGGCAACCAAAATATAGGTGGCGATACGGGTCTGCAGCCAGGAGGCTCCCACTACCTTCAGCATTTTGGTTCATCTGTGAGCTACGTGATTGGTAAATTGTCACTCCCCTCTGGCATAAACAGTGTCGGTCAAAAATAATTTTTTTTTTTTTCACATGAATTAAATCAGTGGTAAAACGACCTTCGGCGTTCTCAACCCATCGATTACAGATTTTTTTTGGTACTCCTTGGGGCCTGCGGTTGTTATCACTTGCAGGCGCCGCACGACCGGTTTCTGTAATCAAAATTTTCTCTCGTATTAAATTTATGATTTTTCTTCGATTATCAGAACCTAAAATTTATAAACAAATCCTAGAAAAAAAATCATTGATTTCCACCTAGAATTTCTTAAAAGTTTAATTATTCAAAATTTTTAATATCAATTTTTCAGTGAAAAAAAATCGATTATCAAATGAAAAATAATTCATCAACACACGGTTTTCATTTATTGATTGAGACGATTGTCTGGGGTTAATTAAGATTGATAATTACTCTGCTGAGATAGTAATCCAATAATAACGGTGATTTAAATTAAATTTGCAGGCGACTAATTTTTAATTATCAACTGCGTATTACATTTTCTATTTTCCAACTCGCTCACCTGCTTTTATTCTAATTTATCGATGCGTCATGTTTTACTATTTTCTCTATTATTTATTGAGGATATTGCACATGGTGAGTTATCAATAATTTTTCCAGCCAGGAAGACACGTGAATAGTTTATGACTTGAAAATTTATGCTTTATTCCGCTTGAATTGTCACATCTAATCTGTTACTTCTTTATTTAAATAAACGTGGTTTATCATCGTCTGCACTCGTGACGCATGGAATATTTCAGAAATAGATGGATTATATTTTTGGAGATATTCCGCGAGGCAAAATATTTGGCATCACCGATATTTTCACCGATATTATGGAATTTATCGAGTGTCGGATTGGAGATTAAATTTTTGGTATTTTTTTGGATGAAAAGGGTGAAGGGAAAAGGAGGCAATACATTTAATTAACAATTGGTTTTGTCGGATTATTCTGGTGGTAATCCCCACGTCATATGAGTAATATTGATATAAAAAGAATCGCTTGCGATCTGGATATTTCTTCTTCCCGATTGTTATCGTTATCACTTCGCATAAGTCAATGGCGGTGGGATTTATCGCCTCGTGTCTCTCCTATCGCATTATCAGCGCGTGCTCACCAAAATAAAATTGCTTTAAACTTTCCAGCATTTCAAGCGAAAAATTACCGATTAAACAATTTTTTTATTCGAAATTCTGACAGAAATTTCTTATTTCGCCAGATTGAAGAATTTTTATTTAAATATTGAGTTATGGAGTTTTTTTATTAAAAAATTCACAGCTCCATGTTTTTATTATTCACGAGACTCAAATGATAGGAATCACCGATTCCAATTTTTTTTTTAATAGAAAAAATCCACACCAATAAAAAAATTAAAAATGTTGAAATAAAATAGAAATTGTTTAATTATTTAAATAAAAAAACAGCGGAGTTTCAAATTTTTGTTTATGAGAATTACATTACAGGAATTATGAAATTTTCCCGGGTTTTACCGGTTAAAAAATGGATTGAACAAAAATAAAAAATTCCAGGAATTTCTTATCAACAAAAAAACATTTTTTATTTCTAAATTCAAATAAACCTTTAAAATCCATTTCCCCGAGATGACGTGCGACCACGTGACGATCATGACCCCGAACCCCGGAATTCCATTTGAAAAATTCGCAAGTCCGATATAATAAAAAATTAAATAAATAAAAAATCCAGCTGACTAACATCCCCCCAAAAAATCCTAAAATTATTTTAAAAAAATCAAAAATCTGTTGGTCTAAAGTTAATAGCGGTGAAATGACGTGGAAGAGTCAGACGGTTAAAATGTCCGGAAATGTTCTAAAATAAGCCGCAAATTTCTACTCACAGTTGATGAAAAAATCCCGTTCGTTGAATCGCCACCAGAAATTCGTATTTAAACTCATAGAGATTATCACACCAATCTATCAATAAAATGATAATAAATAAATGATTAATCGCTGAGGACCGCTCCGACACTGAGTCCAAAGCGATATTTCATTCACTTTTAACTTTTAGTTGCACCTTCAATGGCGTTCCACGCACTACTACTTCGTGTTTTAACTTCGGTGAACATCGTAGGCTGGTCATGTGGACGAAGATATTGTCTGATAAATATTCGGGTGGGGAGAAGAGTGAAAAATGTCTGAAGACGCTGCCATCAGAGAAATATTCGGTTAAAATAATCCAAATGTTTTCAAAAAAAATTCTACCCCCGGCGAATTTTCCCGGAGAATTTCAAAATTCTCCCTCCATTATTTCCGCTATTTATTCATTCAGATAATTATTTAATTATTATCACATTCACCATCAACTTGATGAATTCAAAAATCATTATTTTTATTGTTTAACGATGTTATAAATTTATTAAAAAAATTATTATCTGATAAAATGTATTTATTATTGATTTTTATTTATTTACTCAGCCGAATTTATTAATCTTTAAAAAAAATAATTTCTAGTCATGAATTGCCTAGAATATTTTGGATTATCATGATTCCATAGAAATTCAGATATTAAACAATTAATTTATGGATTTCATATTTTCGCAGTGAAAATTATGAGAAAAATATAAACTTTCGTCGTATTTATGGATTCGAATGTTTAATTATCGTGTGAGTGTTTAATTAAATGATTCACACGGCCTGAAATTTAATCGTACCTAACTCGATGATTTTTCTCGGGGAGATGCTCTCTTGCTCTCGGCTTTTTCCTCCAATCTTGTTTTTGCTTTATTTTTCAGTATTTTTAGAGAGACGGGGACGATGGCTTTAATAATGCGAACAAAGTGCAGATTCAATTGGAGTTAATCAGCGCTCGTTCCAACGATTAGGGGATACAACAACAATTTATAGTTATACACATTATTTTTTGGAGATATTATTTTTATTCCGACGAATCGCCTGAATTGTTATTCAAATAAATAAATTGATAAAGTACTCATGAATGAGTTTAAATTATAAATTATTTAAAAAAATGGAAAAATCCAAATCCCCAGAAACTCGTGATAAAACACAACAATAATATATAACAATAATAATATAAAAAATATATAACAATAATATATGATAATATAAATAATATAATTTATATATTTTATTTATATTATCATTTTTAATAATATTAAAATAATATTAGTTATATAGCTAGGATGAAATTGCATCGAATAGGAAAATCTCATTCTGTTGAAGAATTCAATTTCGAAAATTGATAAGAGAATATTTTCTTGTAGGCAGTTCGTGTGTTATCAGAAGTTTTGAGGGTGAAAACCGCGGGAATTTCCTGATCAGTCGATTATACCCCGAGGAATTTCTCGATTGCTCTGTTATATACGAATAATACGAACCATGAGACACGTATTTTTCCCCTCAACTCTTCATTTCGATGTGAGGGTACATTCCACACGATCTGTCCCTTTTCGACGGGAATGCTCCACGAGGAATTCGATATTCCAGGGTGTTGCTCACATATTCTGCATCTCTCATCTGACCCATTTATTTTTATTAATTTTTAGTTGGTGGTCTCATAATAAAATTTCATTTCAACTTGTCATTTGGTATTCGGAAGACTGAGAGAAATGTAATTGATAGGAATTCCTTGTCTTCAGGAATTCCAGACAAAACGTGTTTAAAGAATTCATACAATTTTTATTTATAACTTTTTTAAATACTACACCACTCATTAATTAATAATTAATTAATTTTCAAAGGGTTTTCTATCCTGTGATCATGAATTGAATTGAATCCCGCTCTTTTCATCTAGTTTATTTTATTTAAATCGGGGATGTAGGATAGTAATGATTATTTATTTAATTATTTGTTTAATTGTTATGGGATAATCTGTGAAAGGCCTGCGATGATTTTAAAAATATAGAAATATTATTAAATAATATTATTAAATGCGATTCTTTTATGGTTGATGGAATAGAAATCATGGGAGAAATAAAATAAATTAAAAATCGATTGTTATTAATAAAGAAATGAAACAGAAAAGCGAAAAGTTACTTTCGACTTTGAATTGCAGAGTAATTTGGGTTTCTTCTGAAATATTTATAATAATACTTATAATAACGAGAAGACTGAACAATAGAAAAGTACCTGAGGTGAAAAGTAATTGAAAAGTCATAAAAATTCCACAGCGCATGCGTTTCCCGGAAAATCCCTTGGGTTTATCCTCTCGGCGCCAAATTCATCAGTTCTAATCCGGAGAAGGATCGAAACCCTTCGAATATTCAGACCGCAATTACTCCGATTTTCTTCATTGACAATTTATATTAACAATAATTATTTAAAATTATGAAATTTCTTATTTTAGTTTTCATTTTTTCGCGGATGATTTCCAGTATTTCCGGTCAATCCGTGCATTCTGTACCTCTCGGGTCTGAAGCGAGTTTCCATTGGAGGTAAAAGCAATAAAAATAAATAAATAAATAATTAATTAATTACTATTTCTATTCTAAACGACAAAAAAAGGAAAAAAATTTCGAATCGTCAGAAAGTGGATGAAAAATTCAGGGATTTGGAAAAATAATTTATTGTATCTGTGAATTGTGAATAATTTAACAACAAATTGTGAATGATGAGATTTTCCATGAAATTGTGGAGATCGGCTCGAGCAATTGCTCCGATTTTTTTTCCTCCGGTTTTCACTCAGGAAAATTCATGGTATTAATGAAAAATTAATGCTCTGTGTGTAATTAGTTTAAATAATTGTTTTAGGGTGAATTCCGGGGAGGAAAATGTTGTAGTTGAGGTTCACTATTCAGGTGAGGAATTCTCGTGGTTTGCAGTTGGATTTTCCGATCGTGGAGAAGTCAAACCGTCGGACTATTGCATATTGTGGATCGATTGGCACCGAGGCGTCAATTTCCACGTAATTAACCACTAATTATTATGAAACAATAGATCAACAATAGAAATCAATATTCAACTAAGTCGAAACAATTTTTTATTATCGAAACCCCCAGGACTTGATCTTTTATTGAATTTAACGTACACACATTCACTTTCAATCCTAACGAATCAATTCTTTTTATTTCATTTTTTTTTAATATTTAATTGATACTTCATGACTTCATGACCTCACAGCGATGACACAGCCTCAACCATATTTTTTATACTTAAATTTATAACGCCATTAACAATGAAAACATGATTTTTATCGAAATCATTAATTTGACATTATAACAATAATTAACTAATTATGATCCGAGGAAAATATCGGAGTCTTAATAGTTGTTAAACTAGTTTTTATAAAAACATCGATACAACCACCCCCTCTCCTCCTTCCCCTTCTCTAATCATTTATTGTTACAAATCTTTCTTTATACGTTATTTGAATTTCGAATTTATATTGTTTAAATTAATTGTTGAAGGACGCATGGGCAGATGATACTGGAAGAATCCAGATTGACTCGAGTCAAGATTGCACTGATTTTGCGTGGAAGAAGCCAGACACGAAAAACGTGACTAAATTCACTTTTACCCGAAAGTTTGACACCTGTGACGAGCGTGATTACATTATCGAGGTATTTTTATAAAATTCTAATTGTTCATTATTAATAACAATAAAATATGAACCACCGATGAATTTTTAAAGATATTAAGAATATTTTTTGATTGAATGAGAAAATGGGAAATAATTGGAATTGAAATAATTCGTTCATTAGAGGATTAAAAATAAAATAATTAATTATCAATTATTGATTGCCGAATATATCAACAATAATATAATTTTTCGGTGATAATAGAAAATTAAATTATATCGAAGATAATGTAATTAAAGGAATTATTCCATTTTGGATTTCGATAGCGAAATGGTAAACTGGGACTGTGAATTTTTTCTCGATATCTCGACATCGAAAGGAGATATCGATTTTTTCATAGAAACCTTTTTCGTAGCTCTCGTAATTTTCTATAAAAGATGTTTCTATAAAAAATTCGCTATGTCCCTTGAATTCCGAGATATCGTTCAAAAACTGGTCTCGAAAACAAGGGACTCATCCTGATTTACTCAATTACTTAATTTACTTCGTAATTTATTTCAATTACACGCTTAGAAAAAAGATGAACAATTAAAATTCAAGGAGGTTTATCTTGATATTATTGAATGTTTATAAAAAATTAATGATTTGGCTTGTGTATGTTTGGTCTAAATATAGTCGCATTATCATTTAACCGAGTGTTTACATCTGTCTTGAATGATCAGAGTAGTAACATTACCTGATAAATAAATCTCGAATATCAATTGCGGCACCCCAGAGGGGCACCACCCACATCGTCTGGTCGAGGGGACGAGGGCCCCTTTCCTCCCTCGATGGATTAAATATCGTCGCGGACTCCACGACATCGGGAATGTCGAGGACTGAATTACTCAGGCCGGATAATCACAGGAAAATTAATTTTCCACCTGACACATGGAAATTTCAACTTATCGCTGATCAAGTGCGAGTTCCGGATGTGGAGACCACGTATTGGTGCCGAGTACAACGACTACCTGACGCTCTAAAGCACAAGTACATAATTACTCTCAATTATTATTTAATTTATTTCAATTTTTTTTAATATTCGTTGTAAGTTCTCGTGAGAATCTGTAACTGGTCATCACCCGAAGGCTTCCGGTTAATTATTCATATTTTTCATACATAATTATTAATATTCTATTATTTATCACTCGAATTTTTCCAAATTCTTCTCTTCCAAGTCTATATTTTTTAAATAATAAATGGATAAATGTTCACATGACGAATAATTAAATATTAAAATAATTCTCTGGTTGAAATTTTGTCACCATTTTTTTAAAATAATTACAGACACCATATACTGCAGTTTGGCCCAGTGATTGAAAAAGGTAATGAGCACTTGGTGCATCACATGGAAATTTTTCACTGCGCTGGACCTCGAGATGCCCCGGTGCCGGCGTATAGTGGACCTTGTGATGCCCCGGATCGCCCTGAAGGCACTCAAGTAATCAACGATTATTGCATCCTGAATTAATTATTCATAAGCTGTCCGCCTTCAGCGGAATTCCCTCGAAAATTGAACGAAATTCTATGGATTACCCACCCCTCCCTCCCCATTTACACGAGGGGATGAAAATCATTCCTTCGCATTAAAAAAAAATCCGGACGTTAATTACGATTTTAATCTCGTTAATTACGAAATTGAAAAAATTCATTGCAGAACCAAATGATTAATCTATATTTTAATTCGTAATTAAAATAATTTTTTAAATTCATAATTCAAATAATTATTTCAATTTATAATTCAAATAATTATTTTAATTTATAATTCAAATAATTATTTTAATTCATAATTCAAATAATTATTTTGAATTCATAATTCAAACAGTTGATGATTAATGAATTTTTATTAATATATTTGTTAATTGATATAATTAAAAGAGTTAACGAGATAAAAAGACTGAATTACAAAAAAAATGAATTGTTGAATGGCGATGACATGAAAAATAATAAAAATAATGAGAATTGTTAACCAGATATGCAAAAAGGTGCTGGCAGCATGGGCGATGGGTGCTGATGCATTTATCTACCCGGAGGAGGCGGGATTATCAATCGGAGGGGAGACATTTAATCCCCACGTGATGCTGGAGGTACATTACAACAATCCCGAATTGCAAAAAGGAAAAATCGATTCCTCCGGTATCGAATTTCACTTGACGAAAACATTACGGATGTATGACGCTGGAGTCATTGAACTCGGTCTGGAGTATTCCGACAAAATGGCTATTCCTCCGCAACAGGTGATTCAAATTTTCCATAATATTCCCGTTAATTACCTCTCCTTTCCCCTAAAATTTCGTAATTCACGTTTTTAAAAAATATTAAAGGAAATATTCGAGCTGTCTGGCCACTGTGTGACGGAATGCACTGGAGTTGGACTTCCTCAAGATGGAATTAAAGTTTTTGGGTCTCAACTTCATACTCACCTGACAGGAACGCGTGTCAAGACCCGACACATCAGGAACGGCCGGGAATTATCACCTCTCAATTATGATGATCATTATTCAACGCATTTCCAGGAGATTAGACTGCTGCCGGAATCAGTTCATGTGTTGCCGGTAATTAGCTGTCAATTACGCTTGAAATTGATTATTAATTTTAATAAAAATTACGGAACGCCGTGGTAAAAATTCTGGGATAATTCCGTAAAATTTCCTGCAGACACATTTCGCTCTGGAATATTTCAATTTTTTTTTTCAGGGTGATTCTCTAATTACCACCTGCACCTACAACACAATGGATCGTCAAAACGTGACCTTGGGGGGTTTCGCTATTTCTGATGAGATGTGTGTTAATTATATTCATTATTATCCCAACGCTCGACTCGAGGTAAAGATTTAAATAAAAATTTATTTATTAATAATTATTAATTTATTAATAATTAATAATTTATTTCTATCGAAATAACAAGTAAAAATATTATTCTACGCTCAAAAAAATTTCAACAATCAACCGCACTTAGGGATATTCCTTCAAGAATAATTGAGGGTAAAAATATTTTGCCAGTAAAATTCTCCTGCGCAATAAACAATTTATACTGCAATCCTTTTATTTGTAATATTTTTAAAAATAATATAATATCGTAATATCTCGACTTGTAAAATTTATCGGCCTGATATTTTTATAATATTATGAGTTGTAATATTTTTGTCGAATACTTTATTATTACTTTTACTTTTATTACTTTTGAATGGAATTAAAGAGAGGGTGAATCTTAATCAATTGAAGACGAAATGATTTCAGGTCTGTAAAAGTGCGATAAGTGATGATGCCCTTCGGACATACTTCAGGTACATGAGGGAATGGGAAAATCAGAAAACTGATTTCGATGATGCCATTTCCCGCAGCTATGGGAATATCGAGTGGACGAAAATTCGAGTGGCTGCACTTCATGATTTGTATCAAGCTGCACCTCTCGGTGAGAATTATTTCACTTAGCTTAGAAAAGTCATGAATAAATAATAAATAAATAATGAATAAATGATGAATAAATGATGAATAAATAATGAATAAATAATTAATAAATAATTAATAAATAATTAAACGATATTCGTTCGATATCTCAATCACCAGATTATATTCCTCCCTCAATTTTCCTGTACCTTCTCATGATTAGCCATGACAGGAATTGCCAACGAGACAACCGTGACTCCAGGGGGGATGATCATCCCTTTCGGCATTTACTCTAATTACCGATCCACTACCATTTATACTAAATAATTGTATAAATAAATAATTGCAATGAAAAATCCTGTTCCAGGCATGCAGTGTAACGGATCAGACGGTTCTCGTCTTCCCGGACTCTGGGATAACATCGCAGCAACACAAGTAAAATTGCCTCTAGCACCACCTCCTCGGGATTGTCCACAACTCTCATCGCACCTGAATGATCTCCACCAGTGAGAACCACCCCGAAATCTCAATCCTCAGTATTTCTGTTTTTATAGTGATCTTGAATTCCCAATGGAAAACGCATTTTCTCATCAATTACACACGAAAAAAAATTCCTTTTCTTTCTCATTGTCATCGTCTAGAGAAATATCATGATTATTATCGGAACCTAGTCGGAATCACTGGGAAATTACACAATTGGATACAAGATTTGGAAAGAATATGAAATCCTCTGAAGTAAATGGATTCTTGGCAATTTATTTTCTCAGTCTAGTTGTTGAATGATGAGAATAATGAGAAAATTTAACTTTTCGTAGATTCACACCAGCACTTCGGCCTCAATGGAGAATTCATTTACTTTTGCGTATATTCCCAGAGTATTATAATCAACCTCTAGTTTCTCCAATGATAACGACAAATTGCTAGCGATATTTTTGTGCTTTCGTGATTGAGTGTATGAATAAATAAAAAATATGTGAAAAACTTGAGTCCATCATTTGAACCTAGCGGGACATATTCGATAATTTTTAATTGAATGAATTATCAGGAAAATAAATAGAATGAGGAAAAAATGAAGTCGAATTAGTTCAATATTTTTTTTATTAATAATAATGGTAGCACAATCGTATGAAAAAGATCAATCTTACTCGATTGTCATAGAATTTTTCTCGCACTCGATATAAAAAAATTTACAAAAAATGTCTTCCGTCGTTACAAAATTGTGTATATTTTAATAAGTATGTTTGGTTATTCTCTTCCATCATTGTTTAATGATCGTTTATTGTAGGAATATTATGTATAGGATATACACACGTCCGCAGCATTGTGGACGGCAAGCCAAGCCTTTTTGCGGTAGACAATGAGTTAAACAACGAGAAATTGTTCTCATTATTCTTGAGACAAATCAAATGAGCCGACTCATCATTTTTTCTCGGAGATGTGAGTCATTTTATCTAGTCTATGTTCAAGGACAAGCGAATTTTACAACGAAAAAACAATTGGAAATCCATTTTACCACAATAATTAACGAGATATTGAAGAAAAATCATTTTCAATTGAATTTTTTCTTCTTGAATATCTCAGAAATTTTACGGGGCAGAATGACTCGTCTGTTTTTTTAATTAAAAAATTTTCCTTGTCTCAGTGAATTATTTCTTTTGTGTTCTGATCAAATCTTCAAGATCTTCAAAGTTCTTCTCAACTTGGAAACTTGTTTAATATTCATTAAAAATTCGTGATAAAATTGTAGATAAATTCAAAAATTTTGCTGCCACTTCAGGTAATAATAGTAATTTTTCGGAGTTGTTGAAATCCGTTGAAGTACAAATGGAGTAAAGTTGCCTCAAAAATGCAATTTCATCAGGATTATATTTTATTTTTGGCACCTACCTTCTAAATTCTGAAAAATACGAAGCACTCAGCTCATTTCGTGTAAAAATACGAAATATATATTCATCTATATATTTTATAAAACCCTCAAAAGACGAAAAAATTGGTAGAAAATTCATAAAAATTGTCTTATAATTTTCCATCTTCCCCTCTTCTCTTCTTTGTTCCATATTTTCGCTCTCGATACTGGTTTATCAGTCTCAGCAGTCGGTTTACCGTAAAACGATTAATATTGTTGCCTTGAAGTACGAAAATATTCTAAAATTAAAGTGACGTATCAAGACTCTTTAATTTTAGCTAAAAAATTAAGTGTAAATTTTCATTTTCCTTTTTCAAAATATCTCGACAAATAGACCGGCTACGGAGTGAAAAGACCCCATCGAATGCCCAAAAAATTTTCCTCATCTGCCTCAAAAATCCAAAAACCTCAATTTTTCGATTAAAAAAAAATTTCCTAGGCTTCGAATAGAATCACAAAATCCACTCCACCTGTAACAGTTCACGTGGCAATCCGCAGAAATCATCATCAAACCTTCCACTTCCTTAAAAAATAACTGCATAAAATTTATCTCCTATATTTTCCAAGAGATCTGATCAAGTACAGCACCGAGGGGATCAACGACTCCATCGGATAATTGCAACAATTTCCGATTCCAAATTCATCTCAAGTCAATTCTTCCGAACAAGATCACGAGATAACTCGAAATTTCGATTCTAACCTCAAAAAGACCTTGAGTAAACAATGACAAAAATGACGAAATAATCATTTTTGCAAATCCAAATTGTTCCCGATATCCGACAGAGTCATGTTCAACCCCTAGACAATAGCACTCGGACCTGAAAATCCCAAAATCGTCAAGCATATCACTTAGTTAAAAAATAACTGCATTCTCTGCTGCTCAAAGTAACACTACATCTAAATACTACCATCGAACATCATTTTTGGACTAGATTAAAGCGATTGATGATTCTCCCTGTTCATCTGCAAAAAACAGTAGAGAATACCGGCTTGTGCCATAACATCAACAGTTCCAGCAGCAAGTGGATCACGGCTCTTTGGATCTGACCTTGAGTTGTTGGTGCCAGGTCTGAGCAATGTTGGTCCAAAGACAGTGGCAAGATTGTGGAGAGACATTTTGTTCTGGCCCTCGTGTTTATTAACTCGCCTGAGATGAGCAAGAAGAAATTCAATGACTGCTTTGTTGACCCCAGGAAGGTTCTCGTGAACCCTCCTCAGGGCGAGGCCCCTATTTATTTCACCAGTTTGAAAGGCCTCAAGATACGCGGGATAAAGGGCATCTGTGAAGAGGGCCTCTGGCATTTCCCGGAGATAAAGCTTGAGAACTCCAGTTACCGAGTGCACATCAACCTGAGATAATTGGAATAATTGAGTTCCAGAAGGCCTTCAGAGGGCCTCAACGAGGACTTCTGCAGACCTTCGATAGAACTTGAAGCGATAATGAGTGCTATTTACCTCTTTGAGCAGCTGCTCAGCTTCGTACGAGTTGCTCTCAAACGATTTCCTCAGCTTTGTAACATCAGATGCCGATCCTGAAACTCGATAGAGACCGACTTCACTCATCCCCCGGCGCTCAACTTCCCTGACGCAGGCAGTGATGATGAACGGGACATCACGTTTTTCTCTCCTGAAATTCCAACATAACTCAATCCAGTTAAACGACGTTGTATATTTAAATTGTCTCTGACAAAGCACTCACTTGCAAACCTGTTGAATTTTAGCGCCAAAAAGCCCCTGGGGCTTGGCACTGGGTACCCTCCTCAAGGTCACCTCACTCGGGACAAATTTAAGTCCCACATCCAAGCTCGCTGGTCCCAGATTGAGACCCCTCTCTACCCCATCTCCCTGGAGCCAACTCCTGCTCAATTTCTGTGTGCATTTACCCCTCAACACACTCTTCCCACCACACTCCTCATACAAGAGCACCCTGAGGTTTTGACTACCCTCGAGCTCCACAACAAATGTCTCCCCCCAAGTTGGTGCCTGTCCCCTGGCAATCCTGCTCTTGGCCCTCTTGAAATAGTGCCCATAACTATCGACCTCTACAACAATGAATAAATCTCCCACCCTCTCCACACCGGGTGGAATGAGCCCCAAGAGGGTTAAGTGAAGATCCCCCAGGAGAAGACTCTCATCCCGTCCTGATCGCATAAGATAAGAACCCATGTCCGTCTGCAGATAAGTCCTGCACGCCGTTACCCACGCCTGCAGCTCATACATTGACAAAGGAAGACTTCCTGGTGGCATTCCACCCTGCTGCAACGCCTCCACCGCCTCAATCCACTGGCCCCGTTCAAACTCACTCGAGAGAAAGAATGTATAACAATTTTGAGCTCTAGCTTGTTTCTGCGAGACTCTCATCACTAGATTTGGGCTTGCGAGCACCAGTTGAGCCTCGAGTTCCGCGAGTTTCTTTCTGTGCTTCTCGGAGTATCTCTGTGAACGATTCTTCTTCTCGTCGTTCCTCTCCTCCCAGAGTATCTGATCTCTCACGGTGCATGCCTGTGAGCGCAGAGAGACAACGTTAGCTGGTGAATTCTCTCGTGGCTCAATACCGTCTTCCGTCACGAGCGCCTCGCTCACAGGAACGTACCACTTGAGCTCAAATGTAAATTTATCTCGTCCTGACGCCTTGTATTTAGCGCACGCTATGACGTCGTTGAAGAGGAAGAGATGACGGAGCTTTCGGTGGCCATCGGCAAGCTCCACGATGAAAGAGTTCTTTACTAAACGTCTTTGAGCGCGATCGTGACTAGGAAACATCGACTTGGTTTGAATGATATTGAACTCGTCCAAGAAATTTCGAGTCATGGCGAGGGCCTCGCTCAAGGGGGCATGATCCGAGTGACTCGCTGGTGTATGTTTGAGAAGATCATGAAGCACCAGTGCATTCTTCTGAACTCGGGCTACGGGCTTGTGGAGGAGATCCTCAAGCGACAGTCCCGGACCTTTTGGAAAACTCTTCAGCCGAATGTCTCGAGTGATTTCACCGAACTGTGAGCTATTGGTGGAACACCGGCGTACCGTATCCGTTGCTCGGGCATAATTATGCAAAAATGCACCATACAAATTGATGTTCGAGGCCATGACCTTGAACTGTTCACCGATCGATGTTTTCGAGTCCCATTTCTCGAGTTTTGAGCGAAGATCGTCGAGAAAGTTCTGGTGGAGTGCGTGCAATTCTGGAATCTTGTAGAACATCGTTTGGAATTCCTCCTCGGAGATAACGGGTTGTGAGGTTGTCAAGGTCGCGCGAATAGCCTTCATGTACTGTAGCATTACGTTGAGGCACTCGACGTAAATCGTTTCTGAGTCGACGACCGAGTTGACGATGCATTTGACCATTGACTGGCGATCGGTGTCGCGATTATCTGCATCTTTCGGGGGTTTCCGCGGGGTTGTCGGCGTGGGGGACTCTAGGGAGCCCTCGGAAAGGCTCAAGGGTTCCGCGTCGGAACTCCCGGTTTCGTTGTCCGTGGAGAGGGCGCGGAGCAGAATTGCTGGCGCCGAATTTGAGGCCTCCTCGTCCTCTGAGTCAATTTGTGCTCGGTGTTGAATAAAATAGTCGATGTTCACGTAGTTGGAACGGTTACCTGGGGATTCCGGGAGGGAGGGGGGACGTCGTGGGGGTTTTTCCGGATTTAGGGGGGGAATGCGCGCGTCTATGTAAACGTACTCGCCGGTTTGATCGAGTGCTACCGAGTCGTAGTACGGCTCTTCCTCGGAGGCCTCACCGTCCCCGTCTTCAGCTTCCTCCGTTGACTTCGCGGGGGAAGAAAAATGGCGGTCAGTTGGGCACGATTTTTTACTGAGGATTACGCACGGATAATGGTATATATGCCAATATATATATATTAGTTTTACGCGCATATGATATATTGCGGAAAAAATTATGTGTAGCTCATGTATGTCACATTACATCATTCTTGGCATATATATATTTTCCGTGAGTGATGCCTCGATATATATGTGCCGTGTGGAAAAGTATGTAAAAATATGGACATACATAGCATTTTTTTAAAGGGCAAATTTATATATTTAAATCTGATATATTTTTCCAATATATCAATTTTTCGATTGAAAAATTTATCGAAAAATCAAATTGAAATAAATTGTAAATCAGAAAAAAAAATAAGAAAAAAAATACCTTTTCAAGTCCATCTTTCTCGGACTCTTCCTTCACGTGATTTTCATCAACTTTTTCCCGTTTTGCGTTTCCCGTGACCTCAATAACAGTCACATAATTGCTGGGAATGTCAGGATCGCTGTTTCTCCTTGGATTAGCGAGTATTTTCGATGGACTCTTCGGAATTTCAGATTTGGGGCGACGAGACGAGTGCAACGAGGAACTCAATTCGGACACACATTTGTCCTGCAGTTTACTGATATCCTGACGAACTGGGAGGGGTGGAATCGACGATTCAGTGGGTGATTCCTCAGGCTTCGATACCTCGGGTGGATTTTTCTCTGATTGTCCATCACGTGGTGGTGATTCCGGTGGTTTTGGGGTCGGTGGAGAGATCGTGGATTTATCTGCGAGTCTTCTGTGCTGTTCAACATCTGCCAGAAGTCTCTCCAGATACTCCACATAGAATTCTTCTTTCTCAAGCTCCTCTCTCAACGCTGTAACCTGAAATAATCGAAGACATATTTCTAAATTACCCCATGCCATCATGTTGATAAATTCCGGATAAATTCCGGATAAATTCCGGATAAATTCCGGATAAATTCCAAATAAATTCCAAATAGAAAGAAATCCTTCTAGACAACAAATCAAATCATCAAAATTGAAAACAGAAAAAATCCTAAACTCTTCATCTGTCATGAACCTCTATATTACCTTCTGCTTGTGTTTTATCAAATTCGCCCTCACATCCTCTTCCCATGCAGCAGGAAGTGCCGACTCCGGAAATCTCTCCACCCATACCCTCTGAAAATCCCCAAATACACTCATTCTACCTCAAAATAATCTCTCAACCCATGAAAAAAGCCACATATCAATGTTTGTCTCTGACAACCTATCAATGTCTCGCGATGATAATGATACCTTCCCAGATTAGTTGAGTCACCAATTTCCCCACGTCTTCCCCTCACCCACAATATCCCCCAACAATCTTTCCCCACAATACAATCACAATCACTCAATAATCCACATTAAAAAAATAATTAGAAAAATTGAAACTTCACTCGAGTCATATTCCCGATTAATCCAGTAAATCACTTGATATAACCCACAGGCACTTGATTACACCCAAAATTCATCCAAAATTAATCCAAATGTTTCTTCATTTTTACCACCATTTTCTCAACTACCCTTTTAGGATTCAACTGCAATTACGGTCTGTCTTTTTCTTCATTAAAATTCGCGTGATTCTACGATAAAGGGCGGTTCTGTGGAAGGTTTACTGATTGCCATCAGCTTTGTGGTGGTATACCGTGTCACACACGAAAAATCATCGATAACAACCAAAACTTCATTACCAATTGCACATAATCCTCAATCCGCTCAAATTAATCCTCGACGTGTCCCAAATTATTCCAATTAATAATCCCCAGTGATTGAACCGCATCACTCCCTTCAGTACTCATTAACACCTCATTAACACCTCGAAAAATTCCTTCGTTAACCCTCGTACCCTCGACCTTATTACCCTCCCCTATCGCTTCCTAGGGAAGTTCCTCGATTTTCTGGTTCTGGGATTTCTGGGGACTTCCCTAGGGTTTCCATCGATCAGCTGTAAGTCCTATAGTGCGTTTATGCAGGATTTCTGGTACGTAATGGGTTTTACATCATTTTATTACTAAAATAACTTGACCACTAATTTTAATCGTTATCACGATGAATTTTGGGTTAATAATCTTGTCTTTCTTTGTAGATTCGAGTTTTGACGGGCGGAGGGGGTCCCCGAGGGTATATTATTACAGAAATTGGAGAAATATCGAGGGGCACGTACTGTAGCTAATTTTGTGGCACTGGGGAGAGGACAAAGGGTATTGACACATGCCTCATTGATTTATTTTTGTTTTGTTTTTTTTTTTTCGTCGAGATTTTCCTGACTTTGTGGGGGGGAATTTCTTGATTCATGTAAAATTCATTGGGGAATTTTGCGGGTCGAATTTCGTCATGGGGGGGCGCGATGACAGGGGTAGGAGGCTGGGGGAGGGGGCCATCGTCAAGGAACTCGATGGGTATTTTTCTTCCCGGGATAAGGCAGGAATCCTCGGGGTTTTGAAGAGAGTCAAGGAGGATTCCAGGGTATTCGAGGGCTTTCTTAAGAATGGGGGGCTCAAGGTACTTGTTGGAGTTCTCAAGGTACAGAACACCAGGATTCTGGATTATGCCTTGAGCATTTTGGCGAATGCGTATCTCAAGAGCTGGGTACGGGAAGAGGTGAGTTTTTTTTATTTCTTCTTTCCTTTTTTTTATCAGACGTGGGGTCGAAGGGTTTTGAGGGGGCGAGAGAATAATTGAAAAATGGAAAGAGACGTACACGAATTTTTTAAATGCCCCAATTTAAGATATTCTATATATTTTTTTTTTAATAATAAAAATAAGAAAAAATATCCCAAAATTATTCTAAAATTGTCATATGATCCCGAATAAATGGATAGATGAGCCCGAAATATTTTTCAGACTAAAATTCCAAAACTTCCGGAGAATCTCCTCTGGATTTTGCAGAACCTCCCCCCAGGCCCGACCCTCCACTGTCGCGCATGCCGCCTAATCGGGAACATGTGCCTCTCAAAACGCCACAGTGAGTCACTCTGCGCCCTGGGGATCCTTCCGACTCTTTTAACAGTTTTAAAATCGCCGTCAACACCCCAGACGCACTCAATGGCGATCCGAGCGGTGCGAAATATCTGGGAGAGTCACAAGACCTCCCAGACCGATGTAATCGACTCTGAGCTCATAAAAGAGGTGATGACCATTCTGATAGCCTCGAGCAATCGCTACACGAGTGATCCAACTCAATCCAAATACAAAGACCTGTCGGAGACCTGCCTGAAGGCCCTGAAGGTCCTCCTGGACCCCCAAGACATTCGTATCTCCAAGCAGATAAATTCTCCGACGAATTTTAATTTTATCGTTGACCTTTGCACCTCCAATCAGAGATGCGCCATTCAATTGCTTCATAAACTCACACGAACCGCTGAAAATCGGCCTGATCTTGGTACCTGCGGGGCTATCGATTTTCTCATCACATTTCTCAAAACCATCAACCCAGAATCATCATTGAACTCGGTCACTTACGAAGTCATCACGAGTCTCTGTTTGTTCTCAAGAGAGTCTGTGAACAGGGCCAAGATCCGGGATTGCGGTGGGCTGGAGGTAATGCTAGGTCTTCTTGAGGACGAGGAGAAGGTGAAGCATCATCACATGCTATTGTGCGCCCTGACACAATTTGTTGGTGACGAGAATAGCATTGAAGTGATGATCAAGAGTGGAGTTGTTGGGGTAATCGTCAGGATGCTCAACAGAATGGTGCTGGATGTGAGGCTGGAGGAAAAGGGGAGAAAGAGAAGTGCTGAGGTGATGTCACCTGAGGGTAGGACTGGAAGCAAGATCAACAGAACTAGCACTGAGCGATTCAGTTTGGATTTTTACTCGAGTAGATGGAGTCCAAGGAGTGCCAATAGTCCTTCATCATCGCCATCGGGCTCACCACCTTTACCCTCATGCGATTTCAATGATAATGACGAGGAAAATTACAGTCCCGTGTGCTCCGAGGCTGAAGACTGTCCTGAAAATGAAGACGCCAAAAGTACAGCAACGAGGGATGAGATTGATTCATTGAATAGTTTTGTATGTTCAAGTATTGGAAAGGAAGACAGCCAACAAGTTGAGAGGGAGGAGGAGTGCCCAGTGATGAGTACTGGTATGAGTGTATCACATATGTGGACTCTACAACTCCTAGCAAGACTGACATTCTGGGAGCGTCCGGTTGAAGGACTAGCTAATCCCATTACAATTCAGGCAATAACTGCGTACATCGAGGCATCAAAAAACACCGATGCCCTTCCCATTCTCAATCGAATAATAGACAATCACGTTTATTTTCTGCCGCTGTTACTCCAGGGGTTCGTCTTCGACGTTCAGAGCCTCTGCAACTGCAAAGAATACCTGAGAATATTCTCGAAGAGTGCAGAATCAGGTGGTGCCTTTGGAGATCTATCCACAATCCTGAGAAGAGGTCGGGACACTCAGAAATTCATGGTTGCCCTTTCGGTGCCATTTCTTCTCAGGTCGAGGGATAAATTGAGGACTTTGATGACTGAATATGGGGGCCTGGAGCTCATGTTTCAGCTACTCAGGGATGAGACCCACGAGATGAATGAGAATGCCGTTTATTCGGTGTGTCAGCTTGCTGAGGCACTCGGGGTCAGGCCGACTGGGCCCAACGATCATTCCGATGTTTTGGCACTTGGTGGCGATGGTGGAGAGGACCATGGCAGCCAGGTGAAGAGGATAAGGAGTGGAGGGAGGGAAAGTCCTGTTGTTTTTGAGCTGGATGATGGAGGAACTGTTGAAGCATGTCGGAGGGTTCTCTGTGGAAAGAGCGAGGCGTTCAGTGCTATGTTGGAGGGAAGATTTTTTGAAGCTGGTGAGATTATTTCTATTTTGAATATTCATTTTATTTTATTCATTTCAATCAATCATCAATTTTATTCATTTTCTCCTCATCTTGTTGAGTAATCATTAGATATTTCATTAGTATTTTCTTTTCTGTCAGCTGTATTCCATAAATTTATCATTAAAAAAAATTGTGTCCAGAAATTGAGCATTAAATATGAGGGACTGAAGGAAAAAGGCGGATTTAAAATAGAATGGTCTTCAAAATTAATTTTATGCCAAAAATTTTATTGAATAATCATCAACTAACGCTCCTCTCTCTTATTGCTCAAGGTCAGGCAAGAGTTCGCCTTCACCACGTATCAACCCAAGGCCTTTCAGTGCTGTGCAATTTAGCCAGTGGAAAATTGTCCCTGACCTCGAAAAAACCCAGTGAAAAACTGGAAATCGAGGCACTCCTCGACGCTGTTCTCCTCGCTGACAAATTCCTCATGTTTGATGAGTCGGAGAGTCTCACCGAGACCTCAGTCTCCGAATTATCCCACCGAAATCTCAGTCGGGCATGGAACTGGGCGAGAACCAATGGTTGCAGTGAATTCAGAAATTGCTGTGTAAAACACTTTTTAACATCTCGAACCTCCTCGAGAGAGGACAGACTGCAATCTTTCAAGGACTTCTCATCTGGAAGACATTTCAGGGAATTCCTAGAAGACATTCGTGATATTATCATCGAAAAATTATCAATTCGATAATAACATTGTGTAAATTGAATTCTTAATTATTCTTCTTCGATTTTTGTATTTAATTAGAGGGAAGAAATCGTGACATTTTCAATGATTTAAATCGGGGCGAATTTGGAGAGCAAGAATTGGGTTCAATGGCTTCATCAATCGTGTCAATCAAACAGAGAATTTCTTTGGCTTTCGGAAGATATTTGATTCATGTCATTATCTCTGAAGGTTCTTGAGATATCTTAATTAAACTGGGGAGTCATTTGATTGGATAATACGACTGTACAGTCATTGAGACAAGTAAATGGATTATTCTTTTTTTTTTTTCTAGTCTAGATCGAATTTTTTATCGAGCAACTAACATTATCATCATCTGATCATCAAGTGTATATTTTTTTTCTTTCAATTTAATGTACATTTATTTAGAAAATACAAAAAATTATTTGATTAATATTTCATTCGGTTTTTCATTTACTGCGAGTCGTCAGTCGAAGCTTCAGGGGCTCGGAGGGCACGGAGATCAGATGGAGAATCATTTTTACCTTCTCTGCATTGTCACAGGTAATTCTGAATGTTTTCACCAGCTGAAAATAATTTTTTCCGTTTTAAAATTAAATTAAATTAAATTTTGGTGATATCATTCGTGATTACGAAGATTGTCTGTGATTTATGTGTATTCAATACAATTTATCCCAGAATCTGTATTTTTCTCGCATGATCGATGAGTAATTTCAATTACCTTAGATATTGTCAAGGCTATCTGTGTCTCGGCTACTTTTTTACCAACGCAGCTACGGGCACCAGCTGCGAAGGGCAGAGTTCCAAGGGGATTCGTCACCTTTTCGTATTTATTTCGGCTATCGCGGGTCCATCGCAATGGATTAAATTCACTGGCTTCTGGAAAATTGTTGTTGTCCCTTCCACTCGAGTACATAGACATTATCATGAGCTCCTGAATTTAATGAGAGATCATTTGGATAATTTTTATTTTGCCATTTATATTGCGGATTTTTATTTAATTATGATAATTCATTGCTTACCCCCTTGTTAATTTTATAGCCTTCAATGATGCTATCCTCAGGTAAACTTCTCATGAGAAATGGAGCCGTTGGATAAAGTCTCAAAGATTCCCGCAAAATTCCCTTCACGTACGAATTATTTATAATTTCTTGAGGAGAATTCGATCGGGAAATGTCGAATAATTTCTCTTGAACGTCTTGATGAGTCGCGAGTAGATAGAGGGCCCACTGTGTCGAATATGTCGTCTAAAAATAATAATTAACAACTAACAAATATTTAGTAACAATTTTAATGGTTAATTCATAATTAATTGTCCATTTTCAATCATAATATTATTGATTTAAAGAGATACCTCATTTTTCCGCCATTTTGATTCGTAGAGCGGCGGTCCATAAAATGGCGGAAAACGTCGGGTTAGACTCTTCTTTGGTCAATTCAATTTTTCTCGGAAAAATCGCCGATTGAAAAAAAATCGATTGATCGAAATTGAAATAAATTAATATAAGAGGATTAATTACCGTATCACCAGCAGCGATAATTAAATCAGCAATAATTGCAACGAGATTTTCATCTGGAATTCCCGAGTCTCTCATCAAATCGAAAAGCCCATTATCAGAGATTTTTGATATTTTGTGAACTACACCCTTAGCAACATTCTGGCTCGTGTCCATTACTCTCACAAATTTCCTCCAAACCGGAAATTGAAATCTCATGATTAATTTTGCGGGTAGAAATGAGAGCCTTGCACTCTGGACGAAAACCTGGTGGAGATTTTCAGCGAGAATTTCCAAATCTGATGAGAATTCCTCCCTGTGGAGGTCCCAGGTTTTTCCCACGAGTGCTGAAACCATAACTAATCAAAAAAATTAACATAACATTCAATTAATGAAATAAAAAAATTGATAACTCATTAATACCTTCAATTGACCACAGATACAGCTTCTTCTCGAGGTCTGGAATAATTTCCCCCGCGTCAGCGAATAATTTCCAATTGTTGCATAATTTTACCGCTTCATTTTCACACGATGTAAAAATTATTTCCTTCGCTGCGTACGGTTTCAGGAAAAATTTGTTTAACATTCTCCTATTGTTCAGCCATTCCCCTCCATTCCTGATTATGAATAAATAATTATTAACAACATTAATGCATGATCTTAAATAAATAATGATAAATCAATAAATTAATTAATGCTTTTCCTGCGCGTGTGGAGATTGCTCAATTCATTTATTGTTCTTAATATTATTATTATTGTTATTATCATTATTATTATTATTATTATAAATCCACAAAAATCCTGATTACTGCAACAATAATTTGATTTTCATTTTAAATGTGTAGATAAATGAAAGATAATAAGAAAATGATTTTTACATGAAGAGTAAACCCCTGGGACACTGTCTCATCTGATTGTAAAGGGTCCAGGCCTCAGGTACAAAATTCTGAGGGGTTGGGCCCTCAAGTTTGAAGATTCTCTGATAACTTTCCGGCGAGTTAATGAATAACGCAGTGACTGCCCCAATATGCATTCTAAATATCGGCCCAAGGGCCCGATGCTGTTGATCAACGAATTCATGGAGTCGTTGGGCCCTATCCCAGCAAACGAGACCCTTCAAATTCTCAAAAAAACTCAACTTCCGACAACTCGGAATTTCTGATTTACCCGTGTCCACTGAATTTTTTGAAAACGCCCCGCCATTTGAAAATTTAAATTTACCGCAGCGCACACTTGAAAAATCCACTTGTCTCACTTTTCCGCGGGTAAATAAACATTTATGAACGAGATTCAACATTTTTGCAATGAAAATGTGGGGAGGTGGTGCAATTAGTGGAGGAGCTAGTGATTTTATTTTTATTTCACATTTGGGGATTTTGGAATGATTTTTTTTTTGAATTTGGCTTGATATTTTTTGGGGCCTCACGAGCGGTCCTTTCTCGAACTGGAGTCCAACAGCAACTGATAGCCTCCGGAGGGAATTAGAAACTCCGAGGTGGAAAAAGACGAGGAAAATAGAGGAGCTGGAATGATAAAGAGGGAGAGGGCAGAGGAATACGAATCACTTTCTGCTGTATATGTTAATTTTAGGAGGCAAGTATAAATACGCGAAAGATCGATGATAATATCGCGAATAAATTTTGCCATCTCAGAGAAAAAACTTCACCCGTTTTCCTGATTTGGTTGTCCCACAATAGAAATTTTCCTTGGGAAAGAATTTCCCTGGAAAATTATTTTTGCGACAAAAAGAGAAAAATTGAAGAAAAAAAAAAATGAAACGTACAACCAAATAAATAAATAAAACATAATTTTTTGATTCTTTATTTTTCCTTTTTCTCTGTTAAAACGAAATGAATAGATAAATTAAAAATTGATAGGAAGAATAATTAATAAATAATAGTGGATAACAATGAATCATTAAATGATGAATTCATAGAGATAAATTGGATATTTTCTACGGAATATTAAAAGAATTATTATGTCTCGAGAAAAATTGTCTGCATTTCCATATTTTCCGGTATATATGTACACCCCATGTACATAGGTACACCCCATGTGATCCCTGGGGACTCCACGTTTCAGGTAGAAAAAACTGGGCGATCAGTCCTGCAGATTGACCGCTTCCACTGACTTCTGTAATGACTACTGATTAATGAGTACGACAGAATCTGATAAAAATAAATAAATGATTATTGTTATTACTTTAACTATTTTTGCGATCCTGAGAGAATTTTTTTCCACAGGTAATTTACATCCTTTGCTCTTCCGGTTTTAGCGTATCCCATCAAAAATTGCAAGTGGCTGCTCATATTTTTGTTTAATAAAAAATAATTACAACCGAATAATTGAGTGTCTCAAAATCATCTCCGTGGCATGCGCACTCAGCTGGTGGTTAAATAGATTCCACTACCTCAGGAGTCGTGAAACGTGCGCGGGAAAATTCGAAACGTGTCACACCACGAATCGACCAATCAGAATTTTCGACCTCCAATAAGTTGATGCCTGTTCAGGTCTACGTTTTCGTGGTGTAATTTCTGTAAACAAAGCGCTACGGCGAATGGAATTATGTCACTGCGGAAATTTATGCATCCGAGAAATAAATATAAAGTTGAACCCAATTTCAAGGAATTGGGGGAAATTTACCCCGAGTTCAAACAACATTTGGTTACCGTAAGTTTTGAAGGATTGATTACATTTAGGTTAGGGTGTAATTAATTCTTTTACAACAGGATAACAGAGAAATTGAGCAGCTACCCGATTTTTTACGCCATTTTATAGACCGCTTGGAAACAATTAAAATGGCGGAAAAATAATGTAACTCTTCAATTCAATTATATTATGATTAATTTTCAACGCTAAAGATTTAATTCTTCATGAACGTGCGTAACTGCCCCGGTCTGGGACCTAATGAATATTAATTCATTATTAATTGGATTTTCATATAATATTTGAAATGAAAATTTAATAATTAATCATGATCAATAAAAACGGTGATTTTGGTTATGCGAATTATTAATAAACATCCCCAACAATTTGATTATTGTTTATATTTTGAAAAGTAATTATTTTCTCATTTTATCTAGGACATTACAGGAAAACTCAAATTCAACTTTAAAAACCCGGAGAGCCTCCGAGTTCTCACCGAAGTACTCCTCAAGCACGACTTTGGTCTCTCTGTAGAAATTCCAACATCGAGACTTGTACCAGCCCTTCCTCTGCGGCTTAATTACATTTTATGGATCGAGGATCTCCTAAATCACTCAAAAATCTCCGAAGTCCATGGACTAGACGTCGGCACCGGAGCCATCGCTATCTACCCCCTCCTCTGCGCCAAAATCCTCTGTTGGAAAATGACAGGAGTAGATATCGATCCTTCTAGCATCACCTCTGCCCTTTCTACCGTAAAACGAAACCATCTGGACAATCTAATTCAAATATTTCCCACAGAACAATCCACCATTTTCAAAAAAGCCATGGACTGTGGAAATACTTACGACTTTTCCATGTGCAATCCGCCATTTTTCGACGCCGACAAAATGGACGATCGACGATTCAAGAAAATGGCGCCAAGAAACGCAACGACCGGAAGTCAAGGAGAATTGGCGACTGAAGGCGGGGAGAAGAGTTTTGTTTTGAAAATGATAGACGAGAGTTTCGAAGTAAAAGATAATGTCAAAATTTACACAACGATGATTGGACATAAATCGAGTTTGGGATTTTTGAAGAGAGAATTCAGGGAAAGAGGCATTCAAAATTTTACGTGGACTGAATTTTGTCAGGGGCACACGAAACGATGGGGAATGGCCTGGAGCTTTCTAGATGAGGGAATCGTGAATTTGAAAAGCGCTCCTTTTATCAGAACGCGGACTGAAGTGAGGAGAGAGGCAGAGGGGGGGACTTTTGGTGTTGAAATCGAATTTCCGAGGGAGGGAGAATATTTGGAGGGCGTTTCCAACGTTGTGGAGAGGATCAAGGGATTCATAGAGGAGTTACATGTGAGAAAAACTTTTTTTCTTTCGAATGGAAGCTTTGTAATCGATCATTTTTTCAATTTTCCAATTTTCCCTGAAAATCTGGTCTTTAAAGCCCAACACTTCGCTGAAGTAAATGATAAATTCCGTTTTTTACAGATTGAAATCGAGGAATTGAATCTAGAAGACGAAGATTTGGATATATGGACTTGTCAATTCCGTGCAACTGAGGATTCCTGGTCCCATGCGAGAAGAAAACGTCGATTGGCACTCAGACTGGAGCAAGAGTGTAAAGCCCGTCCGGAAGCTTCCGATACTCCATCAAGACTCACAGATAATTCCGTGAACCCCCCGGATCACTCGAGATCCAGGGAATTATTTCTAGAAGCCACTCTGGCTATCGGGGAAGTGTCTGAACCAGTGGAGGACTCAGAAGTCCCAGAAAACTCATCACAATCACCTCATCATCAAAAAATCAAGATCTCCATGATTTTGCAAGGTGGAACTGGTGGAAAAATTGCTTTAGAAACGTTCCGACAATTTTTGATCAATAAATTGGGGGTGAGAGATTTCTTTCACTCAAAATCTACATCGAAAACTTCTAACAAAAGAAGAAAAAGGAAGAGACATTCTGGAGAAATTGAGACCAATAAATAAAAAAGAATGTAGTGTAAAAGTTTATGGGCATTTTATGAATTTCCGTTTATATTTTTTCCCTATATTCAATTATAGTTTTCCCTTCTTCATTATTATGATGATTGGTATCATTATTGTTATTTGTTATTTATATTCATTTGTTGGGGGCCACTGGTCGATTTGAAGATCAAAATTTACTCAGTCCGAATTTTTACCCTGCGATATCGTGGACTAACGCTTCATCATTTGCTCTTATTTGACTTTTTATTCGATTGGTTTAAGATTTTTCTTTCTCGTTCCAAACGGGAATCCACTCTCTCTCACTGGCAATGAACTTGAATGCGAATAGTCCAGTATCGCCGCGACTACCACACGAATCACTCCTTCCCACTCTGTGCACAATTATTTATCTAATATTATTGTATATTTAGTGTTGTCAATTTACATTTACATTCACAATGTTTTTCAGAATAGCTATTTTTATAGGTCTGGGATCAGTTGTTGCTACGATTATTTATTTAACACCGATACCAGGTACATTTTATCGTTAAAAGTATTAATTATTAAAAATCTCAACCACTTGAATTACATTTTAAAAAATCATTGAAAAAAAATAAAAAAATACGACAATAAATAAAATTGAAAAAAGTTGTAAAACGAAAAAAAAATGGTGAAAGATCAAAAATTTAAATTGTGCACCGGTGAATATCAAAATTTCATATTTTTTAAAGTTTACGTTAAATATTTGAAAAATCACGTGTCATTCTTGAATTTTCAGGAATATTTTTTCATCGTACCCTAAAATAAATAAATAATTCAACAACGATGTCTACCATATTGCGAAATTATTCCCAAGTATAATTAATTCCGGAAGTGCAAACATGAATTTTTATTTAAACTCTTGAAATCTGATTTAAAAAAATGTCTAGTCTATTCACATTAGGTATTAATCTAGAATATTATTCGATATGAACTATTGGGATTTATTTTTCATTTGTACGACAGGACACTGTATTTAAGTGTGCATTAGGTGAAAGTAATGTATGATCTGTAGGAACGCAATGACTGTATGTGTACATATCCAATGTATCTATGTAAGTATGGAAACATACATGCCTGGGATGTCTGAAAGGTAGCATCCGTTCGTTGCACTTGCTGTACATACATGCCTTTATATATACATGCTACATCATGGACAGTTGACCTCCACTGTACATATATACATTATATATCAATTCCATATATGTACAATGTGAAATAAATGATTTATCCCCGATCTCTTCAGGATCGAATGTTTGCAAAAATTGATTTCAGGTAATATTCAATTAAATTTATTTTCCTTTGATTTTACAAATGTTCTTGTTCTTCTTTGTTTTAATATACAATATATAACACTTCGGGTTCATTTTCTTCCTATCAATCTTACTCTATTATTTACAGACTCATAAAATGAGGAAAGGACGTTAAAATGTCGGAGAAGATTTTTAAAATAATAAAGTGAAAGTTTACAGCGTGAGTTGACAATCCCAACTCTTCCGTGTGCGAGGTATCGAGGAAATATTATTCTTCAAGAAATTGAAAATAATAAATGCTGACAGCACTGACTCATCGAATATTCCAAGCATTTTTTCGGGTCAATTGCTGATGGAATCGGCGTGAAAAAATCTAACTCTTTAAAATATAATTATTTTTTTTTTATAGTTTTGTGATTATTATTTTTAAAAGTGAAACGCAGGAAAATGCTCGCATCTTAAAACATCATGAGTTATGGAATAATGACAGAATTACGAAAATATTCATGAATATAAGGAAGATAGCGAAATTTCTGTAATAACATTTTTTGTAGCCCTGAATCAGTTCTCGAAAACAGGTGATAATAAAAATTTCACTATCTCCTCTAGATTCCGAGATATTGATTAAAAACATGTTAATAATAAAAATTGACTTGTCTTACCGCTTCGACATCGTAATGATACGAATAATAAAATGCGAGGTGTAAGTGAGAGTGAAATAATTTCAAGTTCAGAATTCAAAATTGAGAGGGGCTGAAGAAAGGTCGTCAGATGAAAGTTTACCAACGACTAAGGCAAAGAAGTGAGAGCGACGCATATATTTTTTTCTTCTCATTTTTTTTTTCCAGTGCCTCCGAGGTCCGGGATCTCCAGACAACTTTCACCATTTTCATTTCATTACACATACTGCCTTTCTTAAATCTTCTTTCCTCTCCCTTCATTGCCAAAAACTCAATGGAACAGAACGTGGGAAAGAGAGTAATCAAGAATACGAATGTCTATAACAAGCGGTCTCTCAAGACTATTCACCTTTCCTTTCATTTGAACAGTCTTCATCGGTATTCTGCTACAGCTAGCTCTATCATTTTCTCTTCAAGTCTCGCTCGTGAGACTCGTAATTCCTCCAAATATCAATCATCAATCCGATAATGTGACCGCCAAAATTTTATTTGTAAAATTAAGTCTGTGAGATTCAATTTCTCATTTTTTTTTCACCCTCAAGATTATAAAATAAAGTGTTTCTGTTGCAATGTTGGTGTCCCAGGAAGGATTCAGTTAATCGAGAAGAATAATTTTACGCACTTCCGGTGGTGATAAAAAATAATCATCGATTGCATGTTCATCAAGTGGAAATAAGTGTTGATAAATCGACGCGTAATAACAGGATAGAAATTACGCGATTATAATGTCAAGTTGTCAAATGAATTTGAAAACGTATCTGCAACGTACAGCTGTTGTAACAATTATGGTTTTATCAGCAACAATTTTTTTACATTTTTGCAATTACAGACCTAGTGAGTTTTGATAATTATTCATTAGAGGGGAGTGCTCGTAAGACCGATGCAATAGCTTTTTTTTAAAGATCATATTTGAGAGAAAATTTTACTTTCAGAACAGACATTCCTATCCTGTGACAGGCCCTGCCATCATCTCGACTGGCCCATGATATGTCGGGTGAAGTTAACATTAGAACCATTTCATTCTCTCAGCAAGTATGAAATTTTATTTCTTTAATTAATTACTATAATCACCGCATTACACAACATCATAAAAACCTGTTGATTAAGGAGAAGGAAATACTGCATTACGATACAAGTGAAAAAAAATCCTGTTCCGCGCGTTGAATTTTAATTTTTGCTGGCCGGTGTGCAAAGTGACATTTTACGCACGCTCCAGTCTGTCGATTTGAATGGGACAATATTCCCCAACTGTTTAACTTGTTTTTTTTTTTTTCCGTGTGTAAAAAGTCGTGCGTAAAGTGAATTTTCCACACGATAAAAAACCGAAACTCACTTTACACACGACCTGGACTTTCGTGCGTCAAAAAAGTGCGCTTTTCTTCACAAAAATTGTGAACACATCAGATTGAAAATATAAATTGCATCAGTATTACCGTAATACCGTATAGAACTGGTACAACCAGCAAGTACATTTACAGAGATATCAGAATGTGCACTTGGGACCATGTGGTAGCTCAACCATTACATCATTAACCGTTATATAATCAGTCTTCAGATTATTCCCTTATGAAATAAAATATTCACCACGTAAAGTTCAGCAGTCCGTACATGAAACTTTTCACTAAAATTATTCATTACAAATTATTTAATCGATAAAAAAAAAACGAAAATAATCACGAGTTCCCAATCCAATGTTCCAGAGCATGTGGTAACTGTCTGGTGAATGAGACATCCTGTTTATCGAAACATTGTGTATCCGTTGATGGATATCAACGTGGAATACTGACAGCTAATCGACAATTACCCGGACCCAGTATACAGGTACAACACATCGTACATGACACATGGCATGGCACATCTCCAAAATAAACATTTGCATACATCAATTTATTATAATTAATTATTAGTTAAAAAATTTTTAATACCTGTTTTTACCTTTTATCCTCCAGGTCTGTGAAAATGATATTTTAGTAGTCGATATAGTTAATAGATTACCAGGAAGGGCATCAGCAATTCATTGGCGTGGGCAGAACCAGGTGGAGACTCCCTCGATGGATGGTGTACCCCTGGTGACTCAATGCCCAATATCAAGCTACACCACCTTTCAGTACAAATTCAGAGCATCTGTACCTGGAACACATCTCTGGCACTCCCATTCAGGTCTGAATTAAATTATTGAATTGTTTATTTCATTTTAGTATTCACATCGCATGGGCATTTCCAAATGGTTATAATAAATAAATTTATAATGATAAATTATTTAATGATAATTTATCATTTGACAGCATCTGACATGGCGAATGGTATATTCGGGTCGTTGATTGTTCGACAAGCAGACGTGAGAGAGCCACATCGTAATTTATACGACATAGACGATCCTAGTCATGTCATTCTCATCTCTCAATGGCATCATTCACCTCGAGATGATTTCACAGCAGATGTCAACGGCGTAATCAAAAAATCCGAATTATTACTTATTAATGGAAAGGGTCGTCAGCCGCACGATTATAAAATGCCTCTATCAATTTTTCATGTTACACCTGGCAAAAGACATCGTTTTAGAGTAGCTCATTCTGGTGGTGCTGGTACATGTCCTGTTACCTTCCACATTCATCAGCACTCGATGCTCCTGATTGCCCTGGATGGTCATCCCGTGGAACCTCTGCGAGTCCAGAAACTTGCACTTGCCAATGGTACACATAGAAAAATAAAGAATACCACAAATCATAATAAAAATAAACCATATTTCCTGAAACGGAGACAATTTAAACAAATTCATTGTTTAAATTTATTTTAGGGGAGAGAGCAGATTTTATTTTGGAAACTACTAGGAGGAATGATCAGTACAATATTACTGTTCAAACGATAAAATCATGTGGACCTAGTACTGTCGGTGGTTCGGCGATACTCAAATATCATGCGCTTGATCAATTAGTCAGTCGTAATGAGCCGATTATCACGAAGACAGTTAATAAAAAAAGTACTAAGATGACAACAAATCCTGCTGACGAGTGTCAAACATCTGGAAATATCTGCGTTACTGATATCAAAGCTCTTAAAAGTCTGCCGATTTATTTGAGAAAACCTAGAGCTCAATTCACAATCTACTTGTCCATCAATCAGCAAACGGTGGTATCCAATATCGCAGGTATATCAATTATATTTCGTATTTCGTATTTTTATTAAATTCCTTCGATAAATCGCTAGATAAAATTATTTCAAAATATTTTAAAAATTATTTTAAAAATTATTTTAAAAATTCTCGTGACGATTTTCAGGAGATGTTAAACGATTGAGTATGAATAACGCAAGTTTCATATACCCTTCATCCCCGTTGCTGACTCAGGGTGCCGATGTTCCGGAGGATATCTTATGCTCTGGAAGTGATCCCAATCTGTCTAATCACTGCAATAAACAAAATAATGGGGTGTCCGAGTGCGAATGTGTGCATCTTAAACGCATTCCATTGGGGGCCACTGTGGAGATTATTATTTTGGATCAAGGTATTAATTTATTAATGAATTATCATTTTCAATTTAAATAATTAATATTCTTCGCTACTTCTCGTCAATTTTAGCTGGACGCAATGATCTCGTTTATCATCTTCATGGATATCATTTTTATATCGTCGGTGGCAGACATTTTGGGAAGAGTGAAACTCTTGAGAGTATTAAAGAGATGGATGAACGTGATACATTATTTTCACGGAATTTAGAATGTCCACCCCTTAAGGACACTGTGATAGTTCCAAAGTATGGAGCAGTAGCTATTCGATTTAAAGCTGACAATCCAGGTAAATCAATTCATTCGATTTCATTAATTTTAAAACAATTTACATCACAATCCTTTAATTAGTAATATTTTTAAGAATAGTATAATAATATCGTGATATCTCGACTGTAATATTTTTCTGGAATACACCGAGGGGCAATATTATTATTGAATAAAATTGAAAAATTAATTCGGCGTGCAGTTATGGGATTTTTTACTCGTGTGGAGTTTGAGTCGCGGTGCGGTCATTCTCATGAGTGAAAAAAATCCAATAACTTCAGCCCAGGAATAGGATTTTTCACGCCTAGGACGGAAAAAGGGAATCTGACGAATGCGACTTTAGAGTCCGAGTCGGAGATGAGGATTATAACGCGCATGAGTCAGAATCACTTTTTTCGCCATGGCTATGATGCTATTTTACGTCATTGTGACCGAAAACGGGTTTTTATCCGAGCGAAGCGAGGTTAGAAAAAATATAAATATAAAATATTATTTCCTCAGTGATTTAAAATTTTTTGAGGTTGAGATGTGTCATAAAAATTACCAGACGAGTATTCTGGGGTAGTAGATAAAATAATATTTTAAATAAAATGATTCTAGGGTATTGGATGCTTCGTGATGAGCATGCGTCTGAGTGGACACGCGGGCTAGACATGATTCTTCAAGTTGGTGATACATCTGAAATGGTTCCACCACCTCAAGATTTCCCAAAGTGCGGTTCATTCATTGGACCCGATTACTTTCTCATCTAAACCCCGCGTATTCCATCCAATCATTTCATTTTGTATCCCTCCTTCATTATAATAAACCTTTCATAAAAATAATTTGTACATATTACGAATAATAATTGAATTTTTGGTAATATCGTTGGAAAATTATTGGAAAAATTAATGATGTGTCTCATTTCCTTGGTGATTATTTCATTGTTTCTTCTCGCTACTTTTTTTTTTTTATTTAATTACATCCAGTTCATTTGACGGAAAAGGGTCACTATGTCTTGTCTGGATATTCTAGGCTCACAAGTGATAACCACTTTATTAGTTCCTCAGGAAGTATTTCTCCTTCAGCACAGCGTTTTTCGGGAGTACGGAAAAGTCGCTGTGGGACCCGATTTTGCGCACACTTTTCCATCATTGGTGGTTATAGCAGCCCTTTTTGTCCTCACTCGAAGAGAACTAGATGTTAATTTCAAAATTTCTAATAAACCACTGGAGATAACGATTCAAGTAATTTATTGAATTCAATATTTTTTGTATTTTATTAATTATCATTAATTAACCTATTCAGATTTGTGTCATTTGGATTATCATCAATGCTGGACTGTGGTACTGGCTTATTTTTCAGAGGATAATTTACTGCTGGATATGGTCACACTGGACTCACGTTAGTAATAATTACTTGCAATAATTACGCGCATAATCTTGAAAAATAAATTCTTCGCACTGATTTAATAAATAATAATTTTATTGTTGGTCTCCCAGATATTTGATGATAAAAGAAAGATTTATATTTATTGAAGATATTTCTTGATATCTCGACTCATCGGATTGCAATTAAATTTCCTATAAAAAAATCTTTTTTTTTAATTCCCATTGGTTTTAGGAAATTCAATTGCCGCAGCCTCACGTCCTTTGGTGGCAACAAGTATGGCAATCATTTTACCCACCACCCACATCACCATCCCCCGTTTCCGCAGACTTTATCAGCTGGATTCTATCAATGATTATTAGCGTAATAATTCTACACGGTTGCTTGCATCTTCGTTATTGGATAAAGAAATGCCAAAATGTAATCGCCCAATTAGCAGACCAATTGATCTGGGGACTGACGTGTCTGAGAAGAAAAAGGTAGTGTGAAATAGTCAGAATTTCTCACAGAAATCGTATAATCATGATTCCCTTGATTAACAGGAAAGTGCTAATTAATTCTCTGGATAGCGACACGATTCCAGAATTTACTCCGAAAAACGAAAAGATATTCTGTGATGAATGCCATTCGGATATTTCATCTGAACATACAGATCAATCGGAAATTTATAATAAAATACGTGGCAGCAACATGAAACGCCGAATTATCTTCTGAATGCCAAGATATTCACAGTATAGACTACAATAATTCTTCCTATTGCTTGAAATATCATTTTTTATACTAGCCTTCGATGGTTTTTGTGGAAATATAAAAACAAAATTTTTCAATTTTGCATTTATCAATTAAAATAAAATACGTACACCAGAATATGAGGTAAAATGAAAATGAAAATTAAATTGGAGACAGCCTTGAGGGATTCTAATATTTTAGGTACTTACATGGGTACTTATGCTTGCGAATTAATTTCACGTCAATGTATGAAATTATTTGAGTTAAAAATCACTTGTCAATTTTCCTGAAGCCCAAATCCAATCACGTGGAGTCAGATGAAGACAAGAGGTATTCATCATCATAAAATGCTAGAACGAAATGTTTTTTCACGTTAAATCCATCGATAGTGAGCGATAAAAATTGAAAAAACGTGATTTTTGGGCGGACGGGTGTCCATCAGCCTTAAAAATAAAAAATAAAATACACGATATAGTCGAGATATTTGGAGTACGCATGTGCGGACCTGCAGGGGTTGCAACCACCAACCCTCCGGTATTTCCTCTGCGATTGTATTGAATAGCGAGAAACCTTGTGTGGGGTAGGTCGCAGGAGTGTGAACTTCCAAAATGAATACGCAGTATTACCAAATATTCGAAAAAATTATCAAAGTTTAAACCAGAAATTTGAATAATCAGTTAAAAATTCCGCATCAATTGAAGAATAAATTTATAATTATTGTTCATTCCCCAAAATTTGTGATACATCATCGCACATGCGAGACAAGAAAACGGTAAAATAAAATGTTGTGTGAATGCGTCATCCGCGAAATATTTTTCATCCCCGAGTCAATATGAAATTAATTGATAATTTGTTTGTAAAATAGTAAAAATTATCTGTTAAATTTTCGAAATATCAGATTCTCCACCAGCTGCTACTTTTTTTTAATCCTTCATAATAATAAAAACAATAATAATCATTTGAGTATTATTACTTGAAGACGGAAAATAATTAGGATTATGAATATAGTGAATGGAGATTGTTGTGTAAATTATTTTATTATTGTTTTTTTATTCAGTACCACGTGAATAGGGTAATATTGTTTGGAATAATGCGAAACGTGACTATTGATTTAACCGTTTCAGCATCCCTGTAGGACACACACGAGTTCCTGACATCTCACATACACATTTCACACTCACCCATACCCTGATACACACGGCTTTTTGAATATCCTAAGCAATACAGTTGATTTCATTATAAATAAACAAAAAAATCACGACAATCTGGTCTCCAAGAATAGAATAACCCAGAGTAAAATTAAATTATATTAAAACAATGTGTAAAACATGAAATTCCACATGTTGATATAATATATTCCAATATATTCCAATGCCAAAGATGAATGACGATCCAATAGAAATAAACAATGGGAAGTAACTGATTAATTATTGATCATTGGATTATTTTTTTCTCTAGTGAATAATCATGACTGAGAAAATGTATTATTGGGGTGAGGAACGCGAACCAGTGGATCCTGACCAGACGTTCATAGAGTTCAAGGCAAGGGTATCAGCCTCTGGGGGTGAATCATCCAGGGTACCATCAAGAAAAAATATCACATCAGGAGTGACTCAATGCGGTGATAATCCTGATGTTGAAACACACCGTGAGGATGATGATCGCGGTGGTTGGGATAATAAACTTGATTTTTTATTCTCATGCATCAGCGTATCAGTAGGTTTGGGAAACGTATGGAGATTTCCGTACTTGTGCTATAAAAATGGGGGAGGTGCATTTCTTGTGACGTATGGAATAGCAATGCTGTTTTGCGGTATTCCAATATTTTTTCAAGAAGTTGCTATCGGCCAGTATTTGGGGGCTGGTGGTATGACCTTGGTTGGACAACTGTGTCCTCTCCTGCAAGGTAATCCTTCAATTCCGGGGGTACTTCAACCTGAATTATCATTACCATTGATTTAATATTGTGTGCACTAATTTGTTTATTTTTTTCTTTCCTTTTTCCGAGTAGGTGTGGGATATGCAACAATGACGATTGTTTTTTATCTGGATGTCTATTATTGTATCATAATCGCGTGGACCCTGTTTTATCTTATCAGTACATTTACGAAATTACCAGGATTACCATGGAGTGATTGCGGTAAAGTTGTTTTTAAAATAAATAATTAAATAAAATAATGTAGCATGATGTGAGTGAGAAAAAATACTTTCTCACACTCGTCGCTGATCCTTTCGTTTCACGCGTGCTGTAATGTGGCATTACGTGTATCACCGGAAATTTCATGATAAAAAAGAATTATGTAAAATACAAAATGTCACATGCAATCAAACTTTTATTGTTTACACAGGAAATTCTTGGAATACTGACAGTTGTCATACAACAGACGTAAATAAATCTCATCACAGCGATCTCGTCAACTCGAGTCATTCGACATCTCCAGTTGAAGAATATTGGGAGTAAGTTTATTTATGAATAATAATAAATAAATAGTAAATTTTGACCGTCAAATTTGAGATTCATCAATTTATTGTTTCTTAACAAATGTGAAGTTGAAAAAAATAAATATACTCTCAATGATATGGTTTTATAAAATCAAAACGGCTTAATGAATTATTTAATTTTATTATATTAATTTTTCGTGATTATTGAGAAGTTGAAAAATATTTTTTTTGACATGATGACCTGTCGTGTTTTATTTTCTAATTATTTTTCTAGACGACGAGTTCTTGGCATAACATCAGGAATCGATCACCTTGGGGGCCTCCAATGGGAATTACTCGGTTGCTTGATACTTGGATGGCTCTTAATTTATTTAATAATACGACGTGGCCTCCATCAGAGTGGTAAGATCATATGGTTTTCAGCGTTATTTCCGTACGTGGTGCTTTTCATTCTTTTGGCAAGAGCTGTCACCCTGGAAGGCGCTGGTGAAGGATTGCTCTATTACGTAACACCTAGATGGGAGGAATTATTATCACCTGGACCATGGATTGATGGTGCTACACAAATATTCTTCGCTTATAGCATTGGCACTGGAGCATTACCAGCACTTGGATCGTATAATAAATTTCATCATAACTGTTACAAGTAAAGAGGAAAAGAATAATGAAAAGAAATGATAAAACACGAGTGAAATACTTCGACTGATATATTCTGGTATTTAAATGTCACGTTCTATTGATTTTTTAGGGATGCACTTATCACATGTGTTGTCAATACTCTGACCTGTCTGATTGCTGGTTGCGTGACGTTTTCCATATTGGGACACATTGCGTTGGAACAAAATACTAAAGTCTCGGAAGTTGTTAAAAGTGGTCCTGGTCTTGTTTTTTTAACTTATCCCGAAGTTGTCCTTAAATTACCAGGTGCTCCTCTCTGGGCTGGAATATTCTTCATTATGCTCATCGTAAGTCACATTTCACCTCATGTCTATTTTAATGAATAATATTTATTTTATTGTTCATCATTTTGCAGATTCTGGGAATTGATAGTGAATTTTGTATCGTCGAGTCTTTTATCACTGGAGTTGTTGATAATTGGTCGGACTCTTTGAGACCACATAGAAATAAATTTACAATAGCCATTTGCTTGTTAATGTTCGTCTTGGGTATTCCTATGGTCTCTCATGTGAGTCGTGTTCTATTTATATACTGAATATATAATATATATCGAAAATTCCATATGTATTTAATATTAAATATTTGATACTAAATATTATTTAGGATTTATTTGGAAAATTCTCTGATTCTCTGTTCGTATTATTTATTCTTATTTATCCTTAACGATGAATTAATCAATAATAATGTTATTAATTCATTTAATTAATTTATATTATTGTCGTAAACTTGATTTAATTCACTAGGGTGGTGTTTATATTTTCCAATTGATGGATTTCTACTCAGCAAGTGGAATGTCAATCCTGTGGGTATGTTTCTTCCAAACAATTACGATATCCTGGATTTTTGGAGCCCAGAAATTCTGCGATTGTATACACCAAATGATGGGAATTAAACTTCATCGATTTTGGTACATCTGCTGGGTATTATTTGCACCGATTATCATGGCAGTAAGTTGACATTTATTTATTTAATAAGGAAACACTGAGAGAAAAATTTATAAAAATGTAGTAAACACTATTTTATTAATTTAATCTTCTGATAAATTCACGTCAATTTATTGTTTCTTAACAAATGAGAAGTTGAAAAAAAATATACTCTTAATGATATGGTTTTATAAAATCGAAACGGATTAATGAATTATTTAATTTTATTACATTAATTTTTCGTGACTATTGAGAAGTTGAAAAATATTTTTCATCCTCAGGCATATTTTACCCAATACTAATTTCAAATTTAAATTCGTGCAAATAAATTGAGTTACAATTCAACTCCGAAATTTCAATCGGTCGTTTCAAAAAAATTTATTCAATTCGATATTTAGCAAAAACATTTTTTTTATCAACAAAATTTTTTTCTCAGTGTACATTATTCGCTGTTAAATAAAGAAAAAAAAACATGACATTTAATTAAATCTAGTCAATTTTCGTCTTCCAATGTGTTCAATACAAACCACTGAAATACGGAAGTCAATATGAATATCCCACATGGGCAGAGATTATCGGTTTTTGTCTGAGTTTTTCATCGATGATTTGGATACCAGCTTATGCTATTTACTACCTCGTCGCAACACCAGGATCAATAAAAGAGGTAATTGAATAGAACACTAATTCATTAATTTCTGAATTTATTCAATAATATCGATTGAATTTTTTTCATACAGAATTTCCTCAAGGGGATCAAGCCAAATGTCAAGTCACGAACAAAAATACCATCGGGTGAAAAAACAGCTGTTATACCTTTATCTGAAAGTAGTGCTGGTTTAATAACTAAAAATAATAGTTTTCTCAGTCAAACATGATTATTGTTCATTATTAATTTCCATAATTCAACTATATTAACTATAAACATTGAGGAGAAATATAAAATATTATATAATTAGATGAATTATATTTTCCACGAGTAAGTTTTTCAATGATTTCGAGATGAGAGATTTAAAAATTTACGAAGGCCTAGGCTGAATGGACGACAGTAATTACACCTCAGAATAGCTGTGAATGCGATAAGTAATAGTTACTTGCTGTATTTAAATAGTTAAACCAAATGATTGACAGAATAATTACAAATTGACATAATTTTGCTTCGATAATATTTTTAACACTTGACCGTAAAAAATAATGTAGTGATAATAATGATCTTGTTGTTTTAATTTATCTTTCAAATGAATTATATTCGAAAACAAATTGAACAGAGATAAATATACTCTAACAAAATTCAAAAAGATAAATGAACATTTTTCGTGTGTTGTCGAAATTTATTTCAGCTCCGGAAGCAATCCCACGGTGAGAAAAAAGATTTTTTAGAAGTGCGTGTTTACTTGTGGTGGAATAAAGTTTAGCCAAGGGATTTAGTACTTGTCGAAAAAATTACGAGTTCTTCGAGAAGAATTTCTGTAATTGTATCAAGAAACTCATGACTCGAAAATTGACAATAAAATAAAATCATATCTTACTCTGAGAAAAGAAAAACTTGTGTCAATAAATAATCCACTTGTTCCAAAGATTATGATAATTTATTAATAATTAAAATATCATTTCTCAAAGCATTTTCTCTTGATTCAAATCATCTTGTCAATAAATTGCTGATAATTTTTCGGAGAAGTACTAAATTTCCTGACTAAAGTTTATTCTCCCAGAAATTTCTAAGTACGTCTCCTACAATTAAACCCCCACTAATTAAAACAACTCTCCCCCCCAATACCCCGAAATAAAATAAATAAAACTGCAACAGTGAAAAATAAAGCCAGACATATTTTCCATTTTCTAAGGAATCAAAAACAAATTCCGTTGCATCAATTATTAATTATCATTAATCCAAAATGACGATAAAAAAAGTAGATGGATGAAAATAAAAGAATTAGAGAGGGGAGTTGCTTAATCAGATGTGTAAATGAACAAGGGCAATGAGGGGCTGAGGCAGGGAAAGTAAGCACTGGTGAAAAAAAAAAAAAAAAATCGGTATTGACCCAGTGGATGGCGCTACGCAGGCCAGAGGTACACCCTCTTCTTCCCCCTTTCCCCATCCCACGGAACATTCCAACATCCACATCCATGCCCTTCGATGTGACCCCCAATAATTTATAATAATTAACCCGCCAGTAATTGATTTACTAAATTAAGATAAAAATTGTAGAAAAAAAAATTCGACAGAAATTAGATTATAATTAATATTTTCCATATAAATTGTCCTCTCATTTTCCTTCTTCATATTGCATACTCTAGAAGATGACGGATTTAACTATGAGAGCGCAAGTCCAGAGGATTATAGGCGCCGGCGCCTTGTAATCGCGCGCTATCACTACTATTTCACCAGCTCAGCATTTCGGTGACTATTTCGACATGGAATGTACCACTAGTACACGAGTGTAGAATCTGGGAATAGTGTAGGATATAATAGTGGGTGCCAACGAGAAGTAGGAGGTAACAGAGAGGTCCTTTGTGGATTTTCTCGGTTGGAGCGACTTTTTTTTTCTTTCTTTTTTCTTTTAACCAACAATTTTAAACAACAATTGCACCCGAATTGAAGCCGAAAAAAGGTCAGTTGTATTTCAATAGATTCTGACTGTTTGAGTTTCAGTTACAGCTAAAGCTTTTTCTCCCCAATTTTTTTATTCTTCATTTCCACTTTTTTGCCGCCATAAAATTCCTTCTTTTAAACTTTACATTTTTTTTTATCATTGCATGAGACGTGGAATATTTATTTAGACTCATACGAGTTACTTTAATTTTACATACATCGAGGGATATGTAATATTTCAATGATATAATGTTCGGGGGAATTGATCAATATCAAGACGACTCGTTAAAAATAAAAAACTCTCAGAACAATGTCGCTGGAAGATTATGCGTAACAAGTGGTCCTCAGTATGAACAAGTAGATTAATTACCACGCAATACCGAATCTTTTATTATTAATCTAAAATTTTTTACGGAATTTATTCCAAGAAAAATACTCAACAGAATTCGCTACAAAAAGGCTATCACCCAAGGGCCTGCGACCAGCGATCTTTTATTTAAAAAAATTAAGGTTTAAATAGTTATTGTTGTTTTTATCAGTGGAAAAGCTTAGGATAGTAATGAATTGTCGAAAGTGATCGAATGTAGGGCTTGTACCAAATTACAGGGGCAATTCGACGCCCATTCCCTCCCTCACTTCGTGGCTGGCACATCCGCCCTTATTCACCACTCAATATTTTTACTATAATTACAATTTGGAGTAAGAATGTCCACCGTATATCTCGATTGAAAATGAATTTTTTATTGAAATTCTGGTACGTTTTCGGAATAAAAATAATCGGCTTCGGCTATCGTTGGGAAAAAAATCAATCATTCAAGGTAGAAGTACAACCTGTAGATTCTTTATTAAGCGGCTATCTTCTCATTGTTATTGTTCTTCGGGGTTTGTTTAAAAAGTTAATGGAGGGCGATGATGTGTGGATTGGAATTTTTTTAATGAAAATATAAAATATTTTGTCATCATCGAATTTTCTCCGCAGAATTGGGTCGGGGAGGAGAGTGTTTAATTATTATATTTTCTTGATATCTGGAGATTTTGGGGATAAGGGACTGAAATTCAAATCTGATGTGGGTTCAACCTTTTACGCATGTAACTATAGCGGGAAAAATCGATGAAATGCCCAGCGAGTCTGACGATGGTGCTAACGCGCTACGGAAATCTAAGAAAACAGAAAGAACTTTCGAAAAATTTCACCGGCTCTAAGAATTTTTAATATCACTATTTATTCTGCAACCTGGAATAAATACAAATTAACAACATTAATAAAAAAAATGGAAAATTCCATTCCATTTTTTTGGTCTTTTTACCAATTGGAAATTTTCCGGAGAAAATTTCCCGCGTCAAGTTTCCTAGAAGAAAGTTTTCCACGGAAATAATTTCCCGTGAAAAATTCCCCGCAGGAAATTTTCTTGAAAAGTTTCCGGGGGCATGAATTTCTTTTCAATTTCTCTTCAATTTGTTGAATGCCATCCGAAAAATAATAGCAATAATAATAATAAAAATAATAATAATAAAATAATATTGATGGTTTCTCTGAGGAACTCGAAAATTCAAAAAATGATCGATTACGAAATTTTCATTGGGACGCAAGTCCCACGAAAATTTGAGTGACATTGAAGATAATAATAATATCATATATATGCACTCTGAAAAGAATGATAAGGAAAATGACGCAACATTGTGTCGGTATATAATATCATATTTGTGATAACATGCAGTCGCGGATGTTTCAAACATTCTGTATTGTCTAGAACTAGACCGATGACGTGAATGCGACTGATAAGAATTTGACCATTGACTGCCCGATCATGTCACCTGATAAACGTAATGAATTTCAAACTGCAAACATTGATAAACGCACTAGAATAATAATTTTTCTATAATCAAAAAATGTTAAAAATATTAAAAACAATCATCTGAGTATTAAATCTTTTGATGTGAAAATTAAAACGCTCTAACGAGACTCAAGTCTCATTAAATTCTCCAACAACTCGAATCGAGACTCCAGAAAGTTTCATTACACTTGTTGCACCGAAACCTAATATTTTTTTTTTGGGGCGAGGGGAGGGGGGTACCGAGGGCTCTTATTCGTTTGCAGAAAAAAAATCGATTGAAGGGTATAGTGTTCTCGTCACTCATGATTTTATGAATAATCAATATCACTGACTCTGGGGGAGGGAAAAGGTAATGAGAAAAGTTCGACCCTAGCTGTTCGATAACTCGATGTTTAACTCCCATCATTCGCCAAAACCGGAAGCTGTCGATTAGGTTGTTCACAAGGGAATGATGCGAACCAAGACCTAAAGCTGCACAAACACGGGTCACCCGGTTAAAACGCACAAAGGCATCGCGGTACCTCTCTCAGCTCGTCACTCGTTACATTCTTCGATTAATCAAACGATAAATATAATAAAAGCTCATCAATCATAATTTAAATTCACGACAACCCATCACCACAACTCACACTACACAAATGACAAATTCAATTGTATGCAGTAATTAATAGTAATTTTATCAAAAAAAAAAATTCATATCAAAGTACTCGTGTCTTTTTCCAGTGTATCATATTTATTTAGTGCAAATATGAATTATTCTTCGTGACGAAGTTTTTAAATTAAATAAAAATCCAAATTAAATCGATCGAACCGACATATTCCGTGAGAATTTTTATTAATAACAATTATATGATTTGTGAGTGATTTTATTTGACTTTATTCGTCGACAGTCCAACAACAAAATGGATCGATTAAATAAATAATTGAGAGAATCCATGAATTTTCATAGTTAACGTTTCGGTACTAAACATTTTAAAATCAGGTAATAATATTTTTATCACTGTCTGCATTCCAAGAATGGCTTTGAATAATTTGTTAATATTTAATAAAATATATTTTCATTTCTCACCACCATTTTATTGTTTTTATACCGATTATAAATAATTCAATAATTCAGTTGCTACATGTAAACCAGTCCACATGCGAAATATATATTAATTATCCTCATATATACTATCCTATTATTACATAATTAATAATTTTTTTTCGTGAGGGATGGGGTACGTTAAAGTTGTATCTTCTCATGTTGCAGAAGTGAGCAGTATGGAAATAATTACGAGTAATTACAAGTAGTAAATCGTTAAGACGTACCGAGACGTAAAGACGTAAAGACGTAAAAGGAAGAGAAAGAGAAAGATATTGATAGAAAAAATAAAAACGTCTAGAAATAAATCGTTTGGTATCGGCAAGGTGTGAGGAGTGAGGAAAACGATGAAATTTAATCCGATAAAATGTTGTCATCTCTGGCTATTATGGGCATTAATTGTTGTTGTAAAAGCACAAACGTCTCAGCATTGCCCACCCCCGGCATCGATAAAACCGTGCTCATGTTCAGTGAAGAAGTTTGGACTTGATATAATCTGTGAATATACCGATCATGGACACATAAGCACAGCCATGACAGCCCTGAAGGGCCAGCAGAACACCATAATATTTTATTTAAAACTCCGTCATAACAATTTGCCCAAACTGCCAGGTTTCATTTTTCTGGGACTTATTGTTCAACATTTGACAATCCACAACAGCACATTGGCAGCTGTCGAGGAATCATCTCTGAGTTCTATCGGTAATTTATGCAATTATACAATTACCCTTTCCAATTTTTCATTATTCATTACCGATGTATTTCGTCTAGATTATAATCCAAAATCTTCAACCAATCACATTTTATGTAATATATTCAATATTATGTTGTTATAAATTTATTATAAAATAATTTTATTGAACATGATGTATTAATTATTGTAATATATATTATATTGTTTATGTTATGATTTTTAAGGGCGTGTATCATGGAGAAATATGGTTTTATAAAATCGTATAAACAAATTGCGATGGGATTATTATGATAATTTATTTACAGGCAAGGGTTTGACGCAATTGGACCTCTCGCAAAATTCATTGGTAGCTGTGCCATCAGCAGCATTGGCTAATCTTCATTCTCTGATGATTCTTAATTTAAATCGAAATAAAATAAAAGATCTTCGTAGTCGCTCGTTCGCTGGATTGGATACATTAGAAACATTGAATCTCTACGAGAATAAAATAACAACAATTGATCAGGACGCGTTCACGGGTCTCGATGAGTAAATAAATTTATATTCTATCACTCTGAATATCCAGCAATTAGTGATAATTAATTATTTTATTTCAGTCGTAAATTGAAACGTCTGAATTTGGGAGGAAATTTATTGACAGATGTACCTACAGTGGCATTAGCATCCCTTGATGTCCTCAAGAAATTGGAGATGCAAGAGAATAAAATATCATCGATAACCGAAGGAAATTTTGCTGGTAAAATTCTTATCATTTTTTGATAACAATTTTCTCAATGTCTGTGACATTAAACAACTCACAATAATAGTGATAAAAATTTTTAATTAATACATTAATTTTTTTTAGGCTTAAAGGGACTCGATTCCCTCGTTTTATCGCACAATCAAATTCGTGAAGTACCAGCACGTGTTTTTTCTCATCTAACACAAATGAATTCTCTTGAACTAGACGGAAATCTAATCACTCACGTCGATCCCGATGCATTCATCGGTCTAGAGGGTAAATTTACAATAATTCCAACTGTCTCCAATTGTCTCTTAACGAATAATAATTTGATAATAGAAAATAATAGATTCCTCAGATAAATTCACAGGTATGGTGATGCGTAAAGCATTATGAAAACAATTTTCTCTCTCTTGTTCAGAAAATCTTCAATACCTACGGCTTGGGGATAACAATTTGCATTCTGTCCCGAGTGATGCTCTGCGCAGACTTCATCGGCTTCGGCATTTAGATTTGAGATCGAATAACATAACGATTTTGCCGGAGGATGCATTCACTGGTTACGGTGACTCCATCACTTTTCTCAATCTTCAGAGGAATTTGTGAGAATATTTATCAGGATCCATAATTTTTTTTTCATTTATGGAATTTAGAATTTGCATTGAAGGTTTAAATATTTTTTTTTTATTCCAGAATTAAACATTTGCCGCCGATGATTTTCGAAAATTTGAATTCCCTCCAGATATTGAACCTTCAGAACAATAAATTAACTCATATACCTGAAGAAATCACAGAAACAGTCATCGATACATTAACAATGATCGACATAACCGGTGAGTTTTTTTAATAAAAATAATACTAACGGCACATGCAAAAAAAGTAAATAAATAAATTAAAAATCATAAACTTCATAACATGTAACATAAAAAAAATTGTTGACTCAGACCTGCAACGACAAGTGAGAGATAAATAAATAAATTCTAGAAATGACGGGTTTTTTTTTTTATATTAAAAAATTCATGTTGATTTTTTTTTTTGTGAAAATAAATAAAATTTGATTAAATTCCAGATAATCCATTAATCTGTACGTGTGATCTCCAATGGTTCTCAGGCTGGTTGAAAAATCTTCAAGATAAAGATGACGACATAATGTCAAAAAAACGAACAGTCTGCACCATGATACCTGACAATCGTGAATACGCGGTGCAAAATATTCCTTTAGAAAAAATGGGTTGCGTTGGTAAAAATGCGGGTCGAGTATCATCATCTGGATTTGTTACCTTTCATCCATCTTTGGATGTTATTCAAATATTTTTAACAGTTGCAATGATAATGCTGTTGTAAATTTATCATCACAATCAAATCAGCGATTGAATTATCTCCTGTTATTATTTTAAACTCAATTTTTAATATCAATTTAATCGATTGAATCCACTCACGCTTATTTCTTCAAACTTTGACAATCGAAAGCCACGTGAGAGATTGGTGTTCCGTTCTGATGGTTTATTTTTTTTTAACAAACAATAGTGGCTGTGTGATAGATAAAAAAATGTATCGATGATTGACTTGTCTCGAGAGCGACGATATGAGCAATCATTGATTCCGCGATTAATGAAAGTAAAGGGCTTTTTTAATTATCCTAAATGATACATATCACCAATGCCAATTCATATTTATGGAAATAATTGTCCTCTATCTTTCCTCTCACTTTATCTTCCACCATCATTTTAATATATATATATATGTACCGGTTTTATCGGACGCCGAAAATACATACGAATTTCTTAAACATATCACAAAGCGCGTTTCAACTTCCTCGAAAGCAACAAATTATAATATAAAAAATTACAACTACAGAAAAAATAATGTGAAACTGAATTTTCTGGGGGTTTTTTTTTTTTTTAATGAAATTGAATGATTTTTTATCAGTTAAAATTTTGGGATTATGATCTTCACGCGAGGATGAGATGGAAATGAGAAAGAAAAATGGTGGAATTTTTTCTAGACTCGAGTTCCCTTTAACTTGGATCATATTTCCTTTATTTATAATACCGAATGGAAATTACATAATGACACTTAGCTTGATGAAACGTAATATACTTAACCGGAAGTGAACACTTTGTCCAAAGCAACAGAACTCAGA